TGGGTCTTGGACTATTAGATACGGTATCAAACCATGTGTAAGAACCATAGACTGTATATAAAATAGATGCCGTCTGCCTCCTTGCTGAGTGAAGCCTCCGCGAGAACAGCACCCTCTGGTGACGGGCTGCAGTATAGGTCATAAATCCCGCCTCCTCCAGCAATCCCTATGGAGCTGTGGACAAACTTTAGAAATTTATTACACAGAATATACATTTTTCTCCCCCCTGGTTGCGATGTTGACATGTAGTTACTGTAAGACTGGTTTGTGCTCAAGTCCTCTTTTTTTCTGTGAAGCTCCGTTTTTAAAAGTTAGAGGATTCATGTTTTCTATGATTGACACCTGATACAGCCTAAGGACGTACAAAGACTGCGTAACTCACTCGGGGGGATACGCTGTTTGAGCCGAGCGTCATCACAGCGACTCTCCCACTGAATGCATACAACGCTACTGCACAATGTTGGTTTCAGGGAAAAACACAAAAATACTGAGAGCTTTTCAGCTTCAAATCCGTACACTGGCAGAAGGTGGAACCAAGTTGTCCATAGTATATACAGTCTATGGTTAGGCCTCAATAATACCTCTGTTGTTGTAAAGGACTGAGCATCCAGGCAAAGGACAAAGGAGTAGGGAAAAAAATCTAGTTTCCTTTTGATTAAAGCTCAGAAAATCACAAATAACAAAAAAGAAATAGGACGCAAATAAATAATTAAGACTGTGACGTGTGGATTTGTTGTCTATCTCCTTAAAGTGTCAGCATTTGCTATGTTTAGTCAAATAGAAGAGGTTAATTAAAGTTATTTAATTAAAATGCAAATAAAAAGGAATAGATGCTAATGATTCATTTACCAAGGGCAGTGGTTCGGCTAGGCTGCTATCTCTCCAAAACAGGCGGCCATGATTCAATTACAAACTCTGGTTCTTTACCACAAATCATCCCCCCATCTCTCTCCTTTCAGTTTTTTTACACAATCCACTGTCCTTTCACAGTAAAGACACACAAAAAGCCCACGTACAGAGTATTTACTGCCCTGGTGTGCCACAGGGCAGCATACTGGGTCCTTTACTGTTTACAGTTGAAATGTTATCTTCAAGGTTTTTAATTTGCTCCCTCACCAGAAAGTTTGACTCTGAATTATTCAGACCTATAAAAAGATATTTCTAATATATGTCATCAGAAAAACTGAACCCATCCCTCACAGATTTGCATAACCACACAACTCTATTTCTTTAAAAACATAACATTTTCTTGGGTTACAGACCATAGCATCTGCAATATAGTCTTCCTGAACTATTATTCTAGTTATAAAATCTGAGCATTTTGCAGGATCAGCATCTTGTGACTCGGCTCAGTGAAAAGTTACCCAGTCGTATCATTAGAAAAGTATTAGGTTTCAGTTTGTACGGAGTTGTTTCCTTCTTTAGTCAGTGATTCATGAGTGTTTAGTTGTGCAAACGACCAAAAGGAGTCTTAATTGTAAGTATTATGAATATTACTCAGGACTTTCTTTAGTAAAGTGAAGAAACCCTTAAACAGACGAGTTTATCTTTGTGTTTTTCCTCTGTTTGTCTGTGTAGCCGCTCCATGATTTAATAAGAATATATTTAATCAGGACTCCCACCTCCTTTCGAGTCTGTCCTTGCTTTTAAAGTACGTGAATATATATTTAACAATGTCTATTGATGCACAGTGTGGTTTTCACTTGGCCTGCTTCAAGTATCGATCGTCTCTTTGGGTTTCTTTTTTCCATTATTGATTTATCTAATCGGAGCGAAAGCAGAAAATGAGTCTGCATCTTTTTTAAACGACTCTGACTGAACACATTTTCTAAAATGCCAGGATCTGCTATTTTCTGCCCGTCCCCTTTGTCTTTGCCTCGCCTGGTCTCAGCCTGTACGATTATTCCGTATCGAGCAGAAAGATTTCTTACATCTCATGCGATGATACTGCGGCTCTAAGCCCTGACTTCATTACTATTGATCGTTTCCACTGATGCAACCCTGAAAGTGAGCCCATCTCCACATGTGTAGTCCTGACACATCTCGCTGGAAAACAGCCCAAATGTCTTAAATGTCACCGACACGGATCTGAATTTCAATTCTAATTTGGCCTTGAGTTTCCGAACCTCCATTTACACACAAAGTTCGACAAAAGAGAAAGTGATTTCTGTCGACGGAGAGCTTTTCAAAGCCAAGCAATCACTCCTCCTCTTTTGTACAGTGGAGTCAATAAAACATCCAATAGAGGGCAATAAACATTACAAAATTCTTTATTATCCCGCCTCTTGGCCAATATCCCCAAGACTTACTGCCACATACAACAGCTGCACACTTCCCAATTTATGTCCAGTGCCATTTCTGGGCAGTGTGGGCAGCAACACATCAGACTGCAGTGCAGGAGAGTGGCAGGAACTGAGCACAAAATACATGTCTCCTCCTGAAGGTGAGGTGGGCAACTAAAACAAGTGATGTCCCCTGTCATTTCTGATGAAACTCTCTCCACATTCTTTATATACTTCATGAAATGTCCTCTGAAAAAGTTTGTAGCTGCCACAAGTTTGGGAGGAATATGCCAAAACTGCACAATAAATTGTCAAGTTCTTCGTCATGGTGCAAGAACTCGCAAGACACACTCTGCAAAAGTCTGAATTTATTGAAAATAAGAATTATTTATAGAATCTGAAGCCCTGCCCTGCGTTACTTTGTAAATATCTCTGGTTGGATACTCTCTAAATCCAGTCTAGCTTTACCGGATCCCACCGAGTTAATCATCCAAGTTTTATCTCAAGCCAGAGCAAATATTTTACCAAGGCTGGGAGGATTTACTGATTTGTATCCACACCCAAGGAGATGGTGTAACCGTGAAAGTGTCTGCATCCTCCGTCTCCGCCAGGGTCTAACTCATTATTCCAGCCAGTGTGAAATTCTTCTGCATTTTAGGCGAATTTTATACAGAGAGAATTTAAGAGAGAAGATAAGACAAGATATTCCTTTCGAAAATTACAGCAGCATAAATACAGATACAAAAAGAGAAGTTAAAGGATAAAGAATCTTAGTTAACATATATATATTTACGAGTCTTATTTAAATGTGTTACAGAAAAGGAAAGAAAATGAAGGGAAAACAACATTTAAGTTAAAAAAAATCACCTATGCAAAGTCATGGTATATTGCAGTCTTTAAAATAAGTTCATACCTGTTATTCTGACTGACAGGTAGCTAAACTGAATGCAGAGCCTCAGTGATGTTTTGCATATTGAAACCCATGATGTTCAACAACAGCACAGAAATGTCTCATGGCTTTACTAACTAACTTAAGTCACAGTTTCAAATATTTCTAAAATCCTGTTTTTATCTGAGCAGCTAAAATTCAAAGAACATCATCGTTTGATCTTTAGTGAAATTTCAGTGTTTTTTTCCTCTATAAAAGCTGAAACATGAGACCAGACTGGACCAGGTGAGCTTTGCTAAATTTGTTAGCATCATAGCTATCACGTATCCTGTTTTGACTGGGAAACTATTTTACCCCCCTTTTTTAGCTGTCTCCCCGCATTAGTATTTTCCTGGAAATCTCCCGTATTATAATATATGTATATAAAAAACAATCATCTTTATTTTCCAGACCAAAACTTGACAGGTATGGTTAGCATGGTGATCTAGCTAGGTGTCCTGCAAAACGGGATCTGCAGGTAACCCCTCACGCTTTTATTTTGAAAGTTTTAAATACTGACGGTGCGACTCAAACAGTCGATGCTTTCAAAGCTTTTTTACATGTGACTGCAGAGACCTGGTGTATACTCACCGACTTTACCGCATAGTGATTGGATAACACTCCAGGTTGAGGTGTGTGTTCACAGCTACATGTACCAAGAACCTGTCTGCACCAAGTTTTGTCCTTCACTGTGTAATTTCCATAATGTCTACAGACTTTAAGAGTTCTTTGTTTCAGATTGCAAAGTAGCCTCTCCTGTGTGCAGTTAGACCTCCGTTGGCTCATGCACAGTTTGAGTTTTTACAGTTTAAATATTTATCATAACAAGATTTATTTTTTCCTTTTACACAGTTTGCAAAAAAGACACAGAAGAGAGAGAGAGAAAGAGCAGCTTTTCACTGATGAGATCTATCAGTTCCTTTTAACAGCAGGGATACGAGCTGAGGCCCGACTTCAACTGAGCATGGTCCAGGTTGTGTGCAGCCTGGTCCTTCTCACATACAGAGACAATTTGGTACAATGCATTAAAAAGAAACAGGATACTGCAAAGCATGAGCATGTATTGAACTTTGTTTGGCATTGTGGTTTCCAAACTAGAGAGAAAGTAGAAGTATTAAAGGACCCAGCCTTCGAAGCTGCAAGAGCACATGGTTCACACCCAGCCAGGTGAGCTCCAGCTCTCTCCACACCTCTTCTTCTTCATCTTCTTCTTAGAGGTGGTAAAGTACACACTGTTGAGCTTGAGAATGAAGGCGTCTGCACATTCTCCTTTCATTTCTTGACGGTAATGCTCTTTATAATGTGAATTCTCCACATGTTCGCTCTCAAACCTCTTTCCCTGCATCATCTTCACCTCCTCTTTCCATTCGTCCCCGTTCCTCGGGCTTATCTCTCCCCTTCGCTTCATCATCTTCTCCCTCTGTCTGTCTGTTTGTCTCTATTTCTCCTCTCTGCGTGTCTTTATCTCCCTTCATTTTTCCACCTTCTCTCAGCCCTACGAGGAGCGCATCCCACAGGTTGCTGCACTTATCGCCCGTAGTGTTGAATGCTAATGGAGCTGGCTGGTGCGTGCCACGGTGACCAGAGTGGGGATGACTTGAGAGGAGGAGGAGGAGAAGGAGGAGGAAAAGAGGGGGGAGTAGTAAAGAGGGAGAGGGATGAGAAAACATGGAGTGCAGAAGACCTCAGGGTTTTTCAAAGAGGAGGGAGGGAGAGGGATGGAGGGATGGAGGGATGTGACGTGAGCGAGCGGGAGTATGGAAACTGATCATTGCAGGCAGAGCAGTCTCTCTCTCTCTCTCTCTCTCTCTCTCTCTCTCTCTCTCTCTCTCTCTGACCAGACTCCATCGGAGAAAAACAAACATCCACATACTCATACACTGACATGCAGCGCTGAGAGCCGCTGCCGCCGCCGCTGCTGCTGCTTCTCCTTCCCCTCCCTCCTCTCCTCTCCTTCATGCACACTCACACACTCTCCTACTCCAGCTAATTACACACACGCACACACACACTCACTCTCTCATCTTGCAGCTGACATAAGGAGACCCAAAGGAGGACAAACACATATACACACACACACACACACACACACACAGACACTGACACAGAGGGCAGGAATGTAACGGAGGAGCTTTCATCTGGAAACATCTGCCTGGAGGACTCCCTTGTCGTCTTATCCTCTGTGGTGTTAGAGTCCGGCTCTGCAGCAGGTAAGCTCCGTGTTGATTTCACATTTCATTCATGCCGTTGTGTGGCGCAGTGGCCACTTCATGCTCAAACATGTGTCTTAATTACTGTGGCTGCAACTGTCCTCCTCCTCCCCCTGCTCTGAAGGTGATGAAGATGATGAAGGAGATCTGGTAACACTGTTTGTTCTTTTTCTGGGGTTAAAAAAAAAAGAGAAAAAGATGCTGAATGAGTCTTCAGGAAGGATGCTCTCTGCAGTTTGAACACTAAAGACAGAAGGAGGGAGAGAGAGAGAGGGGAGAAAGAGGGGAGAGAGGGGATGATTGCAGAGCAGAGCCCAGCAGGAACATGCTGCACACATCACTTCTGTATCGCAGATGGTATCACTGTGTCGGAACTCGCAGGAGAATTAACACTATCAGCCTTTTTCTTTTTTTCTCTCAGTCCGTGTGAAAGATTAAATGAGACGTTGCAGAGCGTTTCCAGCTCCAGCTCCAACTGCAGATCAAAGTTTATGCGAGGGAGGCTGATTCCCACGCACCCAGCATGTGAGCACAGCAGCAGCAGCAGCAGCAGCGGTGGCTGCACATTGTCTTGACTGAAGCTTTCCCCCTTTTTTTTTTTCTTTTTGAAGTCTATACAAAAATAATGATTGTGTTTGAATAATTAATGCAGCCTTTGTTTATGCAGTGGCCTTTTGGCGGCTCCGCATGCACATGTATTCTCGCACGGGTGCACACTCGCATGAGTCCGAACATCTGTACCTTCCTAAAAAAGAAAAAAGTCTAGCTCACACTCTTTGCATGCACGCCCTTCCTCCACCTGAACGAGCACGTCCACTTGTTGATCCAAAGGTTTCGGTCCGCGGTAATTGGAACAAATGCTCCTTTGGTGATGCAACACACACATGCACACAGATGGTAGATTGACACCTACACAAACCTCCAATTACGAACACCCTTCATGTGAACTGACAAGACTGAAAGCGAGGCTGTGTTGGTGCTCAGCGGTAGAGTCGTGAGGCCGTACTAATTAGTGAAGCTCTGACACTGACATATATTCTTGTTTACCTGGTTTAATTAGCACTGTTACATAAAAATCACTCGGCTCTTTGGTTTTATATAATGATGGATATGATTGAGAAGTGTTTCAAGATAGAGGTCCCTCATGCACAACTGGAACTCTTTTTAAAAAACAAACTGATTTTAGCAGAAATTTTCTCAAATCAGGAATAAATTAGGATGACCAAACGTCCTCTTTTACCCAGACACGTCTTCTTTTTTGGGGGCTGTCCAACCTTGACCGAGGAGTCTGTAAAATCCTTCAAATGTCCGTGGTTTTGTATGGAGGTTTTGAGTTTGTGTCGTGTGGACTTACTGAGTTAGAAGCGCGTAAAAGACACTCAATCCGACCCGAAAAACTCAAAATTAATTGCGCACGACTCTGTGACTCCACCCCGTGTCATTGTGTCCTCTTTTTGGAGATTCAGGATATGGTCACCTTAAATTAAATGGATTTTTAGGCTTAAATAAAAAGACTCAGGTCAAATAATCTGCAATCCTTTCTTTTAATCTTTAGCGCTCGTAAAATTGAACAGCTCCTGCAGGAAACTTTTAGGTTTGTATCAATTTTCGCAACCGCTGTGGGCTCATAGTGCGTGTGAAAGATTCTTGTTTCAACCAGAAAGTTTAATTTTACGGTAAAGCGTGTAGAAATTAGAGCAGAGTCTTGATTGAAACGCTCCCTTGCTCACCCCTCCCACTCATGAAGTGATGGTGGCCCTGTCTGCTCAGATATGACAGAAAGAAAACTGCTATTAACAAAATTATTTGCTCACGCAACAGTAACAACTGGCCACTCTATAATTTCAGAGACGTGCAACAATTATGTCTGTTCTCGGCTACTGTAGAAACATGACAGTGCAAGATGGTGGTCTCCAGTTTCCATGTAGATAAAATCAAATTCCTGCCAAAGTCTGTTTTGCTAACGCTGCGACTTTCTGCACGCTGTATCCTTAATATTTGGTTTCCAGCATTAAAGATAACTTAATAAAAATATAACAGCTGACACCTTTCCTCTCGCTGCAGTTTCAGACATTAAAAACAGCGCCAAAGAAACAGTAAACATCATCACTCATGGTCTTATTTGATCTTTTTAATCACAAAGAGTCATCGATGTTAATATAAGTCAGTTTCATAACAAGCGGAAAAACCCTCACAGGAACTTTAATACCTAATGAACTGACATACATATTAAATTAACACATATTTAAAGGTACAGTGTGTATTTTGTAGTGACATACAGCAGATCAGACTTGGTGGAAATAGAATGTCATATCCATAAGTACGTTTGAGTTTGTGGACATAAAATTTGTTTTGTTACTTTAATTAAGACTCTTAGATCTACACCCACTGAGAAATAGACGGCTATTATACATCTATAGTTTTCTTTTTAGACATAATTTCAACCGTCTAGATTCTGTCTAAAACTATACAGAATCTAGACGGTTGAAATTATGTACACTTCACTTGCACTTCAACCCATTATTTGATAACTACTTATTTCAAAAAGCAACTGTGAGTTACATAACTGATCTCCAAGAGATCCACAATAATTATGATAGCCGTTGAGCAATAAACAGTTAGACCTCTGTTAGCCGGCTAGTCTAAACTTGGTCCAAATTTAGACGTCTATTAGACCAAAAAATGCTCAGTGGGCGTGGAGGACACCACTTTTTTTTTTATCTGCTTTTGTTTAGTTCTGAATCTTCCTTGTTTTATATTTTGATCTCTATAATGTAGATCTTTGTGTTTGACATCTCACCTTCTGTTATGTTGCAGTTGTCTGGTTTTACTGTTGTCATCTCATTTTTTCCTACCCTGAGCGTTTCCTGTTTTATTTTGAAAGTCCCTGCCCCAGTGTTTCAGCTTGAGTTTTACTTCCTGTCTTTGTGTGTTTTCCCTCCATTGTGACTGTATACCTTACCCTGATCTGTTCACCTGTGCCATGACTGACCCACCTGTGCTGACTAACCCCCTTTGTAAGTCACTGTCTCTCTCATTGTGTCTTTCCCTAAATCATAATCCTTGTACTTTGGTGATAGTTTGAGTTTCTTCTTGTGTTTCTGAGCTGTTTGTTTGGATCATCTGTTAGACATTTAGACTAGGTCGTCTCACCTTTGAGTTTTCCACAAATCATGTTTCTACAGAAGCACAGAATGAACAAACTGGTAACATGTGGGTGTTTGTGTTCAGTGAGTGGCTGTGCAGATACAGAAGAGAGTGGTTGTTGTGTTTCTGTGGTAAAAACTTGAAAAATGGAGCATCTCATTTATTATTCATCACAGAAGCTTCTTGTCCCCTAACCTGAGGAGTGAGCAAGGGAGCTTTTCCATGTAGATACCCCTCGATATTCTCACTTTTACTCGATGCGAGCGACATGTTTAACTTTTGAAAATGCAAAACCCTGCAGAAAAATTCCAAGTGTTTTTTGAAGCCGCAGTGCTAAAAACTGGTCTCAGTTCAAAATGAATCCTAATGCACCAACCTGCAAATGCAAATTAAGCCTTAATTATTTGACTGTGTTGTCTTCATAGCAACCAGCCAGGCTGGTGCAAAGTCATCCACAAGAGCTCCCCTTTGAATCTTTGCAATTTCTAAATCAGGATTTTTGCTCAGAGGAGGTTGTTGCAAGAGTTGTTGCAGAAGATTTTTCATTCCTCATATATTGATCATTTGGGAGTTAAATAATCGCATTATAGCTTCAGGAATCACAAGCGGAGGGATGGAGGATTGTGTTACCATTTATCTTGATGTTGCAGTGATTTAAAACGGCTCTGACAGGTGGCATTAAGCTGCTCCATATAGAGGATAAATTTCCCCATACATCTTGTGTGAGAGCTCGGCCAAAGCTGCGCACTTCTAATTTGACTCATTAAAATGTGACACAAAAATGATATTAGGTAAACACAAGCCAATAAACAGAAAAGGAGGACGTCACATCGTACGTCGTCAACCTCCATCTGTTTGTTTCCTGGTTACCGTTTTCCCTAAACACCTCCTCCAATGTGACCTTAACTTTCTGCTTGTTTCCATCTGTTAACGTGCTCAATCAATATCAAATGAAGGTTGATTCTGTTGCCTGGTTCCACCGCATGTTGGCTGACAACAAAAATGTCAATGCCTCAAATGTCAAGTCCCTGCAACATATCGGGAAACTGGTGATCAAGATGCGAAAGGATGCTTGGCAGTCGGGTTGTGAAGACAGCTGGTCATATGCAGGGACAGTTCATTAAAAAGTGACATATGACGCCAAAATGACCAGCTTTACAGGGTGAAAATGCCATTTTGATAAGACCTAGTGTTGTGTTTTTGCTGTGACGTTGTGTTAAAACCTCCAGACTGAAAACAAGCTGCGTTCAATTCAGCCGCATGTTTGGTTCATTACATCTGTTTGTAATTTTCCCCACCATTGAGTAGAAATCAAGACGTCTGGAGCTGTTAATGGGACAGGTGATATGATGTGTTTTTTGTTGTTGTTTTGCAGCGTGTGAAGCCCCGCTGTGTGCTGCTGCTGCTGCTCGGGGAATGCTCGGAGGTCGGACAGACGAGGTCTGAGCACAATGAGCGGCCAGGACAAGTGGGTCACACTGACCCCGACCGAATTCGCCCTGCTGCAGGAATACACTCAGTGTGAGTACAGAGGCCGTTTGCCAGCGTGTGATTAGATTATGTGTTTATTAAAGGAGTCTCTCTATGTGTGATGATGCTTCTGTTCAGGGACGGTTATTTACCAGGTGACATACACAAGGACGCTCTCAGGCAGCTATTGTGTGTGAAAAATGTTCCACTTTAAAGCTACTATAAGGAGTTTTTTATATAATGAAATGGACATAAATTCACCAAAGAGGTTTAATTTGCCTGTTGATGATAAATTGATAAAGCGGTTCATCTATAAAGGCGAGAAAGGTAAAAAAAACATTTTGTAGGCCGACCTGACAGGCTTGGCTCTGCAGCCTTCATCAGAGGCGTCACGTGATGTTGGTGTGACATTGTCTTAGATGAGTTATATCAGTTTTGCACCAACATCACCTGACTCCTCTGTCATTCTGTCATTCATATTGATGCCTTTTCTTAATATCTGAAAGTGAACCAGAGCTTTAGGGACAAGATTGACTCTTTGTATATCTTCATTTTTAATGTCTGAAATCAGCGAGGGGGTAGGTGTTAATCGAGCAGCTGAAAAAAAGACTTGTTTTTACCATTTCAACATAAAATATTTATCATTAATGAGACATTTGACTGTTAAAAGTCAGCAGGGTGAGTTTCTTTATTATTCAAAAGACAAAAGTAAATATGGCTTTGTCCACAGGGGGCGCCAAAGTTGACACAAACTTAAAGTTCCTCTCTCAACTTTCGAATCTTTGAACAGAAAAGCTTCATTTTAAGGACGTCTTACACTATAAATCGTTTGTGTCTGAAACCTCACCCTATTATACTTCTCATACAGGTTTGTAGCTTAGATCGGCCTCTTCTCATTTGTCCCTCTCAACCACCTCAGCCTGTCAAACCGTACACAACCGGTGCTCTTCAGCCAGCAGCAATTTCCATATGTAAAATGCAAGAAATACGTCTTATATGTCATCAAATATTTATTCAAATACCCTCATAGCTGTTTAAATATTAATGTTGCATACTGATATTTGGGTTTGCTAGCTTACATGATTGATAGTTACATGACTGTGTCCAAAATCACACATTCATCCCCTGCTACCAACTGTATTTGAATGCAGTGAACCCTATAGCCAGCTCTACAGTGAGCATCATAAAACATGCCTGACACGACTCGCTGTCTTGTCACACATTTAAAACGCGCAACACAAGCCAGAGATGAGTAAGAGGTGACGATATGAATTTCAATGAAAAAAAAAAAAAAAACAAGCGTACTATAAGACTGTGTTTTTTTTCCAGGTAACGATAATAAACAATAATTAGCCCCTAAAGGAGACCTACAGTACTCATCTTTACTTTTCACTATGTCAATCTGGGACACCGAAAGAGAAGCTTTGCATGATTCCCAGATCAAAACTTAATATTTATGTTATACTAGCCAAATATCAATGTTTCAATGCTGTCTGCCGAAAATGCTTCAACATGATCGAGGAATTTTTATACACTCGAGGACTCATTTATAAGCTCAAATTGTCACTGTTTCGCATGGCGTATTTTTAAGGTGACACAACGCGCTTCCATCACCACGGTAGAAGGAGGAGTAAGTGCAGTTTTGGTTTTGCGTAGCGGAAAATATGAATGATGAGAAGGGCTTTTCTTCTGCAGAGCTCAAGTAGCTCATTAGTAATTCACCTCTGAGTCGTGGGCGGAGACAAATCTGCTCTACACTCTCATCTTCATGCTAGCTTGTAGCCTAACTTTGCCGGTGAAGTAGAAGAAGCAGGTAACATGGGAGCTATTCAGCTCTCGGACACTAATGTCTTTAGGTAGATGATGAAAGTTAATATCATAATTAGCTTTCCTACGATCGTTGCAATCCGCTAACGCACACACTTGTTCCGCAATCGTCCTCTCTACTTTTCCAAGTCTGGCCTTCAATTCAGGAAATCTTACTGTATGTGAGTCTGCCATTTTGGGTCCAACCACTCCAGTAATCAATAGAATATTCTGTAGAAAACTTGATTACTAAAATATTCAATGGCTGCAGACCTGATTCAAAGTTAGACACAGCTTGTGGGTGTTACTTTTTACACAGCTTTGAAGTCACAAAACAACCTTGAAGTTACGCTCTTACTGAAAACCCTTTTGGAGGTTCCGTGTAGATGGAAACACTCTGGGTTTCAGTAACAGCTCAGATAGGAATCTAGTTTGTACCGGGCTTTGTTTACAAAGGAGTCTTGAGCAGAAACAGCTATGTTGCAGCTTCAGTCGAGACCATAGTCGGATCATCTGGTCAAATCAACCGTATGTTAAATCGTTGGATATCTACTGTCTGTTCAGACCTCCAGTAATCCTCTTCATACATGTGGACACACCGTCTCTGGCAGCATCAGACCACCGTGTTAACAATGAGAAGAGAGCGTTCCTGTGTCTGCTGCACTTTGATTCAACCTGCTGTGGTTAATCTCAAACATCCCTCGTGTTTAATGATAAATATTCTGACACTGTAATTGCTGCCTGCGTGTTCGTCCTGCTGATGTAGAAAAGCTTCGAGCCGCTGAGCGTTTAATCTGCTCGGTGCCGTTTTAGCTCCGAGTGATTCATTCTCGGGCCCCGGCGAAACGGCTCCTCCGCTCGCCATCGCTGAGCTCTGGACGCCTGCAGTTTATGTTATGCTCTGAGATGTTGACACATTTCAGCGTTTGACACGATTCCAGGGATGGAAAATATGACAAAACCACACACACTCACACACACACACACACACACAGGCGGAGACAGAGCTTTGGACAGACTCATGAAGTCACAGTTAAAAGTTTACAGTCAGGGGGACAAACATTGGAACAAACTATGACCATAAAATCAGTTTTGTTTTAAAGACAAAGTGTTTCATGAGTTTCTATTTTTAGAGTTTTTTCACCTCCTAACATGAAATATTTTAAGCGTTTAAAGTGGCGCCTCTTTTATTCGCTATAAATGTTAATAATTAATGCCTTCAGACAGGATCTTTTGTACCTCTGCAATAACATGCCTCCCTAATTGTTCTAGGCCCGTTCACCACTTTGTTTCCCCTCTATACTTTAATTTTTACTATAGGTGCAAATGAAGACGCTCGTAATGGACTGAAGTTAGTTTTTTTTCAGATTTATTAACTTCATAGTCATAAAGAAACACAGAAAATTAGGATTTGTAGCAGTTACACGAGTTTTAAATTTTTAATTGTGGCTTTTAATTTAAGTTTTGATAGATTATTTTCAATTTTTGAAATTTTTTGTAACATTGGATTATTGTCAGGGGCAAGACCCTTCATCTAATGAAATAAAATAAAAAAAAAACTTAAAACGTCATCATGTTTTTGGCTGTTTTTGTCTTGTTAGAGTTGTTAAAGTTAACCTTATGGCAGGTGTTACACCACAGATACAGTAATAAATGTTACTCACTAGAACATGGGCTCATTTAGGGGTCTGGCCACCCCAATTAAAAGAGTCGGACGCGCCCCTGCTTGTGAACACTTTCCTTTTCGGCAACAAGTGGATCCATGCCTAAAAAAAGGGAGTTCAGAAAGACAGGGACTTGACTCGCAGATAAACGTCAGACAACTTGTCATGAATTTGTGTTTTTATTTAACATCTACAGCAAAACATGAACAGGTTTATATTTGAAGAGCAGCGCAGTGTAAGTTAGCTTCGTCCCTCTGCTGCAAAAGGTTAAAAAAAATTAGTCTATATTTTCAGGATGTAAAAAGATGAGATGAATCAAAATGCTGCAGTTTCTCCCTTTACATTTATGACACCTGGGTGGGCCGCGCATGTAAATTTAAAGTCACTGAAGTATATTTGAGCTTGCACCAAACTTTAAAAAAACAAGCATTTAATCTAAAGCCCCAAACTCATAAAGTACGCTCCACTAAACTCTGAAGATGAGATCTCGTCTTCCCTCTCCTGCAGAGTGTTGTTTAGGTATGAGACAGGAAAGCTCCAAGGCTGCAGCCATGCCAACTGAGCACAGTATGCAGAATAAACACAAAGAAACCTGCTCACTGGATCACAGCTATGAAACTGGGTGTGTATGTTATAAGAGCATTTTAAATTCAATTACAATTACGGCTCCACATGATCACAAAAATATGATAATCAAGACTGAATTACATCACGCCGCCTGCTGTGTCACGCTTGTTTTGTCCTATATGGTAAATGAGGCGCACCCTCCCTCCTTTCTTTAGCAGCAGGGCATCAGCTCCACCCCTGTCCTCAAACAGCTCTCATATTTATAAACTTAAAGTGATATTCCAGCGTGAAATTAAGTTTGGGTCAAACAAACTGTAACACTGAGTTAGACACTCCTGTCGAGAGATGAATGTTGCTGACTGCTTGCTTCTCTAGATACACCAACTTTAGTAACCGATAGCAAAACACAGCGGTTTTCGTCTCCATGCGCAAACCTCAACCAAAACGCCACAAATAATGCTCAGAACAGCACCTAACTTCATCAACAGGACATATAGGGTCACAGCCATAGTACTAGACACCAAACATCTTTTTAGTTTTGTTTGATTTCTTAAGCAAAGAGACTAAACACAACTCACCTACTCTCCTCCCGCAGCCGCTTGTTTGTGTGGGAGCCCTGACGAGCTGATCACTGAGTGCAGCGGAGTTTCGCAGCTCAAGGAAGAACATTTATGATTATTACTTCATAGAAACGCAATCAGACTGAGACACTAAGGGAGAAGAACTACTGCGTCTGCAGTGCAAAATGATTAATTTGGTGATTATTACTTTAAGGAAATGATAATGAAATGATCGTAAATGTTCTTCCTTGAGCTGCGTCACCCCGCTGACGAAGTGGCCCGAGGTCTCGCTACAAACAAGCTGGAAGAGAGTAGGTGAGTTGTGTTTAGTCTCTTTTCTAAAGAAATTAGTCAAAGTTAAAAAGATGTTTGGTGGCTAGTACTATGGCTGGGACCCTATATGTCCTGTTGATGAAGTTAGGTGCTGTTCTGAGCATTATTTGTGGCTATAGAGTGGCGCTTTGGTTGAGGTTTGCGCATGGAGACATGGACCACAGTGTATTGCTATTGTGCGGTCGTTACTAAAGTTGGTATAACTAGAGAAGTAAGCGGTCTGCAAAATTCATCTCTCGAGGGGGTGTCTAACTCGGTGTTGTGGTGTGTTTGACCCTTAACTTTACACCGGAATATCCCTTTAAGAGCTCAGATCGGTGTGCATCAAAGTTTGGGTGTACAATGAAGTCACAGATTTAATAAGTTTGCATCATACAAACCATGATGCAGCTGCAGGCAATGAGAGGAGAGCAGGGAAAAGAGCAGGAGGAGGCCATGATGATGATGATGATGATTTTGCTTTGTTCATAGTTAGATCCCTTAAACTTTCTTGCTGCTCTGAACTCATCGGAGGAGGATGTTCTCTGGTGTACCGTTTGATATGGATTCATTTATCCAGTTTCTGCAGAGAGAGGGGAGGTCAGATTAACAATAAAACTCCCCCTTTGCTTTTTCTCACTGATGTTACACTCGAGAGCCAGAGATGATGTTGCTTCTTGTTTTCTTTGTTTTGCAAATATTTCCTTGTGGGAGGCTCAGGAGGAGTAAGTTGAATTAAAGAAGAAAATATTTCAAAGATGTGAGGCTGAACAATTAAGCTTGAAATGAAAAAAAAAAAAAAGCGTAGGATGAAAAGAAAAAAAAAAAAGGAAAGCCAGGCAGCAAAAGAGGACTAAAGAGTCTCAGTGTGTGTGCATGTCTGCGTGCAAGCGAATGTGCATGCTAGACGGATTTGGATAATCATGTTTCAGCGAGCTGCAGGCGTCTCTTTGTGCAGCCACAGGTTATAAAATATCCCTCTCTCAAGCTGCAACAATAGGCATCACATCATCTTACCTTCCCTCCTTACCTCGGCCTTCATCTCCCTCCCCCTCTTCCTCCTCATTAAAGAGATGCGTCCACACTTTCATAACATTTTAATAGCTTTGTGCCCCACCGGGCCCTCAAGATCATCCTCCCAACAATTAGAGCTCCTCCGTATGTGATGTTGTTGCAGACTGTAGCTGCCTCACGGAGGGAAATTTCTTGTTCTTTTCAAGGTGAAGCATTAAACACCAAATTAGCGCCGTCCTCTGATTACTGTGTTGCAGCACAATGCTTCAATCATCGGAGTGAGTGTGGAAAAAACACATTTCAAATCAACGCTGCCTGCTGAATGTGACAGGCAATCAGAAGATAATCACTCGGCTCTGTAATGGTTTGTGTAAACGGCATGCTAATAAAAATGGTCAACGATGGAGACACACTTACAGTCCAATGTCAGGCATTTATTTCTTCTTATTGTATGACTCAAAGAAGTGAATCCATTAGTGATGGAGGCGACTGAATATTAGAACCAACAAACGCACTGTTCAGAGGAGTTTATATGCTAATCCAGATTATCCGTCATACAGCGACTTCAGTTTAAAACTGTGGCTTATTCATGTTTTGTTTTTTTATTATTATTAAGGCAATAATCAGCTAAGCAGTAGTTGTTTGGACTTCATTAATTTCCAAAAGAAATGTGTCTGCAGAGAGAGATCCAGACTTTCACTGTTGGGTTCAGGCACCAAAAGCTCTGGTTCGAGTCAGGACAACCTGACTCTAACCAGTCGGGTTGTCCAACATTTGTAAGGAGACAAGCAATGTTGAGAATAAAGGATGGGAGCGACAAGGGGTTGAATTCGCGACTGCTGTGACGAGGACGATAGCTTCCACAGGACCAAGCCAGAGCTCCTAAAAACAATACTTTAAAGCAGGGGTCTTCATATAAATTTTCAATGGGTCCACCTGGAATATTCAGGTGCTCGATGCTGGCCGGTAAATGTATTGGTCATGATCCTTTTGGATCGATCATACCGGGCTCTTAACTCGAGTAAATGCTGGCACCTGAGAGCTGATTTCAGAGGGTAATCTCTCTCGAAACTAGTCCGATATTTGTCATAGTGTTGTTTAATGTTGCTAATTTTCACAATGGCTACGTGCTGGTGGCGTAGGAGACACACAGGCTGTGTGCTTCCCGTGGGTAAAATGAATGCAAATGACTCGGTCCACTCGTCATGAAACACTCATTATCTACCTTTCATGGTTTTGAAGCCGACATGTTTAAAGAACAGAGGGTTTTTTGGGGGGGGGGTTTTTGGCAGGTTTGTTTCTGCTGTAAAAATCGTAAACCCTGTGGGGGATTTTGGCTTTTAATGCCTCAAGTGGACACCTGAGAAACTACAGTTTTACACACTTCAAAATTACCTTTTTTTTTATACAGGAGGTTTCCACGTTTGTCTTACGAGTAAACTTAAACCATCATTTGATCTGGGCTGACATAACTTTAGAGATATCCATCATGACGCACTTCTCTGTATATGGAATACTGTATCGGTACTTTGGCCACCTCCAACCAGCCAAAAGGAGGAGTGTTTTAAAAGAAAAGAGGACTTATTTTTATCGTTTCTGAGTGAAAAGATACTTGAACATTCACGATGCAGGTCCCATATTGTCTGTTTATAAAAAGCAATAATACTTTTATTCACCTTCAAGGCTTGGACTCCGCCGGCCTGCTGTTTGTCAATCAGTGACACACTGTGATCTTTCATGAGCTGCACCTTCACCTCAGGGTCCCTGTTCACAAAGCCAATGGAGTAGATCGCTGGATGACTCCTCAAATATTGTGCAGACGCAGGTTTGATTGAACATGTGATATTATCCCGTGAAGAGTTGAGAGGAAAGGTTGCTGATTTGTCGCTCTAACTCGAACATCTATCCTCTCAAGGATGCGGACAAGCTTCTGGATGAAACAGACCCACCGGCGCTTTGTGTGTCCTAATTATATTCTGCATCATTGTACCTGCTACCCATGGTGAAGCTAATTGATTTAGCAGAAATGAAAGCTTGTGAGCTTGCAGTAACCACACAAGCTAATCTGTCTGATCAGGCTTATTTCTGTCTCTAATGGAGTACTAAGTGGTTATCATTTTGGCTCATCTTTATTTAAGATTCTCTTTGGAGGTGTTTTGAAAAGATTTACAAGTGTAAAAAAGTTATTTTTTTAGCTGTTTTTACTGAAAGAAGTCAAGCTAGGTTGCGTAGGGTGACCATATTCTGAATCCCCCAAAAGAGGACACTACGACAAGGGGTGGAGTCATGCGCAAAATTTTGAGGGTTTTTTATGCGCTTCTAATTCAGTTAGTCCACGCGACAGAAACTCAAAGCTTCCATACAAAATCACGGACATTTGAAAGATTTTATAAACTTCCCCAGACAAGGCTGGACATCCCCCCAAAAAGAGGACATGTCCGGGTAAAAGAGGAGGTACGGTAACCCTAAGGTTGTGTTAACATTTCAGCAGATTCAGCAGGTAGAGTCACTCATATTCAGTCTTTTCTGGGATCTCTGAGCTCCATCATGCCGTAGATTCCTCTGGATCTCTCCCTGCTTTACTTCAATTTTGTGCAACAGTCTCAAACTAGTCCATCTCTCTCTCTTTATGAGTCTGGTTCTGTTCAAGGTTTCTGCCTGTTAAAGGACGTTTTTCCTAGATTTCCTTGGATTTTTCCTATCTAAGCTAGCCAAGTCAAAATTAGTCCAAATTTTGTCCTAACCTCCAGGCAAACATCATTAAAGTGTTTCTAAAGTGAGCATTTGATCAAATCTGTGTGCTGAGGGTACAGACTGTATATAGGAAGGACACCGTCTGCCTCCTTGCTGGATGAGAACAGCACTCTCTGGTGATAGGCTACAGTATCGGTCATAAATTCCGCCTCCTCCAGCAATCCCTATGGAGCTGTGGACAAACTTCAGAAATTATTTACACAGAATATTAATTTTTCTCCCCCTGCTTTCGATGTCGACATTTAGTTACTGTAACTGTCTCCATAACTGTCTCAATAACATTAGACGCTTCTACGACTGGCGGTGCAAATGACGCAAATTGGGCGACTCTATTTGCTTCACGATAACTCAGTATGAAGTTTGCTGGCTGACATATGAAAACAGACGGTTGTTCACTGGTATCTAAAATGGAGAACAAACTGATCGAGTCGGTGTGTGGGTGTCAGAATTATATGATACCGTTGTCGTCATCGTTTTCTTCCATTTTCTATCTCTAAGGCTGAGCCCGGCCACCCTGGGAAGAAAACCCATTTTGGCCGCTTGTATTCGCGATCTTGTTTTTTTGGTCATTACCCAAAGTTCATGACCATAGATGAGGGTCGTCACAAAGAGTGACAGGTAAATCGAGAGTCTCGCCTTACGGCTCAGCTCTTTCGTCCGCATCACTGCTGACGCTGCTCCGATCTGCCTGTCGATCTCCATCTCCGCTCCATCCTACCCTCACTCGTGAACAAGATCCTGAGAAATGATACCTTTCTTTTCAATCACGGAAACTGGAAAAAAAAGGAGCTGGCCTGGATGCAATTGAGTGAGGATTACCAGATTACCTGGTAAATTGTGAAAAACCTTTGTCTATCACATGATCCCGCCGGCTGAATTGGCGGGGATCACCGTTGAAATTACTGTTGACGCGCGAATGAAGCAAGTAAACCGTGCATCTAGATTTGCACGACTTAAGCGAGTAGATGATTTTACTCGTGCTTGCTGTAAGCGCCCCAGAAGACTGGTTTGTGCTCAAGTACTCTTTTTTTCCTGTACAACTCCATTTTTAAAAGTTATTAGGAGGTTCATGTTTTCTATGATTGACACTTGATACAGACTATAGGCGTACGAAGGCTGCGTAGCTAACCCATAATGACAGTTTCACTGCAAATGTATTTTTAAGGTGTTTTTACATCACACACACAAATACAGGAACTCTCCTCTGTTTCCTCAGATTCAACCAAGAAGCTGAAGGATGTGCTGCAGGAGTTTCATGGAAATGGTGTGTTGGCTAAATACAACCCAGAGGAGGTATGTGGAGTTTACGCTTCATTATGTAACCCTGAGTTTACAGTCTATTAAATCCCTGTGAAGCATGCCTACGTGCAAACACGCTAACACGCAGCGATGACGTGTTTCATTAACTCGGCTTATCTCTCTTTTTCTTTGCTATTTTTGTGACTCTGCAAACATCTAACATCCAAATTTAGACCATGTAGAGCTTTTAAAACATGCATCCTTAAAATTTAAGAGGGATTTTTGTGAAACAAACATTGATAATGATCTATTTTGAGTTATTTTGGACCAGATTTATGCACAAAGATGGATTAAAAATGAGGTCCCCAGTGGATCTCAATTTATTGAAAACTCTGAAGCTGCAAAAGTCCAAAGAGCCTGACTTTGCAAACCTGTATTTACAAGCATTAAAGTCACATATGTGATGTTTCCCACTCCTGTATTTTGGATGTAATAACTGCATGAAACATCTGTGATCAAATTGGGTTTCTTTCTTTCTTCAATGCTGCCGGTTTAGAAGCAGGAAATCCTCAATCAGGTAAACTCCTCTCTCTACCTTTTTCGCTTATTTCTTGTATGTTTTTTTCTGAGCTCTCACATCATTTCTCAGGGAAAACTCTTTTATTTGAAAAACGGTTGAAGTGAGGACAAAATTACAAACGTTTCCGGGCGACAGGGAAACCATTTACGAGAAAGGATGTCTCCTTTGAGGTGTGTTTATCTGCGAAATGTGGGGAATTCGGCTCACGGATTTAGTCAGGGGATGGGAGTAGTGGTAACAATCAAAGCTAGAAAAACAGGGGGTAGGAATTATCACAGACTTTCACAATTTGCTGAGATAAATGCTGCAAAAACACCCTGAAACGCAGCGTTTACCGCCCAAAGAGAGCAAGAATCTGACTCACGAGGCCTGTAAGGTTTTAGATTTATCCACAGATCGTCCTCTAAAGCGAAACACACCTCGATTCTCTTCCTATAACAATAAACTTTATTCCCCCCAAGGCTAAAAAGGCAACAACCGCAGCCCAACGTGACAAAGAACATGCTCTTTTCTGCTTTCAGGAGATCGACTTTGAGGGCTTCAAGGTCTTCATGCAGACGTTCCTGGAGAGCGAACTCCCCGAGGAGTTCTGTCAACACCTCTTCATGTCGTTTAGCAACAAGGGACCCAAACCCAGTCCGTCATCATCTGACAAACCCAGAGTGTCTGGTGAGTGTAGAGAGGCCATCTTTACCCTAACAACCCTGCAGTTGTAAACACAGCGTGTTTTCTGTTATGTAGTTACTGACGTGGAGAAGCTGAGCCGCTCTCTTGTTGCTATAGCTCGGCAATTTGCCACATTTTCTCCATCCAGCAGCTTTTTCCTCTCTTCTCCAGTGAGTCATTCTTACAGGTTTTTAAGATGAGCTTTTCTTTCTTCTCTTCTGTGTAAAATCGGCACAATTCCTGTTTCTACTAATGCGTCGGATGATAACAGATTTCCTGCCAAGTCCAGCCCAGTGCTACTGAATGTGAATCGTAGTGTGGAGGCTGCCAATGGTCTTGGCAGTGCTTTTGTTTGTTTACAGCTTTTATACTATTATGTATTTCTAGTGTTTTAATGAGTTACAGATATTAAAACGGCTCTCAGCAGACATCAGAGCGCTGTGGTTGGATCCAGAATTCCCCTCAGGTGAACGATTACAGAATCCACCTGAGATATCAGGCAGTTCATGGGGAGTGACATCATATGGACGTGAATGAATGAATGAATGAATCAGTGGATTAGAGCTGTTCAAGCTGAACTCTTAAAGGTCCCATATTATGCAAAATTCACTTTAGAATGGTTTTCTAACAATAATATGCATCCCCCCGCCTGTCTACAAAAACCCCCCAAAATGAGAAGATTCTATCCTCTCCCTCTCGCTGGTTCCACCTTTCAGAAAATATCTGCTCAAACGGACAGATTGAAAATATCGCCGTCCATGACGTCATGGATCGCGATTTTTATTTTTAAGAAGAGGCTCAAGACTCGCTTTTTTAACCAGGCTTTTTACTAATTACCATTTTAGACTTCTTTTACTGCAAATGTTCATTTTAATCAAAGTTCTTAATGATTATTTTATGTCATTCTATTCATCATCTCTGTTCTTAGCCTTTTTTAATTTCCCATCACAGGTTTTTACTCCTTTTACCCCTTCCATTTATTTGTTCATTTAATATTATTATTTTCTTATTTTAAGTCCATCAGGTTTTACACTTTTTTTTTTTTACCATTTTTATCTTTATTTTTATCTCCAGTGTTTCCTAAAGGTCGCTCGTTCCTCATGTAATGTCTTGGTGTCAGGCCATGTCTCTTTAAAATTTTATCATCAAATTCTCACACTGTGTGCGGTTGTGTGTGTGTGTGTGTGTGTGTGTGTGTGTGTGTGTGTGTGTGTGTATGTGGGGGTGGGTGTGTGTCTCTGTGTGCGTGTGGGTGGGTGGAAGGGTTGGGTTTTTGTCTTTATTGTTGTATATACCATTATTGTTTGATTGCCCAGTCCTACGAGACACACAATATTCGTAACCAACCATTCAGAAACGTCCTGCTGCAGCTGCAGAGTTTGAATTTCTTCAGGAGCCTCTCCTTCTGGGTCAGACTCTGGATCAAACTGGTACGGCCGGACCACAGGTACCGTTTAGCGCAATGGTACTGTAGCGCAAGTCATAAAGGAGTATAACATAGGACCTTTCAATCTTTGTTTCTCAATCACAGTAGACGGGTTTCACCTGTAGAGGGCAGCTGCGATATGAAGAATTTAAAGACTTTGTACTGAAATGTCAAGATCTGGACCTGAATTCATCAACACTAGCTCTAAATTTGTGACTGTTTTCAGCTGACAGAAGTGGTTTAAAGAGTTGCAGGTCAGATCTACTGAAGGTTGGATTGGTCAGGTTGACATTAACGCCCTGTTGCATACTGCTGAGTCATCATTTTCTCCCAGCGCGCATTAGTTTCAAACCTTTGAAACCTTAAACCGTACTTACATCAGAGCCCGCCGTGTTTACCTCTCCCGACACCGCGCTTCGTGTGGCGTCTTTGTTGTCGTCCCTCGGTGCGTACTAACAGTTCAGGACTGGGTCACTTAGGAATCTGATACGGGCCGCATTTTCAGAGTAATGTGAAGAACCACACCAAGAAACCGGATCTGAGCAATGAATCCTAATGGATCATTAAGGCCTGGAGAGTAGACTTCGTCTGAGTGTTCTTGGTATTAAGTGCAGACGACTTTACTAACGGGATAAAAGCAGAATCTAAAAACAACATTATCATAATCAGAGAAAATCATAAAGTGGAAAAAAACAAATTTCACACTCTCAGCTGAGTTTGAAACGCATTAAAATATGAAGAAACTAAGCAGCGTTCACCCTTTTCCTGGAAATAAATCTATTCCCTGAACTCTGATCTGCACTTTCCCTTCGTCTGCCTTTTTGGCGAGGCAGACTCTTCCCGCCATTGATCGATACGTCTGTATGACTCATGTCGGGCATCCTGACCCAGCAGGTTGTAGGGCTAACATTAGAGGCGGTGTGGAGGATGTTTTGACCTTTCCTCTGCGTCTCCCCGCAGGGCTGAAGCTGATCAAAAGCAACTCGACCCCTCTGAAGACGGCCGCGCTGCCCAGACCTCTGGATACGGTGCAGCTGAAGGACATCGTGTGTTACCTCTCGCTGCTGGAGGGCGGGCGGCCTGAGGACAAGCTCGAGTGTGAGTGTCATTAAATATCACAGGAGTCCTGGTTTCTCTGCTAATGTTCGATCGCCTGAGGTTTGGTGCTGAAGAGGATAAATCCTTCCTCTGGGTTTTTTAAGAAAGGAAGAAAAAACTGAAAATACACGAACAGGAAGATAAACACTCAGTTATACTTTAATGGGTGCAGGGAAGTCAGACAAAGGTTTAATGCCGTTAATCCCCCCTCGTCTGCTTTGTGGTAAAATGCAGCTCTAAGCATCAGTAAGACGCGGGTCTTTTAAGGTTTAAACGGCTATAGTGGCCTTGAGCGGTCTCAGTAATCTAATCTCAGTTTCCAAGAGCTGTGTTCTTACCCTCTTCCTGTTTTGAGAAAGATCCTGAAGTTCCAAGCACCATTCAGACCAGATCTGTTTCTTCTGGACCGTGACAGACAAATCCAGGTCATAATGTGGTAAAGTGGGAGGTCATCGGGGTCAGTCTTGAATCTTCACCTGCTGACTTAGATGACCGAGATGCTAAGGTAGAAGAACTACTGTGTCTGCAGCGCAAAATGATTAATATGATGATTATTACTTTGAGGAAATGATAAAGAAATGATCATAAATGTTCTTCCTTGAGCTGCGTCACCCCGCTGTAGTCCGTAATGGACTGGCCCAAGGTCTTGCTACAAACAAGACTGCTGTGTATTGCTATCCTGCGGCCGTTACTAAAGTTGGTAACTAGAGAAGCAAACGGTCGGCAACATTTATCTCTGGAGGAGGTGTCCAACTCCTTAAATTAATTTCACGCCAGAATATCCCTTTAAGGTCATGCTGGTTTTTAAATTGTGAGCCGATAACAAACCCGATCTACCCTCTCCACTTCAGAGCGGGGGATGCAGCGTCCAAGGTTTCCACTTTTGATTTGTTATGATCATGTTCATAAAAACCACATTTTTACTGTTTTTAGTGAATTTGAGCCCATGCGGTGATTTCTACTACAGAGACATGTCTGTTTTTCTTATTAGTGCTGGTTTTCAGCCTTGTCTTTTTTGCTCAGTGATTTCACCAGATTCTCATATCGAAGTTAACCTCAAAAACATTTTAATAATGTTACCTCAAAGGACATCATCCTGAAACTGTTGATCTGTTTGCTCACGCAGTCTCTCACAGAGCAACAAACCTCTTTGTAGTTTTACCTCTGAGGGTCTTAGTCTCTCTGACGTGCCTTTATGTTCCCAGTCATGTTACAAAACTAATGAAAATAAACCAGTCGTTAAAAAATGTTCTTGATCGGCATTTTTTAAAAACTTTACAGAACTTTTTTGATGTTTTGTCGTCTTTCTACCAAGTTTTTTTAAATCTTTTGTAGTCACCAAATTTAAAAAAGAGCAAATTTTTAATAAATTATTTTTTTTAATCTTATTTCAATAATATGTTGTCTTTGCACTTTTTCTATTAAAACAGGTTTTAACTGACTTGCAGATTATCAAAAACTTTAAACGAGGTCTAGCTGGAGTGCTGCCGTCCGTAGGAAGCCAACTGATATAATTTAACTCTGGGTTCTTGCTGAAGAAGTAAAACTCTGCGCTGACTGTGTCTCCTCAAACATTTTCTCATCCTCTCTCAGCATTTTTCTTCGGCCATATTTCTAGTCAGCTGTTGTTACGACTCCCTCTGCTTACAGCTGGCTCATCTGAAAGTTTTAATAACATCTTATGGTTGATGATGCACCATATTTTCAGATTTCAGCTCGGCTTTACATGATTGGGTGATTTTAGTCTGGCTGGTCGTGGTTTTGTTGTTATTTTCTCTCTTTATTGTGAGTTTAATTTAACTTATTACCTCCAGTTCTTTGTTGGCTGAAAGCTTGTCCTTCTCACTGATGATCAAATAAAAATCTGTCCATCTTTTTTGACGCTCCTCTAAAACGTTGTCAGGAGCTTCATGTTCCCAGCCTCTTCCCACATCTCTGAATTGCATTTACCACATCATTAATTCACCAGGTTATGCAGCTTAATTGGACATCAGGCTTCTTCTTTTTTTCCTGTGTTGGTGTAATTCTCATCCATCTGCTGAATTATTGATCAGGCCCACGCTCATTAAATGAAGGGATGACTAAATAATTCAGCCAATGCTGCCTGCGTGTGAGCGCATCATGGATTTAACCATACATGTCTTATTGAACAGTGTGTCCTGCTGATACCGCGCTGTTATCATCTCTGAGGTGGAGGGGTCCCCCTGCTGGTGATTAGAGGAACTGCTCTGACTCCACTGCAGTAAATTAATCAGTTTTTATTTTTAAAAACTGAGAAAAAAATAAAATAAAATTCCTTTAGTTAAAGTTTCTAAAGTTTAAGGTAATTTCCTTATCCAGAAAATGTTTGTTATAAAAACATATATTTTTATAACATATAGTTGGGTATTTTCTTGCTTATTCCTCATAATCTTTTCATCTGTGACGTTTTGTAATTATCACCTAATTTCAGGTTTAAGATATTATTTAATATGCTGCACATGGTGTCGCTGAGAAAAGACATAGATCGTGTTTTTGCAGCCGTGTGTGTCTAGGAACATTTAACTTCTTCTGATAAGTGTCAAGTCTCACACTTATGTGCTAATTAGCGCTGCAAAAACTCAACTCTGAAAGTGAATTTGTCTTATTTGCATTTATAAAAATCTCATCAGATTAAATTTGAACCATATTCACTGAGGTGACGATTCAGACTTAACTCAAAATATCGTAAAAACTGGTAAATTTACATCTTGAGTTACAGTGGTACAGCAGAGGATAAGGGCCACCCTGACAAAGGAAAGAACATTAATTTGAAGATTTAATCAAAGTAATGCAAAACTGAAATCAAAATACTTATAGAATAGGTTTTAATACAATTAAGTCATAGTATTGCAGGATTAGAGTCATAATTTTACAAGAAATAAGTTATATTATGAAGAGAATAAAGACATACTGTTACAAGGATAAAGGGAAACTCATGGGAAAAAAAATGTGTGGTTTTACGAGATCCAAGTCTTACTATTTTCAGAATGACGTCTAAGCTCTGAGTATTTGGTCATTTGTAAAACTTACACAGAAATATAACTTTGAATGAACCATCTCTCTCATTTTTAAGCAGTAGGCGAGGAGTTCAGTAAAATTACATCTTTATTCTCTATAAAAATTAATTCTAAGTAAATTCCAAACAGAAAAGGAAGAAAAAAATCTTTTAGGTGGATTTTATACTCCCTTTTAAGGTCTTCTTGAAATCAAAATAATGTTTATTCTTGATTTTTTTACAGTAAAAAACTGTTAATTTCACTAAATAGTTGCAGTAGTCAAATAAATGTAGCTTATTAAATCTGAAGAGATGTTTTTGTCGAGAAACAGGACAAATGTACTTCCAAAGGCTTGAGTTTTTTTGTTGTGAACCCTTAATATGACCACAAACAACCCAACAAAAAAGGGCATAAAACTGTAAAACTTGATGGATTTGTTGTAAGAGACACAAAACTCCTTTTTAAAACAAAAACCATCCACAGAAAGATTATTGTTAAAGAGATGCGACAGCCGTACGCGCTACTAAATCCTCTGTCTGCTGAGGTCAGCGCTGGACTTTTTAGTCATGTTAGAGTATTTGAGCTACAAACAACAGAGGGAGAGAGAAACAAAACAGGTACAATATACTGTCCTGACTAAAAGATTTGAAAGTTTTCGACAGGTAACGAGTTTGTACAGAAAAGCCTGCTCTCATTATTCAAAAAGTTTGTCTACCTTTATGTCTTCTGTATTCATTTGTTTGAAAAATCTCTCTCTGAAATCACTTTTTAAGGACTGTTTGAAGTTTCACAGCCACAAAACTTTTCCTCTGTCAGATCCATCAACACTAACGTTCACTGCATTTAAGAACCTCTGACTCTGGCCGCCACAATCACCCTCCTCTAACGCCACCAACCCTCCACCTTTAAATCTAAGCACCACCATACCTCTCTTTCTCCACTGCATTCAAAACATCTCACCCACACCAGAAGCGGGCAATTAGCTCCTCGTTAGTGGGCTGACGAACCGCCATGTGACATCGTAGTGATGTCAGCAGCAGCCTCCACGGCGCTCACGTCTCTGTGGGGAGGATTGGAGCACCTTGAAGTGCGGCCTTGATTATGGAAACGAGCTTCAGCCCGGGTCACGTTTGTCACGATTCTCTCTCATTTACACACGGAGGTATTTGGGAATCGCTGTGATTTATAAGAGGCAGCGCAGACCACAAATCTGGCAACATCTAAAAGAAATATGAATATTTGATAGCTTAAAAGTAGGGCTGGGCGATATGGCCTCAAATCAATATCACGATATATTGATCAGTTCACCTCGATAACGATAAATGGACGATAACTATTCCACAAGCTGCTCACCCCGTCCCACATTTACTTCTTCTACTTCACCTGTATTTCTCTCTTTGTTACTGACTGGATGAAGTGGAGTCACGTCTCTGACAGCGTCTTAATGGGACATGAGACCATAGCCTACCTACACACATCCAAAACCAACTTTGATTTACCTATTTTTTTGACACTGAATATACCGATACGGGCAAAATGATGTCGGTTATTGTCGTAAATTTCAGTATAGTTAAAATATTCTACTTTAAAGCTTCCAGCATTTAGGGTTTGATTTGATAATTTTATTTAAGTGTCATACACCAAAATTGGTGCCCAGCCCCATGGGCTTATTAGACACTGTTCAACAAACTCAAAACACAATGCATCCAAGACAGCCACGCAACATAATATACAACAACAATAACATCAAAAATCCATTAAGAATTGTAACACAAACAATGAGGATAATGAAAGAGAAACAAAAAAGTTCATCCTACAGGGTACAAAATACTTTGCCGCATATGCCAAGCCTTTTTAACAAATTTTGCCAAAACAAAAACATCCTTTTCAAACAACCAACCCAAAATCTCACCTTCACTCTTCCAAAATAAATCAGGATTTTTAAACTGAATTGATTCAAAAATGACAGTCCTTAAGTCAACATATAAGGGACAATTGAAAACAAAATGAAATTCATCCTCAACCACCTGTAAATCACAGAATTCACACAAACGTGCTTCTTCCGGTAAGCTTTTAAATCGTCCCACTTCTACTGCCAGAGGTAAGGTACCTGTTCTCAACTGAGCACAGAGAGATCTCTGTCTTCTCTTTAAATTAAGGAAAATATAAGGTTCTGTAAAATAATTCTTCTTGAACTGAACATAATTTCTGAGCTTAGGGTTACTAAATAACGGGGATAAAATGTCCTAAAATCTCAGAATTTTCCCAAAACCGTAAAAACTTTACCCCCAAATCCGTTCAATCTGGGATCAGCTGAGGTTGTAGTATCTGGACGCTCACTCTGCTTTGTGTTTACATGCAGTGACCTTAAAACAAAGGGGTGAGCTTGTGGAGTGAGGTTATAATGGATCGAGCGCTCGTTGCCAATAACTGCTTTTAACGTTCTCTTCAGACCTCGGGGAGGGAGGGCGGCGAGTTCAGCGTGTTTGTTAATACGACAGCCTGACATTTTGTTTTTGTCTCCACAGTCATGTTTCGGCTCTACGACACAGATGGAAACGGCTCATTGGACAGCTCGGTAAATATTTCTCCTGTTTCCAGAATAACCACACCTCAAATGATCTGTCCAGTCCTGCAAACATGAAGATAGTGAAGTATTTTAAAATAATTCAGGAGTCTCTTGGTGGAAAATATTTTGCAGAAATGGTACTCAAGAGCATTTTCAGTTTCAGCTCAATTATTAGTGTGACAAAGAGTGACAAATGTGAGGAAAAAAGTCTTTGCAACAGCAGATAAGTCACTGAATTGTAGGTTATAATCTTTATATGAATCGTGGAAATAGAAGAAGGGTGATTTGTATTGTTTTTATCACACAATAAGCAAAGAGAGGCCGGAGTATATGAAAAACAGAATAAATGTCAATTGTTCCTCCGATTTGATTCATGAGTTCAATAAGAAGAACATAAAACTTTAGTTTTAGGGGGCAAGGAGAAGGATTCATAAATAGAAGATAAATAAAAATACTAGAGAGGAATACCAGACTGTCCCCCTGCTTGAGCTCACACTGAACTTCATGTTATATGATGCGATTTAACACAATCCAATACCATCAGTCAACCAGTCGGTCTTTATTTATTCAGCGTGAAGTTTGAAGCCTTTGTTTAAAGAGTGAGTTTACAGTCTAAGTCATTCAGGGCCGCTCACATTTACTTTACTGTTATTTCGTGACATTTAATGACGTATAAAACCTCTCATTTACTTGGAAACAGCTGATTGTCAGAGAAAGAGAGGGAGGAGAAAAGCAAAAAAGAGACAAAAATATTAAAAACATCAGTTTCAAAGGTTGTTATATTTTGTGACACAACATTTGGAGACTAGAGGATAAAGAGCTGAAGTGTGCAACACTATAAGAGGACATATGATATGAAAAGACGACTGAAATGATGCAAAATGATAAATCATGATAAAATACAATATGATGCCACGCAGTGAAACAATACGATCAGTAAAATACAATTTGATACAATACCATTTGATATGATATGATACTAGTGTTAGAAGTGATACTCTATGATAAAAGCCGTATGATACAATATAGGAGATGCAGCACAATGATACAAGTAATTCAAAAAATACAATATGAAACAAGCGATGTGATACTTGTGATAGGATATGAGAATACACTACAATATATGATAAGAGATGGATATCAGTGATGTGATAGGATTTGATACAAGCAATACAATACAAGTAATATGACACAACATGACAGTATGATGCGATATGTTTTGATACAAGTGAAACAAGAGATACAAGCAATGTGGTACGATACGATAAGATATGATGCAATACAAGTGATATGATACTTACTGATACAGTATAGTTCAGTACATCAGAGTCAAACATATTACCACACAAAACCACTCTGTAGTTCCAGTCAAACAGCTGGTGTCAGATGATACTCTGATATTATGATACAATATGATAGTATGGTACAGTATTGGTTTATACAGTACAATACAATACGATACAAGAACTTCATTGATTGGAAATTTATTTGTCTCATGTTTCATGTCAACTACTATTTATAGAAGAATTAAGCAGTCTGATGGTTGTGGGTACAAAATATAGTTCCAGTGGCCTTAATTAAAGGACAGGGCAAGTTATGGCACGGTGAGGTACAGCACAGCAGAATGGATCGGGTGGATTTTGTCTTCAATAATGTAAAACTAAGAAATTCAAAACAATACGACACAACATGATGTGTTTTGGCACAGTTCGGTTACTGACGATATACGCTTTGTTTTTGTTCCTTTTTCCTGTTTCCGCTTTCGACCCCACTTTTAACTGCATTTTCCTTTTTTCTTATAACTGTTATAACTCATTTTATGTTGCATGGTTCTTGTTCTGTCTGGGTTCCTTATGGCATGAAAATGGCCTTCAATTTCGTTTTAACTGAGCTTTTTGTTGTTATCTGTCTTTTTCCATGTGCTCTATGACTACATGTCAAAGCACTTTGTATTCTTCTGTTTTTAAAAGTGCTACAAATAAAGTTATTATTATTATATTATTATTATTTTGGCTGGATTGCTGCACACGTGTTACAGCAGTGAATGAAAAACAGACAGCAGAGCTGTGTGAGGAAAACATGTGATTGATCAAACTGAGGCATTATTACGTTAAGTTTTCTGCAGAAATGGTCACAGAGTTGATCTCTTCTTGCTTTGGGAGCAAAGTTACACAGTCTTCATGCAGAGAATAAAAAGGATAAACTGGCTTTTGCTTATATGCGTGGCAGTTTGTGTAAAGAGAACAAGCTGCAGAAGTTTTAAGAATCTGCGAGGGGCTGTGAAACGACAAGGAATTGGTTATGTAGGCTTGTCCCGAACCCTTGAGAGCTTTGTAAACAAGTGAAAGAGCTCTGCATCAATCTTAAAAGACACTGGGAGCATGCTAAACAAGTCCAGAGTGCATCATAGAGACTCAGTTCCCCACCAGATAATAATGTCACCCCTCTCTATCCAAAAAAAAAACAAGCACTATAATTAAAGCCTCAGCCTCAGAGCTCTTCCCACGCTGCCTTTGTTTTTCTCTGTGCGGAAGAATGACACTCCAAACCGGCGATTACTGGCTGCTCATCAGTCCATTCACACCACAGACATTTAGTGACATCAGATTGTAAGGCTGCAATATACAGAAAGGTAAAGATAGTATTTTTGTGCTTTTAATGATCGTCTGTGGCCTCACTACAGGAGCTGGAGCACATTATCTCCCAGATGATGCATGTAGCAGAGTACCTGGAGTGGGACGTGACCGAGCTAAAACCAGTAAGAAATCAGTAATAATACCAGTTTGACTTGATTACACTGTCAGGCAGATCTCTTGACTCACACTACAGCTGTTTTTCTTCAGTGTTTAGGCCTGAAAACTCATGAAAGATGTCCTACTTGGCATCTGTTTTTGCTCTAGATCCTCCAGGACATGATGCGTGAAATCGACTACGACCACGACGGCACGGTGTCACTGGAGGAGTGGATCCAAGGAGGCATGACCACCATCCCACTGCTGGTCCTGCTGGGCCTGGAGACGGTGAGTCCTGAGGGTCGTACGAACTAAGATTTGATTTGAAGTTAATGTCTAAATGAAGAATTATAGAACACCGAAACACATAAACGACGACTGTGTTTTAAGACAAACACGACGAGGGCGAAACTCTTACAGTCATCGTAAAACAACATGAGTCTGCACGTCATATTTTAGTTTCTGTGAAGACTCAGCAGAGATTTTAAGTAAATGCTCATTATTAGCATCATGCTATCTGCTGCTATTGCCATGGCAACACAGAAGCTCTTTCCACATATACACTCTTTAAAATTTGTAGAGAAATTTTGACAACCTGCTCGTGCAATTTGACAACGTTGTTATTCACCCATGTCCAGCTTTATTAGCTTTTTTTAGATGGATTCCTTAAGTTTCTCAGCTTGTTCCAAGTTTGACACCTCTCATGTTCTTGCTTTACATTAATACTGTGTTTTATTGGACATATTGAAAGTAGAAGCGAGGACAGTTAAAGAGCAGAAAAGATAAAGCAGCTGTATTCTGTGCATGATAAACACCAGTTACATGATGTACAGTATATCATCGCCCCTTCAAACTTGCATATGTTGGATTTTCCTGACTTATTCTCACTTTTTTGGAGACATCTAATCATAAACAAAGAGGGAAAAAAATCCAGGTAGAGTTTGAATCTATTTAGTTTTGCACAAGCATCATATGTTAAATATTTATTTATATTTAGGTGTATGTGTGAATACATCAACAGTTGCTTATAAAGTATAATGATCACCAAGTTAACAGTTAAAGTTTGAATGATAGCATGCAAATATTTGTTGATTAGCATTAGACTTAAAAAAGATAAGTTGGTTTATGGATTATTAAATGGAGAAAATATAACATGGTTTCAGTGATTGACAAAAAGAATCATTAATTTAAAACAAATATGTCCAAAATTGACCAGTTCAAACCTCAATCTGAGGATCTGCTGCTTTTCTTATGAGGAGTTTTGGGTCGAGTTGGTCGAAAAAGGTTTTAATTTTTCACTTAGAGATCTGACAATTGTGATCACTGAAATCTCCTATTTGCTGCTGTGTACATTTCCCAAATTAAAAGCCGTCTTCAGTTCACCTAATCTCCACTAGATGGAACTATTTGATCAGTTTCAGCAGAGAGAGACTCTACATTTCATTTTTTATGAATGAGAAGTTACTCAGGTTTACTATATCAGGAGTACAACGCTGCAAGTAGACAGAATAATACAGATGAAAATGCTGCATGAAAAATAATCCGAGGGATGAGTGTCTGTAAGGGTTTGCTGAGATATTATAAACAGTTTTAATGCAGCAGCTGCTCTGTGAATCACTCGTCTCTCTGCAGAATGTCAAAGATGACGGGCAGCACGTGTGGAGGCTGAAACACTTCAACAAGCCGGCCTACTGTAACCTTTGTCTGAACATGCTGATCGGACTGGGGAAGCAGGGACTCTGCTGCTCCTGTGAGTGATGCTCTGACCATTAACTAAACAACATGTGTATTGATTCAGTGCAGATAGATAAAGTAGGCCAGCGTTGTCTGTTCATTTGTAGCATCACTGGTGTCATGGATGGTCTCCTGTGATCAGAAACTTGGAGTTTATTCGTCAGGATGTGTTGGAAATAAGCGAGTCTCAGTTTCCTTTTACATTTTAACTGAAAAATACACATTTTCACAATGAAGTTCAGTTAACACTTTCACAAACACATTACTTAATCCCTCGTGTTTATCACTTTCATCTGTACCAAGCGTTTCTATTTTTCCTTCTCCTTTTTTAGTCTGCAAGTACACGGTCCACGAGCGCTGCGTGGCCCGCGCGCCGCCATCCTGCATCAAAACCTACGTCAAGTCCAAGAAAAACACGGAGGTGCGTCCAATTGGAGTGTTTACCAGTCGGCACGCTTGGATCAGCGATGCGGCACGGAGCTTAGGATGAGAGTTTCTCTTCTTCTAATGGAATTAAAATAACTCAATCAGCTGCAGAGCATTTCTAATTACCAGTACAGCTCAGCTCTAAAGCCACAGACTCCGTGGAGTGTCCTCTTTCTTTCATTCTCACTCTGTGTCTTGTTGTTTTCTTTCCCTCTTGCTTTATTTAATTGTCATGTCACTTCTGTCTTTGTAAATAAATCTTGTTTTCCTGCGCCGGGTTCTCTCTTCTCACTTCTTCCCCTCTCCGTATGCCGTCTCTCCCTCTCTCCGTAGGTAATGCATCATTTCTGGGTGGAGGGGAACTGCCCCACCAAGTGTGACAAGTGTCACAAAACCGTTAAGTGTTACCAGGGCCTGACTGGGCTCCACTGTGTGTGGTGTCAAATCACGGTAAGACACCACCCGAGGAGAAGCAGCCACCTCCTCGTTAGATTCCCACTGCTTCTCGTACTTTAGCTTTTGTTTTTAGCACCTCAGATACCCTCTACCAATTTACACCCAGAAAACACTTGTGATTGAGTTCATGGAAATAAAATATATACGGCAAAGTCTCATGTAAAGCTAATGAATCTGGAGCATAAAGCTGAAAATGTTACGTTAAACGTGGACTCTAACTTGATGAGTTTTGGCGTTAAATAATGGCTGTAACCTTTCCTCCAGCTCCATAACAAGTGTGCCTCCCACGTGAAACCTGAGTGTGACTGCGGCCCCCTGAAGGATCACATCCTGCCCCCTAACTCAATCTGCCCCATCATCCTGGTAAGACTTTCACTCCTTTCTGGTCGGAGAGTCTGACCTGGTTTGACTCGGTGTGTTATCTGAGGATGCAATCACCAGCACAAGTTCTCCCACAGAGCTCTGAAAATGGCAAAGATGTGTTGTTTTTTTTTAGCTTTTTGGGAATAATCATCAAAATGGTGAAAGTTTATTTCAGAGGAAAAGACTGTGTAACAGAAATTACTCATAAAATGTCTCAAAAACACAGTTAATTTTAGCATTTTGACTTCAGCATTAAAAGTTTGTAAAAATTGTTAGTTTTTTTGTTGTTGTTGTAAATAAAACAAAAAATAAGAAAGAAATCCACATTATTAATCATGTTACACAGAAATAGCAAGATCCTGAGTCAGTTCATCCAAAACACAAAATAAACACTCAAATTTGTCGATTAAAAAGTAGATTTCTCATCCTCCTTTGAGCTAAAACACAAAATAACAGCTTGGACTTTCTCTTTTTTCATGCATTTATCACGACATGTCTAGCTCATAATCAATAACCCAGTCAAATAGTTCAGATTTTTGTACATATTGATGTTTAAATGTTTTTTAAGCCCCTCTTGCACCTGCAATAATGCAATAATGTATAATATTTGATGTATTATTTGTTTTGAATTGGTTATCAAATTCATAAATTGTAAAAGGACAAAACTCAAACTTTACCTTTATGTTGAATTTATCGACCAAATCATTTTATAATCATTTTAAAGAATTTTCCTTACAGTTTAATTTAACCTAATTTATGTATCTTTAAACCACTTGTTTGACCTTTGACCCCCAGGAAAGGCAGACGACGCTGAGGAAAGACTCCCTCCGATCCAATCAGACCGGCCGAGGGAAGATGCAGAGAGCGAACTCGGTCACCGTGGACGGTCAAGGACTGCAGGTGAGACTTTTATAACCTCAGCGAGGGAGGAATCGGGACGACTTAAAATCCATCAAAATGACATGAAGTTAAGTCCTTTTTTACTGCCGATGTTACTGGTTATAAGGTTGAAATGAGATGGAAAAGAAATGTTAGAATTAGAGAAACACTGATTTATTTTCACTGTTTTGATGAAGTGAACCTATAAAAAGTTTCTAAATTGTTTTTTTAAACCACAACTTGCAAAATTTGGCCCTAATACTCCGTCGTAGTAAGCAGCGTCTTTGCGTGCACATAAGGCACCACAAACTTAAAGCTCCTATAAGGAGTTTTTATCTCCTTCTCAAACAAAGTGAGACCAATATGGATGCTTCTTTATGAGACCACCAGCAAGACAGATTTTTTCTGTAAAGTTGTTTGTAATGTTAAGAACACTGGTGGGGGGTAGGTGTCAAATCAGCCCTTTTTTTCCCCTACACTTTTGAAAGCTGAGGTTTCATCGAATTGTTGTTTACTATAACAGGGTGTGTTATACATTTTATTTTAGGATTATTTTTACCTTTGTTTCTAGGAGAGCTGAAGAGAGACAAGAGATATGAGAAGTAGAGAGTAGGGACAAAGATACAGCAAAAGATTACATCAGGACGTCATGAAGTCATACCTGTGACCAACAAGAAATATAGGCCCTGTATGTGGGAAAGATGTCTGAATTGCTAGGCTAACTACTGCGCCAGGATACGACAACCCTGAATTACTCAAATCAGCAAAGAGATCAGAGGTAGTGCTTTGTCCACAGGGGGGCGCCAAAATCGATATGAACTTAAAGTTCCTCACTGGAGCTTTAAAAACTGCCATGAAAATTCACTTTTTATCAATCAAATCTGGTGTACGAGACAAACTTTTGGTTCCCTTTTGTCATCCAAGAAGTGGACTGTAATCTGTGCACCTGTACAACAAATATCCCAGAATACATTTCAGGAGAGGTATTTAAGAGAAGTGAACGATGAACAAAGGTGGCATGAGTTTTGGTTAATTGATGGCAGATATGGTTTGTCCATACCTCACAACCATCATTGTTATAGTAGGAAGTTGGCTGGGTTGCATCAACACAGTATTGAAAAGAGATACACGTCTGCATGTAAAGTGCACATTTCTGAACCCAATGGAAGTCTGACCTAGTTCCCCCCAAATCAACATATACTGTGGATTTTATTTTAATTTTCTGGAGCTTCATTGATATTGAATATCAATTGCTGCTTTGAGGATAATAATCTATTTTAGACAAGAATTCAAAAGTTCATGGAAGGTTTTTGTGTGAAAGCAAAAGACTGGAAAAGACTCAAAAAGTTTTTGGTGTCTTTAATTTCCCCCATAGAATCAAACTTTTATCAACTGCAGCGTCTTTGTGCAAAATAAGGAGTTAAAACATGAAGCTGAGCCAAACCAGGGTGTTATTTTCACTCACTCATCATACTAAGTATTTTGGGTGTTTCCCTGCATTCATCCATTTTCTTAGTTTAGCTGTGTGCAGGCCCTGCTGGTTCTTCACCATCCTAGTCCAGACCCCGGCCCGGTCTGGTCCTCCCTCATGTCTGTCAGGCCGCTCACTAGCGATGGAAACCTGCTGCTGTCTGTGGCGACTGCTCGTCTGCACGAGGCTGAGATAGAAATGTGATGAATCATATCCCCGGCACATTCATCTCTGCCGCTCCCCGGCTAACCAGCATAATAATCAAGATTATTATTTATAATTACAGGAAGTAATGGATCACTCCGGACTGGACAGGGAGCTCGTTAATTCACCCTCGGCCTGCTGGGATAGCAGACAGGGGGAGTTAAGCGCTTCATCTGTGTCAGGGAGAGCACAGGGCGAGGAGCTAGCCCGCTAGATGAGAGGTTGTTGATGTGGCTCTTTGTGAGCTCTGCAGGGTTTGTCTGATCCCTGTTTGAGTACTGGTTAGTTAAACTGGAAAATCCTGACCCAAAATTAACCGCGCAGACTTTGAAGCAGGGGTGACAAATAGCTTTTACATCTGAGCTCTAAATCAAGAGGTATCAGGGATCGACTAAGAGATAGACGGGTTGACTCAGTGTCCTGTGGATTCATGTTTGTCTCCTTTCTGAGGTTTATAATAAATGGCATCACAGGTTTAAATAAAGTCACATTAGCAGCATTTTGGACCCCATTAAAAGACCAAAACCCTTAATGAGACTTAATAGGTTGAATTAAGTAGGAGTCAATGAAAGAAGTGCTTTAAACCTGTATTCTTTAACTGGCCAGCAGGGGGCAACACAAACAGTTTATTTAGCAAAAGGTTTCTTACTGGTTTGTTTTATTACGTGTATACCACGTATGGCGGATGGTCCAACAAAGTGAAATCATGATCAGTTAACCATTTGGTAGAAGTTTTGGCGTTGTGGGCAGGTGCTAATGCTGCACTCCAGTTATACTCGGAAGTCAGAATTTCCGAACTCCAAGTCGGAAATCCATCTGGAACGCCCCCCTGAAGTCGGATTTCTGACTCAGAAAGTCGGACTATCCTCACCAACCCCAACTTAACGACAATGTTACACCCGAGTTGACGACGTTCCAGTAAACAAGTCGGAAAACCAAGATGGACACCTACTGTTAGCCTCTAACAACAACTGACAAAGGCTAACGAAGGCTGACAATTGTTAACAACTAACAACAACAAACAGTGGGCATCCATCTTGGTTTTCCAATTTGTTTACTGGAGCGTTGTTAACTCGGGTTGTAACATCATTCCCTGCTCTGACATCCGACTTCCAAGGTAACTGGAAACGCAGCATAAGTCCCTCTAGAAATCTGCATGTTCATAAAGTTTGTCAGCAGATGGAAACAAATCCTTAAAATCTCCTGGTAAATTCAAAGGTTGTGTTGACTCTGGACTTGAATGACTTTTCATCCTTAATGATCACAGACTGTGGAAACTCCATCGTGGTCCTCAAACACCTCTAATTCTTTACGTGTTTGCTCTACCTTCAGGAAAAGAAAAGAGGTTAAAAAGGCAGTAAGAAGGTGAAATCTCACATTAGTAAGAAGGTTTAAAAAATTTCAAAGATTTTAAGAGATGGATCTGATGCTCTGCGCCTCTGGCAGGTCGTCCCAAAGTCAAGCGACCCTGATTAAACAAAAACACGGTCTCAGTTTTGATGCTCGGCTCTTCTACAGAAAAATAACTCGTATTTATCAGCCACAGTTTTGCTCTGGCTGAAAGTTCATGGTTTGAAAGAGCCTGTCCACAGCTGCTTATTTTGTATCAAACAAATTTTCTGCCTTCCAATATGCAAATTACCAAACTGAATGTGTATTAATTTCCAAAAAGTGGAACTAATTACTCTTTTTTTTATGTTTCTTTCGCAAAAAACTCAAGTGTCCATCAGTGTTGGGAAATTGCTCACCCTTTAAAAAGTGAAACTAATATTTGCAGCCTTTTTTTCAGAGCTGAGTGTCGTAAACACTGTAGGAAAGTGTAACTAATATTTTGTTAGTAAGGAAAAATGATGATTTTTACTATTTAATAACGCACATCAGAGACTCACCTTAAAGGGAACTTTTCTGTGATTTATTTTCTTTAAAACACTTTTTTTTTTGGTGACTTTATCACTGCTCTGTGTTATAATTAGATATTATAATTAAAAGAAGATGAAATCTGGGCCCAGGTAAAGAATTGGAGAGCGGTCACACTTTGCTGCACTTGTGTGTGTCTCTGCGCCGAAACAAGAAAAAGTATAAAATCCACCAGATGACTGGCGTGGCTTGGAAGTGCTGTGAACACTCGATAAAGCGTCTGAGGGATATGTCTTGAAAGTGAATTCCTGTGAAGCATCCTGCAGTCTCCAAACACCGACCGTTTGTTTTGACATCTCTCATTCAGATCACAACAATAGAGGGCACTCATCCTCTGCTCGTGTTTGTCAATCCGAAGAGCGGGGGGAAACAGGGCGAGAGGTAAGTACACAATCTGTCTCAACATGCTACAAGAGGCCTCTGAAAGCCCCCATCCTCGGCTCCTCAGCCCGCAGAGGATGGGGGCTGCAGCCGCCACCGCCGCCGCCGGGCCTCTGGCTGCCGAGAGCTGCAGGCTTACACAGTCGAATAAAAACACAATAACATTAACCTAAAGCACGAGCAGATCACACACACACACTCTTAAACACACACCCTCTCCTCTGGTGGCTGTCACGGCGGCTCTGGCTGGTCCCCCGTCTTTAACCCTGGGCTAATTGGCTTATTACTGAAACATATTCATTCACTCCTTATTACGCCGGCCCTCATTTGTTTAAATTATGAGATCAAAATACGACTTCAGCCAGTTGATATAATGAAATTGAAATTAAAATGAATTAGTCTTTCTAATGGTTTCTCCTCAGGGGGACTTTGGGCATGTCCCACCCCGCTGCCCAGTCCACTGCCACGTCACGCTTTGATTGGACGCTGCTCTGCGTCGACACAAATCCCTTCATTTCAGGCCTCTTCTGTGATATTCAAATGACGTGTGACTTTTTCCTTTTTGTTATTCCTGATGTTTTCTTTCTGGGTTTCCACTCCTGCAGGATTTACAGAAAGTTCCAGTATCTCCTGAACCCCCGACAAGTCTATAACCTGGCCAAGAATGGACCCATGCCCGGGTATGTAGGTCGTAAACAAGCATCATGACTTCACAGCTTAAAAACAGTCATCTAGTTTAATGAAATAGATTAAATTTAGGCAGATTTTCCTCTAACTTAATCGTTCTTTCTTTTTCTTCAAGCTTGTTTAGGGTCTAAGTCAGGAGTCCTCAAAGTGGAGGGGTGCTAGAAACTAGGACTAACAAGTTGTGGGACGCCTTTGAAAACAAAATCACATTTTAATTGTTTAAAATTTATATTTCTATCCATTATTTTAGACGTGTTTACAAAAACTGTAATTAAATATGAGCTTAACGAGTTTAAATAAACATGAATAATAAATTAAAGCTACTGTAAGGAATTTTTGATTGGTTATAAATAACAATCAAAAATGTGCATGTTCAGTTACTTTGTGCATACATGAGGAAAATTAGGCTGCAAAACTAAAGTTTTTTAAAATTTCAATTAAAAGATTTTAAATTCTTCAATATTTAAGTTTTAACAAAGCGTGACTAAAAGAATCGAATCAGACTGTGTTTGCAGGTGATCTCGTGTTCACAAAGTTTGTAGTTGCTCGTATTTAATGACCAGAATCACATGCAAAGAGTCGCCTGTGGTATTAGAGCCCCTCACTCACTTCCCTCACACAGACAGACACACAAATGAGGTGAGTCCTCACATAACCGACCCTGCAGACGACACAATCATGCTGTCATGACGGCTCCATATGCATAAGACTGAATGTGACACACAGATAGAGAGGGGCGAGATTGTCGCCATACCACATGTGATCACGCATACAGACGAGGGGCTCACGGTGGGCGAGTGGGCGCAGCCGGCGTCTCCATTCTTATGGTCCACATCTGTGATTAAGAAAATGAATGGATCATTGACATGCACGAGGCGCTGAAACATACAGGGATGCCTCAGCACCGTGCTGCCTCGTTGTTTGGCTTTGATTAGAACTGAAAACGGCGTCTTTGTGGCTTATAAAAAATAAATACACAGCGGCACACGCAGGGTACAAAAACGCCACCGCTCACAGATTGTGCCGACGCAGCTCCAAGTTTTCAGGGGCTGACCTTCCGTTCGGTGTTTTTATTTTCTCTCCTCTGGCTCGTTCCGCACGTGGCCTCAAACTTCATCTGGAGCTCCTCCCCACAGCTGAGAACTTTCCAGATCACCTTCCCGCAGTAACCTTGTTATTATTTTGTCAAGCACACACACACAAACACACAAACACACACACACACACGGCCGCGCACATTAGCGAGCTGACCGGTCACCGTCGGACACTGCAGACCGAGGCAGCCGCACGCACTGCTGTCAATTAGCTGCCTCTCTAATGCAATCACAGCAAATTAAGTGTTTGTTTCTTGGTATTTAAACATCCCCAAAGCTGCCTTTCATGTTGGCCGCCGTCTGTTTTGCGTCTAATAGGGTTTGAGGTCCCAGTTGGAGAGTAATTGAGCGAATCATTTACCCGCCATACGAGGCCGAGAGGCTGGCTCATTCAGTTAGGGCTCTGTTATTGTGAAGGAACGGAAGAAGTTGGACTGAACATTGCCTGTCATGATCCAATTAGCCGTCCAACAGGCCGGCTCGCTGGCTGATGAATAATTGTCAGTGTGACATGTGTTATTTTGTTGGATTAGAGGAGGTTTGCAGTGAAGTTGTGGCGACCAGCTCAGAAGGATGCGTTCGACACTTTCTCAGCTTGTACAGAAATGCTGGAAAAATCAGAGTGACTCAATCAAACATCATTTGAACCCACTTCTACAAGGCTTTCTGAATGTTTACAAGCATTTATAACAGCTTAAAGGTTCGGTGTATCATACGTTATACTCTAATACTTTTAAATTGAGGGTTTAGTAACACATAACTCTTACAACTTTACTCAAGTCATGATGTGAGTGTTCAAAAGATCAAAAGATGTCCTCAAAATTAAGAATCATAGAAGTTAAAACTTTTTGCCTGCAGCTCTTTTGTGCAGCCCACCTCTTATAATAGACAACAGCGTCTTCCTGGAGGATGCCCCTCTGAGGGGTCACATCAGAGAGCTCAGGTTGTTTGTAACTATCAGCCAAATTTGAAGGATGTGAACCTGAGAGACTGCAGATCATGTAGATCTGAAAGGTTACCGCTCTGTGATGCTAATTCGGGGGCGACAGTGAATGGGCAGACCGCACCATCAGAGTGATCTCGATCCAATAAAATATTTGATAATGAAATAATCCAATCATGATGTGCGTGTACATGCACTGAGCTTTATTTAGATTATTCAGATTTGGACATGTGCAGACTTGTCTAATTTCGTTAAAACAACTGCAGAAAGAGAGTTGTATTTACGCCTGAGCTGTTGACAAACCAACAAACGCAGTAGTGGCTCACTTCATCCAGTTTAGGATTTTTCCTTCCACTCAGAATGGACCTGAGCCCGGTTCTGCGAGCAGTTGTATTTCTCCTGGCATACATGATCCTGCGTTACATGAGGAGACTGTATCCAGCGAGAAAGTTGTGTCAGACACAGACCAACTGCTCTTGGATCCTAACATGTTTACATCTTGTCACTAACAGCCGAAATACGTTGCGTTGACGTAGGGCACACAAGCGCTGTCAGGTTAGTTTTGCCTCAACAGAAAGTCACAATCGGAATAAGTGTCATGGACATGTTTCGGAATAACTATCAACATAAACCACCCCTCTCGATCGGAATATAATTTCTTTCCAACTGAGCTGAATCGGATCAGAATCTTCCGATCGACGTGTTTACATGACGCATTTTTATTCAGATTATTTGTGTCCATGTAAAAGCAGCTCCTGCGGTCAGCTAAATCCTGGTTCCTCTAACGCAGATATAATGTTATCCTCTGATTAAGATGCCAGTAAACCCTCATCTCTTGGTTTATTGAAAAACAACTTGCTGTGTCTCAGTGATGTTTTTTTTTTCTTTGCAGGCTGAACTTCTTCAGAGACGTTCCTGATTTCAGAGTTCTGGCCTGTGGAGGAGACGGCACCGTGGGCTGGATCCTGGACTTCATAGGTGAACTTTGACACTGAGAATTTAGTCCCTGAAGGGCTTCCATAGAAATGATAAATCGGCACATTTAAACACCAGGGGTCCGTTTCACGTAGGTGGTTCAACAAACTCTGAGTTAAATCCTTAACTCTGAGTTGATCTACTCTGAGTTAGGAAACTCTGAGTTTCCGGTTTCACAACTCCTGATTTGAGACGGTTTTAACAACTCCGAGTAGTTTGACCTGGAGTTAAGCACGTGCACGCCAGACATAAACAGCCAGCATCTGTGGAGCGCAGATTCAATGATCAACCAATGGAAACAGGGAGAAGGAGGGGGCAGCAGCAAGCCAACAGCGAATTACAGCACGTTTTTTAAAGAAAGTGCAATACAGCAGCAGCTGCAAAGGAGAGGGAGAGGGCATGGGAGGAAATCGCTGCTCGCGTCAATGCGTAACTTTAAATCTAGTCTCGTGCAATCACAATGACAGACTGTTGCAGGGAAATTGCTTGAATCACTTTGATCATGTTTTACATTGTCAAGTAAGTATTAAGTGGCAGTTTGATCCCTTAGAAAATGCTCTTTTCACACTCAAAAATGAATTTTACTCTCTTATGATGTTCCGTTAAATGATTAGGAATATTAAACTAACTCTCAGTATGTATATGTACATATATTAAACAAACACACACTACACTCAATATTAGACTTTCACTCAGCAAACAGAAAGAGGGCAGATGCCAGAAAAACGGGTGGTGGCCCAGCAGCCCCACCTTTAACGGGGATTTGCGATCGGACCGGCCGCGATCGTCGAACGGGGGGGGGCGGCAGCTCCTCTGCCTCCGTTAAAGGTGGGGTTGCTGGACCACCACCTGTTTTTGTGTTAGTTTAATATTCCTAATCATTTAACGGAACATAATAAGAGAGTAAAATTCAGTTTTGAGTGTGAAAAGAGCATTTTTTAAGGGATCAAATTGCCACTTAATACTTACTTGACAATGTAAAACATGATCAAAATGAGAAAATGCCGATGTCTCACCTGAAACTCTGGGTTTACTGAGTTAAACCTGCTCCCGAGCAGGTTAGGTTCACGGAGTCTGTTACTGTGGTAACTGACCGCAAGGTTGAGTTACCTCTCTTTGTGAAACAGGTTAGAGTTACCCCTCTCTCCCTGGTTTAACTAACCCTCCTTTGTGAAACGGAAAACTCAGAGTTTTCCTGATTTCAGGGTTAACGAACTCGGAGTTTCCACTAAACCTGCTACGTGAAACGGACCCCAGGAGAGCTGTGGTTGATCTCCCATCTTTGAGCACGTACATCATTGTTTACACGCACACTCTCCTTCAATTGAAAGCCTGCATCACTGTTGTTGTTGTTCAGCCTGAAATGGTGAGGTTATGGTTCGTATGTAAACACTTTAATTATGTCCACGTCTGTGTTTTCAGCAGAGGTGAAATAGAATGATTACATCAGTTTGAAAACAACGTAAAAGTTATTATTTGTTGAAAATAAAAAAAGACAAAAAAAATCAGCTGTCCCTCTGCCCTCAGACGCCAACATGTGTTACTTGTTCTGTCCCTCAAAAATTGCCGCAATTTTTTATCAATCAAAACAAAGAGAGGTAATAACAGCCAGGTAAAATGTGTTTCTCCAAATAGACCGTAACACTCAGGATTCATATTTTCATGTACTTTTCAAATCGGGCCGCAGAATGGGTTTGATGCTTTCTTCGCCAAGTGAGTTTTCTTTTCTTGTTCTGGCCGCGTTTCACGTCATGTTGTGATATTTGTCCCGCTGCTCCAGATAAAGCCAACCTGGACAGGAACCCCCCTGTGTGTATACTTCCTCTGGGCACGGGCAACGACCTGGCAAGATGTCTGCGCTGGGGAGGAGGTACTGACAGGAAACAGATATGCACCAGTGAACTACACACCCTCATTACACCTTATTATTTTTAAGATTAAGTGCAGAACGTTTACATTTGAAACACATGCAGCAAACAGAAAAGTACAACAATGATCCCAGTTTAAGGTTAAATGTCAATCAAATGTGAGAAAATAGTGAAAATGACCATCAGAGAGGTGAGTTCAAGGTCACATTACTGGTCGTCTTGTTTTATTTGACCCCTCGTCCTGTTGTAGAAGTTGCAGTTAGTGAAGTTTTCATTATAAATGCATGTAAACAGAGGGGTTCAGGGTCAGAGGTGTGCACAGTTGATCCAGATTTAACTCCTTTAACCTGTAATCCATAAAGAAACACTTCAGTTACGGCTAATTCTGCTCAAACTCAGCAGGAACTAATCCTAATCTTAACCTACTGAGAGTCTAACAGACCACTCTCTCTTTCTGTTTCTGCATCCGAGTCCAGCCAAAGATTTTATTCAAACACATAACATCTGAAAAAACCCACGTATTACTTTAAATGTTTGATAATAATTTAATTTAAATGTCAGGTTACGAAGGAGAGAGCCTCCTGAAGATCATGCGGGACATCGAGAACAGCTGCGAGGTGATGCTGGACCGCTGGAAGATCGACGTCACGCCGACAGACAAGGAGGAGCGAGGCGACCCGGTGCCGTACAGCATCGTCAACAACTACTTCTCCATCGGCGTGGTGAGTGACGCTTCAGTCGTTAACTTACAGGAGGAGTGACAAAGAGAGTCTCAAGAGCGATCACGCCCTCGTTTTTACTCGGGTCCAAGAGTCCTGCTGGATGAAACAGCGATGTCTTTATGTTTGATTTTCAAAGAGTAAGTGAGTAAGTGTGTAAATAAATTAAAGATAAATTTGATGCACTCAGATACACTAGGAGTCTACGGAGGATTAGGGTCACTGGAAAAAACAAAAAAAAAATCTGATATGATTTTTGTAATAATTATTCTGAGAAAAAAGTCACAATTCTAATAAAACAAAGTCAGAATTCTGAGATTAAAGTGAGAAATGAGCTCCTGGAATTTGTTGTTCTCTCTCTGAAAGCCTTTGAATGAACCATACCATACCTGCCAACATTTAGGTTATAAAATTCGGCATATTTTTGCGGCATGGCCGGGCAGTTTTGAGGTTACCTTGTTTGGAGGATATGAGCTAATTATGAGGGTATTTGTAATCAAATTGCTCATCCAAATAAGTCTAAGTGAAGCTGCACACTTTTTTCTTTTGTTTTAGCAATAAAAAAAGATGATAATAAATAAATAAGAGCTATGATATGCCTTGAACTTATTTAGTCCACTTATATTAGTGTTAAAGTCCTCACATGTTTAGGCTCTCTGAACATCTGTACGTGAAATACAGCATTCTTTTATCTGAGGCTGCCCTGAACGCATCACTCCGAGACAATGCAAGACTATCAACGTAAAATATTATATCTCACATTTGTTTCCCTTTCATTGAAGTGTTCATTTTGACACAAACACTGTTTAAATATAGTTTACAGTTTAAACCAACCTGAATCATCCCAAACTGTAAAGTAACAGTATTAATCCAATGTCTGTGAGGCTCAACAGAAACACAGGACAATCTTCGGTTGTCTGGAAACCTGGACACTCTTGACAAATATATTAATCTGATTCATGAATGAACGTGGACCATCAAACTACAGGAGAAATGAGAATATGGGAAGTGGGCGGGAGATAGATCTAAATACAGGAGAGTCCCGGGAAAAACTGGAGTGTTGGCAGGTATGGTTTAAAATCAGAATTCAGACTTTTTTCTTAGAATAACTATTCAAAAATTATATTGGACCTTTTTTTTAATTCCCAGTGGCCCTAATCCTCTTCCGTAGGCGTTAACCTCACAGTTGTGAATTTTTTCAAGTATTTCCCTCAGGATCAATAAAAAAAATGAGAAACTAAGACTCTTTGAACCAAAACCTCTGAGTACTGCACCTGCTCCAGTTATAAAGACTAAAAATTCCTTTATTTGTTTAGCAAACGTGTCTGTAAAATCATTTCTTACAAGAATAAAGTCATAAAGTAGATAAAGTCTCAAAGCTGCTTTTGTGGAGGATGAAATGTCTGAACTGGTCAACTGCAGAGTTATCTGTGGGTGCATCAGTGAGCCATTCAGAGGGATTTTGTGGTTTCTTAAGGAACAATCCAACTGATGATCAACATTTGTGATTCAGAGAGCGTCGAGCTCCGACGAGCACCGCGTCTGCCTCTGATGCCGGCACAACACCGGCATCAACCTCCACCTGCAGAGGCACCAACACCTTGTCTGTAAAGAGTGTTTTAATACACAAACTTCGAACAAAGACAAAAGCTTCAGTCGACCTTCACACTGAAATTTAAATTATTTTCATCAATAATTCTCAAAAAAACATAAACGGACTCACAGCAGCGGTCTAATCAGTCCATTCATCTGTGCCGATCACAGCCTGCTTAGGCCTTTATTGAGCTGTGATCAAGCCTGAAGCGTGTCTGATTGATAAACAGGCCTTGTTGTGTATTTTCACGGTGTTAAGCAGCCTTCAGCACCCCCCTCTGTCCATCTCCACTATAATGACACTGATTTCACGTAGCTCATGTTAGCCATTACTGATAAATGTCAGGGGGAAATATGGTAATTGACATTTGCAGGAGGTAGAGGAGGGAGCCTCTGGATGTTGTGAGTTTTTGTACGGACTGGAACGGAGAGGTAAGTGATGCATGGCCTCACAAATGTTAGTTGAATAACACCTCCAGCCCGGGCCCCTAATGACCATGTTAGAGGATATTAGAGGACAGGTCTTGTTAACATTGTGACAGAGGAGAACGATGGCTGTCATCTGTCTGCGGGGATGGACATATGCTGATGTGGACAGGGAGGAGGGGGTCGTTGTGGACGGTAATAGTCTCTGACAGGCTGCTGCTGCTGTTGGGAGTAAGTCCGTGAAGTGAAGGAGTAACTCCGAAGTCCTGAAGACGGTTTTTACAGTAAGATACCGTTAAAAACAGAGCTGAGACATCTCACCACACTAAGGTTTGCAGCAATTGAACTCTAAAAGTAGATATTGGTTCATTCCTCCTATTCTGATTGGAAATTGAAAAAAATTGGTGACTATTGCGCAGTATTTTACCGTAAAACACCGTATCTGTGACTCATGAGCTTCAGATATTCAAGTCTTATCACAGACTGTGAAAAAAGAGGGTGTTTTGTCAAAATAACTTGGAAGAATTAAGATAGAAAACTGAGGTTTCTATGAAAGAGGGTTAGGGCCACAAGAAGAGAAAAAAATAATCACAGGAGGGGTTTTTAAATTTTTTAAATTTCCATTTTGAGGTTAAAGTCGAAATTTTAAAAAGTTGAAATTTCGAATTTATTCATGCCGACTTTAATCTTGAAATTACAACTTTAATCTCAAAATTTTGAGTTTTTTAATCTCAAAATTTCAACATTTTTCACAACATTTCGACATTTTGTAATCTCCAAATTTCAACTCTAATCTCGAAATTTAAATTTTTGATGTTGAAATTTCAACTTTTTGACATAATTTTGATTTTCTTAATCTCAAAATTTTGACTCTAATCTCATTTCTGTAATTATATTTTTTTCTCTTCATGTATCCCTCATCCTCTTTCATAGGTTTCCCCTCAGTTATTGCAGTATTCATGGTTATCTATCACCATGATTAGCATCTCCTCATCAGTATCATCACCAAAGACCTCTGATAACCTCAGCCCCCTGATTCCAGGCCGGGCTCTACTCATAATGATGTTTTTTTTTTTTGCGTGTGTTTTATTCTATAAATAACTGGATATTTCACAGATGTTACCTTGGTATTCAACCTCCTGTCTTGCGCTGTCTGCCCAGTTCTGATTGATGCACAGTGCTCTGGCATTAAGAACCAGATATCAGATCTGGAGGCCTCTGGATTAACCTGACTGTGAAGGAGAAGAAATGTCTATATAGCCTATTTGTCTAACGCTATACAGGAGTCAGTTTACTGATAACACAGATTTCAGGCCAGTGAATTTTGAGCTTGTGACTCAAGAGTCTGTTGCAGCAGTTTGCCATGCAGCTGAAGGATCAAAGTGTCTTGAAATACTACTTTTTCTTAATTGGCGGTGTATAAATAAAGATTGATTGGTTGATTTTTTGGGCAAAAATCCATAAAAGCGACCGCCACAGACTCACCAACTGGCTTCATCGCTCCTCTTTTGAAACCAAAATGAGACTTTACCGAGACTACATCCATGTTTCTTGTTTCAGTTTCATCATCACTATAGCGTTTCAGGCTGACCTGCTTTCGCCGACACCGGCCTCCGTTTATGGCAAGTCACCCCAAAGAAACAAGAAGTTGATCCCTCCTTGTTAAAGAAAACTCGTGCAGACATACAAACCTGACGGCTTCGTAAAGTCACTCGAACTCTCAGTGTCTTTGCTCCGTTAGCAGGATTAGCGCCCAGCAGGCGTGATGATGACAAATGAAGTTGTTTGTGGGGGGATTAAAAGGATTTTGAGCTCTCTACGGATTCGAGTGTGATATAATATTTTATGACACATTCTTGCATCAGACTTTTTTTTTTTTTTAGCTTCCCGTTGGCTGAAAAAAAAAAAAAATACAATAAAGATTAAGAGACAAGTCAAGCTAATAATTACCTCAGAGATTATGCAGATGAAGAGCGGATTGTTTCTGTAATGACACCGTCGAAATCAAAAGATCAGCAGTAGCCGGCGCCGCCACGGAGAGAAAGCATCAACAGCGATTTAAAGAGAAGTTGAGTTCCTTTAGATTTGTATTTATCTGGTACTTTTTTCAAATAACTTAAAAACAGTCAAACTTCATCCTGATCCAATAACCAGGTGATTCTGCCAGGAGAAAAGATATTTTTGAGCTAAATTCCTCCACCCTAACCTTCTGCCACGGCCCTGTAGGATCAAGAATTAATGTCGCCATCCCTTTGGGAGGATGTGGAAGTGACGTGCGGTGTAATGATCTCAATCAGGGCCAGGGGTGAGAGACAGAACTAATCACTGAGCGCGCTCCGCTACCATAATGCAGTCAGTCGCCCTAATGACCCCGGCGCTCCTGTCAAAGCCATTATTCTCCCCTGTAGTGAAAGGCACATCAAACCGCTGGGGCCCACTCATAATTGGACCAAACTTTGAGCTATGAGAAGACATTACACATGTCCTGTATTAATTTGGGTGCCAGAGTTTTACATTGGTAATTATTTGGCAGCAGCTAGGGGGAGAGAGTGACGACGTCCCGCCGCTGTGAGGGGTCAAAACTTCAACCTTTGGATAAAAAAAGGAGGAGCTACAGGTGCAGAGTGATACGACGGCGTGTTAAGGCCACATTAAGAAAAAAAATGTAGACTTCGTAATTACTTAAAAGAATAAAGTTGTAATAAAATCATTATTTATGAGAAAAAAGTTGTTATAAAATCATTACTTACGAGAATAAAGTCGTAAAGTAAATGAAGTCTCAAAGCTGCTATTGTGGAGTTATCTTTGGTTGCATCAGTGGGCCATTCAGAGGGCTTTTGTTGTTTCTTAGCGAACAATCCAACTGATGATCAACATTTACGATTCAGAGAGAGTCGAGCTCCGACGAGCAACGCGTCTGTCTCTGACACAACACCAGCAGCAACCTCCACCTGCAGAGGTACCACCACCTTATGGCGTATAGATTCATACGATAAACTGAAACCATGTACTATTGCTCTAAACGACCGCATTGAGGGATTCAGCCTTTGCACAGACATTTCCAGCCATTTCCCCCTCCTCAAAAGCAGTGATTCCCTAAAAGTCTGCCTGGTTCTCTCTGTGGAAAAGATGCATTTCTTGCATTTATGTCCTGATACTTCTGCCAACGTGACGCTGAAACGCCAGAGAATTTAGTATCTCCTTGTTTGTGAAACTTAACTACTGAAGTTAAATTCATCTAAATGCTCCACAGCGCTCATTTAAACAACTAACAACAGGTTAGAATATTAACTATTAGCAACGACTTTATTGTCATAAGTAATGAGTTTATTACAACTTTATTCTCGTAATAACGACTTTTTTCTTGTAAGTAATGATTTTTGATTTTTCTTAATTGCAAGGTTTAAGTTCCATCTTTATTTTTAGAACTGCATTTTTGCACTTTGTGTCGCTGCTGTGGCAAAAAATTTTCCCCCATGGGGGATCAATAAAGGAATATTCTATTCTATTGTATTTAATTATGACTTTATTCTCATTAGTAATGATTTTATTACGACTTTATTCTTGTAAGTCATGATTTTATTATTTTATTCTCATAAGTAATTGCTTAATTGCGACTTTATTCTAATAAGTGATGATTTTATTACGCCCCTTCTTGTAAATAATGATTTTATTACGACTTTATTCTCATGAGTAATTATTTGATCAAGACTTTATTCTCGTAAATAATGATGTTATATAATGATGTCTTTATTGTCATAAGTAATGACTTTGTTATGATTTTATTCTTGTAAGAAATGATTTTATTCCGACTTTATTCTCTTAAGTAATTATGAAGTCTTCAATTTTTTTTCATAATGTGGCCTTAATAATACTTAATGTTGAATTTTTTCATATTTTTTATCCTATTCCTTATTTTCCCATCATCAAAAACAATCATGAGTCTTTTTATTGTGTTTTTGATGTTGCTATCAGCTTCTTTCAGCCTCTCTATTGATGCCCGCTGCTCGGCCGCAGAGTGACAAACTGCTGTATCCACTCCCAGCTGCTTGAAATCACTGTTTACTGTTGCAAAGCTGCAGCTGCACTTGTACAGAGCTCAGATAATAGAGCTCAAACCAAAGGGGAGACAACCTCTGCTCCTCCTGCTCTCTTGTTTGCAGCTATTGTCCTGTTTGTAAGAAAATCAAGTTACACTCTCTCAGATACATCCATCATCTCGCCTCTCTGACTCGCGTTGGAAGCGTGAGGTGAGTCTGCGGGGATCGTGCAGGATTCTTTTGGTCTTCTGCTAACAGCGTCTTGAAGAGACATCAAGAGAAGCTCCATTGATTTTTTTTTTCACTCTTTTTTGGCTTTCTCCTAAATGTCTGTACAGAGAGCTAGCAGGGGGTCCTCCCTCTACGTGCAGTTTCAGTAGTGCCACTCAAAAAAACCTGAGCGGGTCAAAACAGATTGCTTCAGTGGAAGCGGGGGGAAGAGGAACAAGCCCAAAAAGTTTACAGCAACTTTGTCTCACTCTTCTCTGAGATGTTCGGACGAGTTTGCCGAGTTTGTTCGAGTTGGGTCTGTTCTGTTTTTTTCCCTCCACTAAGGCCCTGCCAGAGTTTTCCTGCTGACTCTGACTTAGAAGTGTAAATTAAAGGAAATTTCAGCGCTGTTAATCTGCGTAGTTGATTACTTTAGACTTTGCAATCTGTTGACAAGGTCCTCTGCATACTTTATGACAACTTTATGACGACTTTGTAAATATGCATTTAATGTGAATCATTAAACACCTTGTTTGAGGGGATTAATAGAGGGAGTATCTTCCTACTTAGGCAGCAGTTTGGTGTTCGTCCAGAACAATTTCAGAGCCAATATGACGACTTTCCAACTGGAATAAAGTTTACCATAAAATACTCAATCATATTATCGCATATATATAGAAAACTAAGTGTTTAATAGGCTCGAAATGAGACGTTGCTCGCACACTCACACAGGTCCCAGCAAGGTGGAACACTTTTACTTTTAGGTTTTTATCTTATTTACTGTCAACTATTTATTTGTTGTCATAGATATTTATTTTGATGATACCTCTAGTGTGTCCTGTTATATCTGTTGCTGCTGTGACAATATGAATTTGCCCTTTGGGGGATCAATAAAGTTTTATTCTATTCTATTCTTTTCTATTCTATTTAATAAAGGAGACTTACTGTACTCATTTTAAACAGTTTAGATCAGTTGGCATAGCAGGCACTTTGTTCACAAAGTATAATCTTTGTAACTCTGGTTCCTGTTTTCAAACAACAAAATAAAAAAACACTAAAGATTGAGTCTTAAAAACTTAAATTCAATGAAGTTATCACAAAACAGAGTGAATAAACGAAGACCTGTTCTTTGTTCTTTACATCTTCTTCTTTAATCAGATTTTTCATAGTTTACTCCTGACTGTCGAGACCTGCAGGTTTGCATCACTTTGACGTTACTGTCTCGCAAAAATAGACAAAATACCCAATTTGTTTATTTACTCTCAACATTTTTGATCTTTATAATTTTAAATTTGGATGAATTTTCATGATTTCTGAGAAAGTCAAGACTTTATAGTTAAACGAAAGCAGCAGAAGCTCTTCATGCAAAAGCATATTCAGTAGAGAAGGGTTGCATTTTGTTGCATTTTGGCTGTTCCCTAACACAGGAATGGTGTTTTAGGAGTTTTCAGAGCGTTTTCAAAAATGCCACTGATTCTCTTGTTTGGTTAACTTGCTATAAGTGTATCCTGCATAAATGCACATGCCAGTTTCATGCACATATTTACAAATAGTTCGTATTCCCTGTTTTGTTGAGGATCTCCATTTTCCACCGGTGTATGGTGTTCTTTGGTGGTGTTCCTCTACATAAGTATACTGCCAACTACTGGCCTAGCGCTCAAACTTTGACATTTCTGAGTCGATTGCAGGTTCATTTACAAATTGATCATTTAAACATTTAATTTTGTTGTTGTTGTTGTTGCTGGAGCCCCCTGGTGGAGGCTGATAATATCCCAGGCTGCTATAAATTCAGACGGCGGTTAGACAGGAAGTCGTATTTTTTCGTCTTGTTTTTGTGAGCGTAAAGCCTTTTTTTATGGTTTCACTGGTAGCCACCATTGTTCCAAGTCCATCTCTTAGTCTAAAGTTACTCACTCTACATTCTCGTGGATTTAACCGTAAATCAGCCAAACCATCCTCAAGATTTGGAGACATTAGATTTGTTTTAAAGTCTGTCTCAGTGAACTCTGAGTTTATGTTTCTGTGTTAATTGCTCGACTGTAATAATGAAAGTCTCGACAGCTGTCAATACCAGAGATGGTGTTGATAAACTGTTGAGGCGTCACTGTCAGTCACACCATGAACATATGTAACACAAACCAATTCACGTTCACTCCAACAAGGCTGCACTTGTTGTCTCGGGTCGATGTATAAAGAAGGAGAAAGAGAGGGAAGAGATGGAGGAAGGGAGAGGGGGAAACTTCATGGTTTGCCCGGGTGTCGGCAGCTTCCTGTAGGTTAGCAGCGAGCTGTGATTACTCACAATGTGTGTTTAATTAATTAGCCGGTGTGGAGACGGCGTGCTGTTCATCAGAGCTTCTGTCAATAAGTCTCCATCCCGGGATCAACCCCGCTGCCACCTCCTGTACGCTGCTGCTGCTGCTGCTGCTTTCACCTTATACAAACATACTCAAGGGACATCAAGGTGTAACTGAGCTGTAAGAGAAGTTTAGGAAGTTGGCTAATGAGGGAGAGGTTGGATCGGATGTACAAGGTGATTCTGTCATCAGAGTTCATCAGGAGTCCTCGATCAACTATGAGTAAAGAGAGAGGACCCAGAACAAAAATAAGACCCTCTCCAAATCCTGAACTTGAGGCCTGAGTTTCAGACTCTGGACATGTTGACCGGGTTAACATCGTCATAGAAAGAGTCCCATGAAGTGACATTATACAGGTAATTTTCATTAAATCAGTGGTGCACCCAAAGTAATAGACTGTCAAATAAAGTTTTTAAAAAATAAGCAGAAGCTTCAAAGTATGGATAAATTTTTTATTTTTGTGCAAAATATTTTCTCGCAACCCTCGTGGCGAAGCGCATCAAATCAAGTCAGAATGAAGTACCTTTGACTGTCTGCAGCTTGAAACAAGTCTGTCAACTCCAGCTGCTGCTGCTGCTGCCGTCCTCCTCTTGACCCAAAGCAGCCGGGGAAACACAGCCAGACTTTAGAGGAAGTCCTGTTAGTTAAAAACCATAAACCAGAGTTAAAATCAACAGGATTGAAGAGAGTTAACCATCTAACCGAGGTGACATACAGTTACATTGTGAGGTGTTCAAGGTCGGGTGGGTAAAGCAAGATGTCGTGTACAGAAAAAAAGAAAACCAGTATAAATGTGATTGTTTGGTGGAAAACAATAACAAAAGAGACCTAATAGCAGCTTGGATAAGGACTCAACTCATTAAGGAGTCTTAGTAATAACAATCAAACATGACTTCTGTCATTAAAGGTACCGTATTTACCCTAATATAAGACTTTTTTCCTCAAAAAACATCTGAAACAAAAGAGAAAGGTCTTATATTCAGGGTTAAGTAATTAAATGTTGTATAGGACAGAATTTTGTTGTGTTTAAAATATCATCTCATAAAATGAAACAGTGTGAGGGAGGGAAATACTGTAAAATCCACTCCGCTCCGTGAGGTTGCTGGCTTTCCGGTGATGAACTCTGTTTGCTTCTATGACATCCAGAGAATTTCCTATTCTGCAGAGGAGTTCAGTCCAAGTTCCAAAATGTCTGAATGTTATCTCTCAGGTCTTTTTTGGGCTTCACAGAAGACAGAAAACTAGTAAATGGTATCACAGGAAAAGCACACAAACACATGTGGTAAAGGGGAAAGTATATTTTTAAAGATGCAAAATCAACTCTGATGAGTTGGAGTCATTTGGACTGTTTTTACCCTTTATACCCTGAATAAGATGAAATAACCCAGAAGTTTAATTGTACTGTTAATTTTGTCTTTCAGGATGCCTCTATTGCACATCGTTTCCATGTCATGAGGGAAAAACATCCAGAGAAGTTCAACAGCAGGTGAGTTTGTTTGTTTTTCTGTCGGCCGGGTCTGTCGGGGTCCATAAAACCATAAAATCATGTAGTATTGTCACAAAAGGTTCCTCTAGTTCAGCTTAATTCAGGCCATTAATACTACACGTAACAGAAGAGTGAAAAGGACAGAGGTTTTTACAACCAAATAAGCAATCTCAGGCTCCCAGATAGACGTACCTTTCTACTTTTCAAACCAGTTCTTTTCTAAAAGCTAAACCCATCACTCCCAGTCTAAATGAACCTCCAGTACATAAACAGAAGCCCCCTGCGTGTCCCCTGTCTGACAGCAGACCCTGTATCCTCTCTGTGTATCTCCCTGACGGATGACCAACCGTCATATTTAGCATTTGTGATGATGTTGCGGGGATGCGTTCACCTTTCCTGATGAACAAACGTGGCATCTTTGTTTCCATCAATATTTAACGTCTCCAATACGTCTCCACTAGCGCCGGGGAGTAATTGCAGGCCTAATTGAATTTTGCTTGGCTAGTTTGACATCATGGATCAGTCAGACTGATGACACAGGGCCTCCTAATAATCCCATTTGTACTCATTATCATATTTTACCCGATCTTAGTACAACATTTAGCCAACTATCAGTCTGCTGGTTGTTTCTGGGACATGCAGATATAGAGGAGAAACCATCCACAGTGGGTTTGTTGTTGTTGTTGAGTTTTTAACAGTAGATGTGAAACATACAGGATGAATCACAGACTGTTTAGTGAGAAAACCTGATTTTCTGATTGAACTGAAGTAGGTTTCGACGTCACGGACATGTAATCAGTCCTGATGCTGTGAGCACTTCCTGTTTGTCACTTCTCCTGCATCTGTTGTTTTACCCCGTTTTAATCCTTTTATGAAAAATGATTGAGATATTTTAAGAAGATTATTCTGTCTGTTATTTGAATCCCTTAATAATTCAGGAGGGGGAATGGGTTTAGGATCTCTCTATTACACACTATCCTTGCCGGTTCAATAATGCATGATTATAGTTTTTCAAGGTAGCAGAGATTTTGTTGGATTTGTCCAAAGGGCTCGTGTCCATTGGAAGTATATTGCGACTTATCACAGAGTCATTTTCCTGCAGCTCCAGGCTCTTCAGCCACAATGGAGGCAAAGTGCAGCATGTCTGGAGGGCTGACGAATTTATTTCACTCTTATCAAGTCTGCAATAAGTATGATTTTTGTCAAGAATGAGTGAAATTATTAATGAAGAAATGGAGTGTTTTTGATGAGTTTTTAACAAGCTTTAATCAGCCTGAAACCCGCTGAATACATGAACTCTGGAAATTTGAGCTCAATAAAAAGTGGTTCAAACTTTTACATGTGGGAAGAAATGAGCCTTAAAGTGCAGATACTTAAAAATAATAAGATTTAAAGCAAAGTTCTTCATTCACTTGCTTCTAAAAAGAAGCAGCACATCAGTTGTCCTCTGTAAGTATTCAGTATTTTCAAAATTAGCTTGATGTCTTCCAAGTGACCGATCTGCAAACCCGCAAAGTAAAGCGCCAAAGAAAAATTGCGAAACTTTTACAGTATGTGACACAAAGACATGAGTGTCTCCCAGTGTCCCTGATCCGAACTCTGATAGTACTGGGACATGTTTTCATGGCCTGAATGAGAGGTTCTGATTGGATTTTCAGGGACCTAAATCAGTAATAAAGAACATTTTTGTTCTCCATCTTTCCTCCCGATTCCTCCTGTTGTTGATTCAGAACTACAGAAGTGAAAGCCACATGTTTTTTTACTAACTTTTTGACCACCTGCAAACTAGAGAAACCATATAAACAATGAGGTTTACTTACAGCTCCTGTGAGGGACTTCCAGTTGTCCTTGTCTACTAACACAAAATCTCATTCAGCTGACTTTTGACAGTCAAGCTTTTCATTTATTGTAGATATTTTATGCAGAAAATGTAAAAACAGGGTTTTTCTTCAAGCTCTCAGCTGCCGTCCTACACCTACCCTGTCATGATCAATTCAGGCCTCCAAAATGACTTTTCAAAGATCATCAGTCTTGTCCCTGATAGTCTTTCTTGCTTTTGTATATCATAAAAAAGTATCTATATAAATTCCAGCCTATTTCATCAAATAACTTCTCACATGATCTTTAAAAATATCAAAGCTATAATGTTGAAAAATGGGTTAGTTTAGAATTATTTAGCCGTCAGGGTCTATATTGAAATGCTCCCTTGCTCACCCCTCCTGTCGATGAAACAATGGTGGCCTCCAGGGACAAGAAGCTCCTGTAACAACCCCCTTCTTTTTTTCTCATACTCTCATTCCTGCTCAGTACAAAGTTGTGTTTGTTACTTGTTTGTCTTTTCTGTGCGTCTTTGTTGTTATCTCAGAGGTTTGTTGTTCTCATTCCTCCCACTGTGGTCTGAACGCGTCCAGTTATATATTTATTTAAAGATTACCTCCGTCATCTGGTTGATCTCCACTCATATGGAAGTAAATAACATACAAATAAACTTAACATACAAACATACAAATAAATAAACCTCAACTATCGTAGAACGTAATAAAACATGAAAAATAAGATAAAATACAGAAAATATCAAATTAATGAACTTAAAGTTAATTATAAAATGTCATATAATACTGTAAAATATGTTATAAAGTGATATTAGTCTTTACGGAATGTTATGACATTTAATCTTATATAACACAATATTATAAACTATAATAAGATATCAAGTATAATATGCCATAACATTATATTGAATAATACAATTCAATATCATAAAATATTATATAATCTGCAATAATACAATACAATACAAAAATAAAGCAAATCTCAACGTTTTGGGGTAAATGTCAGTTTGTCAGTAGATTTTTGTAACTTTTAGGTTAAAAAACAGAAAATATGAATTATATATATTTCAGTCTTTGCTTTTAAATCCTTATGTTATTGAATATAAATGCACTGCTTTCAAGGCTGTAGTGCATTTCCACATCTATTAAAAGATGTGTTTGAAATTATACAAGGATTTAACTTTTTGAAACAACTGTAAAGAGAGCAGGTATATTTTTGTGGCACTGCTTTCAAAGTTAGAACAAAACAGGCTAAAAAACCTGCTGTAAATCTGTACGTTTTATTTGTATGTTCAAATATGCCTGGATGTCTTTGCTCTTTGTCAGGTTTCAAAGTCAAATCAAAGACGAATCCGGACGTAAATTTTCTTCGAAAGCAGGAAAAAAGTCAGATTTTGAATCATTAGGTTTTAATGTGACAGCAGTAACGACTCCACACTTCCTATATGAACTAAATCTTTACATTTAGTCGCTGCTCTGACCTTAAAGAAAATGAATATTTCATTAGCTTTAATTACAATCTAAATAGCATCATGTAGCTTTTCTTCTTAATGAAATGAGGATGTTGTTGATGAACCGCGGGGTCATACACTTTCTCTCCCTCCCTTCATCCCTCTCCTTCTATCCATCTTCTGTATTTGCACCTTGGGGTGATTACCCGGGTGAAGGTGTGAAGATTTGACACTCGGCAGATAGATTCATTTACTGCCACTGCCGGACCTGGAGGTGATAATGAGGTTGAGGATTAAAAGCAGACAATCAGTCGGCCCGTGACGAGGTCTTCGCCGCCTCCTCCCCCACTGTCACTCCCCCTCGACCGCCTTGTTAAAATATACTACACCCTTTTTTTTCCCTCCTCGTTTTTTGCTGAGCTCTCATGTAATTACACACTAATCTCTGACTCTGAGGGGAATGGACCAGAGGGAGACAGAAACAAGGAAAGAGTGATGACAGGAAAGAAAAACAGGAGTTAGAGAGCAAGAACTTTGTGCTATTGTGTTTTTATAAAAACTCAAACACTTGTGAGCCATTCACTAGTTTTTCTCCCCATCACAGCTGAATCCAAATAGTCTTTCTGGCCAATTTATATTTGCACAAGTAACCCCTTAGAATTTATGTTTGTGCAACTTTTTTTCCCCACAGTGTAACTAAGTGACACCAAGCCAAGGGAATGAAATTAACAAAAAATATAATTTTTCGACTCGTGTTTGATTTTTTTCAGCAAAATTCGGAAACTCCAGTTTGCATTTTTAGCTCATTTATCAGCCTGACCTCCACAGTAACACATTGCACCTTGTAATATATTAAAGAGGATCTTTACTGCAGTGTTACTAAATGAAAATAAGGAGTGCTGTTTAGTACAACTCACCTACTTTCTTCCAGCAGCCGCTTGTTTGTAGCAGACCTCAGGCCGGTCCATTACAGACTACAGCGGGGTGACGCAGCTCAAGGAAGAACATTTATGATCATTTCTTCATGGAAATGCAATCAGACCGAGACGCTAAGGCAGAAGAACTACCGTCTGCAGTGTAGAATGATCAATATGGTGATTATTACTTCAAGGAAATGATAAAGTAATAATCATGAAGTTAGGTGATGAAGTTAGGTGCTGTTCTGAGCATTTTTTGTGGCGTTTTGGCTGAGGACTGTTTATGGATCCTCAGACCGCTGTGTATTGCTGTCTGTGGTCGTTACTAAAGTCGGTATAACTAGAGAAGCAAGCGGTCGGCAACATTCATCTCTCGAGGGGGTGTCTAACTCGGTGTTACAGTGTGTTTGACCCTAAATTTATTTTACTCCGGAATATCCCTTTAAAGGGAACTCCTCCAGCCATACATTGACATGCATGTTAAAGATACAACTCCCACAACAATGACGTTATTACTGGATACATTGAGGAAAAATCTATCCAAAATCATTGGTCCAAATGAGAACTTTTTATTTTGGACTTTTTCGCTGCAGGGTTAAAGCTGCTTTTAGCTCTACCTGCGATGTTTGTTGATTCTGTGGCATCAATCATGGCGCCTTGATGTTCCCATGATATTTACTCTGCATACACAGATCTATTTTTGGTCCTGAGACATCTAACACCATCACGACGCTCCTCCTGAGCCGCTGTGCCCCCGTGCGCCCACAGGCTCTCGCTGTGCTGTGTAACCATCCCGAGTTAACCTTTCCTGAAGGCACAGGGAAGCCCAGGCATGGAGCTCTCTTTAGCATAATGAGTGTGTTCATCAAAGCGCTGCCGTGTGCTGGATGGAGCCGCCGGATTCACCAACACACACGCATCAACACACACATGCTAATGTGTGTGTATATGCATGTAGGTGTGTGTGAGTTTCCTGCTGAGCTGGGAACAGGGCAGCAGGTGACGGCACTCTAAATTACACATGCACACACACTCTTGTACACACACAGACACACACACTCTCAAGCATGGTGGACCTCGGTAACGGCCGCCCTCGGACCTCATTTGAGGATGAAATCGTTTCTGTGACCAAAGTGTCATCTATAATTAATGACCACTTGTGTGTAATTTAGAGAGATCTCACCTGTGGCCCTGTCCCCAGCTCAGTGGGAAAACACTCACACATGCACACACATGAACACACATACACCCACAAGCGGTTAAACTCAAGTGAACCTGAGCGCACATTCATGAGTGTAAAGCAGAGGAGCTGAGCAACATAAGGAGAAAACCAGCATCAAATGACAGAGTTACACCTGATATTTATAAACCAACAGCTGATTATAAATGGTGCGCCAGTTTGTCATTAAATTTAGCTTAAAGAAGACCTCGTATACCAAGGTGACCAGACGTCCCTAATTTCCAGGGACAGTCCCCATATTGGATGACCTGCCCCCGGCTAAATGTCCCCAATTTAAGCGTTTCATGAGTGAGAACAAAAATGTATGAATTAGGACACAGCGGGTGGGTGTTACTTTTTACACAGTTTTGTCGTCACAAAACAGCCTGAGACTAACACCTTGACAGAAAACATCCAGAGCGAACCATTAGCACCCACTGATCTCCACATTTAACCACTTCAGCATATGTTAGCCATTGTTATTGTTAGGGTGATTTTCTTTAGCCTGTCATGTCAGCCTTTAGGGTGGTGGAGCTGTGTCACCCAAATACCTCGGATACTTTGGTGCTAGATTTCTGGAGCCATGGGCCTCCAACAACCATCCTCAACAAGGACCTTGTACCCGTGTTTAACATCACTCCGTGCTTTATTCTTACCCTACATGGACTCTCCTTTAGGTCAACAAGATGCAAGCAGAATGTTTGGAAACGTGGACGACTATATATACTTGAACAGTCTCAGACCAGTCTTTGTTTCACTTGTGGCATGATGAAACTGTAACCCAGATCTGCAACCAGTAAAGCTTGTCAAACTGACCATTCATGTGAACCTTCCATATTTTTAAATTTGAACATTCTTACATTCTACTGTTTTCATGATATTTACAGCTATAGATGAAACAGCTGCAGGTCTCACTGACAAATGAGATGCAGATCCAGGTTGTGATGAACTCAGATTTTGAAGGAGTCATCAGTAAAGTGGCGAGTGCGGCTAGCTATCATGTGGCCAAAACTGTGACTTCATCTCTGGGATAAAAGCTAACAAGCTAGCACGGTTTAGCTAACAGGATAGTCATCTAGAGCGATGATAATTCTCTAGGGAAGAGCTTTAGGCACCCCCTTTGAACAAACTGGTACCTTTTCGCTCATTTTGCCATATGTCTACAGCAACACATAATGGACAAACTAGTACAAATCAGGTTTTTGTGTTTTGTGATTGGCTGAAAGAGAAGAAGAAGAGGGTGGTTGTTGTTGTTGTGCACAATTCACACTGATAAGATGTCAAATGGAGGATTAAACTTATTCTGCATCACAGGGGCCTCTTACTGTCCAAAGGCCCTCATTGATCTACCAATGGGGGGTGAGCAAGGGAGCATTTAAACCTAAAATCTGACCTCCAAATTCACTTTTTACACACCGTACCTTTTAAAAAATTTCCTTTGTGAAGATAAATTAGCTTTACCTTATGAATTCAGCTCAGTTAATATCAAAGTGCTTCAGCTGGTTAGAGATTCAGCCGTCCTCCACTGTTTCAGGGCAGGACTCTCTGAAGTTAACGAAGGATAAAAACTGACTCAGTCGCTCTCTTGTTGTAAAAAATCTGACTAAATCAACCCAACTTCCCCCGCTGACATGAGACAGGAGGTGCCAGACCTTACATAAACACATTGTTCAAACACCTCCAGTCTTGAAAACAATATGAATTCATTAATTAGCAGTATTGCTTTGTCAGGTTCATGTCAGGTCTCTAATAGTTTCCCAAATGAATAGTTTCAGGACAGGGCGGCAGGATCACAGATTTGAATTTGTTGTCATTGTCTAGTTTTTAGTTAAACAGCTTTTCAGCAACATTCAAGGTGAAAAGTTGAATTTAACGACACCTCAAAGTTTACTTCACACACACAGATACTGTCACCACTAGCTTTAAAAACTGGCTGACAGAACACAAAATAATCTCAGACTTTCCTAATTAGACTATAGAGAGTATATTAGACTTTTATAGGACAACAGTGCGTAAAAGAAATGCTCTAACCTAAAACCTATGACGAAAAAAGAATTTAAGGTATCTGATCTGTAAATATTAGTCATAACTGCCCTCACACCCTTTTGTTACAGTCAGTCTACGCGTTCATATGAAGCTCTAGTTAGCTGATGCCTGAAACACTTTTGCTGTTTTTCCACTGATAAAACATTAAAAAGAGACTGTAGGTGTTACTTTTTACACAACGTAGTCGTCAAAAAAAGACCTAAAGTTTATGCAATTGCAGAAATCATTTGCGACTAGCTATTAGCACCCACTTATTTCCCTATTTAGCTTATGCTAGTATACGTTAGCCTATGTTGGGTATTGCTACTTAAGCTACACATGCAAATCCAGTTTGTACTGACCTTTTGTAAAACATCATCAGTGAGCCATAAGTGGTAGCAACAGACAGCTATTGTCGTTATAGAATATCTTACTGTCTAGATGTCTAAGCTCTTAAGAGGAGTCAGAAAACACTCCTGACACTGAGTGCTGATAAAGCTGGCACAGATAATGCCTTTAGTGGACACAGGCCCTAAAATGTGGATACCAGTTTGGATAGGGATAGGATGCTATGGCTATTGCTTGACTCTGTGTTTTGGCTTCACTTTCACAGGAAGGATGTGAGTTTACAAATTTCAACCCACTAAAAACTGAACATTTTTTAAACGTGGAGACTGAATTAAACCTTTTAGTACAACACTGAAGCATTTTAAGCTGTTTCTGTTTGTTCCTGAGGCTGTAGGGTATTTTCAGGTGCCTTCAGTAGACTTGAATTTGAGATAATCCACCTTGTGCAGCGCAGTGCAACAGGAATAAAAACATTTTTCAAAGCCCTCGCTGTATCTCTGAAGGCAACACGGCGCCGCTCCGGTCATTTCTCAAACTGCCAGCGTGAGTCGCGGCGCTCCAGGCGATGTCATGTTAAACAAAACAGTGCATTGATGCAATGCACAAAGAGTTGGTTATGTCAATGCGATATTTATCACCTCTGATCAAGAAGAAATTAGTGTGAAAATAAGGTCGTAGATCATTGTGGGTTAGATTAAATGTCAGAGGGGAGGAAAATCGATGTTTCAGTGTGGCCGGTAGAAAGAGCGTCTGAAGGTGCTGTGGCCTCAGGACAGCGGCGCTGCACTGAGCCGTATCATGTTTGACATCCTTTAATGTGCTGACCAGCCGGTGCAGAGCTGATAAACATGAACTTTAATCTGTTTATTTTCACCTTTGTTACCTGGTGTTTGTTGTTTTCCTTGAGCTCTTTGTGTTTTGATTGTCCGGGCCGCAGAGCTCACGTACTCTCCACTTCGCTCTGTTTTGTTTCATGATTTGTTTTTGCAAATTAAAGACACCTCTGCGGCTCCTGAAACCTGAGCTAATGTTTTCCTTTGGTATGCCAGCAGTGACTACAACAGCTGATCTTATTGCAAAATGCTTATGTGATGAATGATGTGCACTTTGCATGGAGGCACTGCAGCAGAAGCCTTGAAAAACTGAAATCCTCAAAACGTAGTTTGCTGCTTTCTACTCCTAAAAACACAAACCGATCTTAAACTGACATTATAATGAATGAACCTCTAAGATGCACTTGAGCTCAAAGTCAGCCAACAGTTAAAGCAAATGGGCTCTTTATGTTCACTTTTATTACACTTACCATAAAGAAAGGTCCTCCTAATCTGCCTTAAAAATGCTGGCCGCTGTTTAAGACTCTCCTCACAGTCAGTTTGTCAGATGAGTTGGTGTTTAGCATCGGTCTGCAGATAACTAATGACAATCCAATCCAGCCAATCAGATGTTCCTAATTACCTAATGAACAGGGACATAAGGTGATTTGTTGCCATGGAGCGCTTGTTAGGTTAAGTGGAGGGAATCGACGGGATGGTTTGATGTGCTCTTACTGTATCTGGTCTTACAGTGTGTGAATCCAGTTGACCTGAGAGCAGTTTGAACCTGCTGCGCTTTAATACAACCCGCTGTTAGAGATGTCATTCTTTAAACATCGATTATAATCAGTGCTTAACAACAGCATTTTTATAATAAAGTAGGCCATAAACAAACCCGTACCAAAGTCAAAACAAAACTATTATTGGTGATTATTAGTTAATAGTTCATCCCTGCTACACCAATGTGATTTGAAACAGTGGCTTACAAGTAGGTGACAGTTTCAAAGAGCATTTAACCAGGTTAAAATTTGCAAGATTGCATTTTAAAGTGTCAATATGGTGTGCAGTTATACTAAGATAGCTTTGATTACAGTGATCCCTGGTTAATGGGACTGTATATGCACTTTTCTGGAGTTCTAGGTACCTCCTGTGTGTGTTTCCAGACAAAACCTCATCCTTTTTCCTTAAAACTGTGAAATGTAACACTCAATGTGAGTATTTACTGGGAAAAAGTACAAGAGCACATTATTTTCAGCCTGTTGCTTGTCTGACTACTACGAGTTTAAGCTGTAAAAATGAATACAGTTAAGTTGCCGATGGTCTTGTTTGCTTTTGAAGGTCGTAAAAAGCCACCAGCATCACTGTTTCCAATCAGTTAAGAAGTCACCACAGTGTCTGTAAGCATCATTTTCAATTTAAAATAAATGAACACCCTAGTATCTGATTTTAATCCCATTTCTATTCACCAAATTCATAGGAAAGGCCCACGACATACCTATTCAGCCAAAGCCCAACTATTAAGGCATTAAAAAAAAACACACAAAACCAGTTTCACCTGAGCAACAGCAAACAACAACAAAGGTTAAGGTATTCAAAGCACCGCATGTTCAGTACCTGCCTTCATTCTCACCATGAATCATTAACCCTCAGCTTTGAATATGCTTTTCAAAGTGGCCACCTTCATTTGTTTGTTTGCAAAATTACCCCGGCATGTGTTTGTGCGTTGTCTCTGTAAGTACCGAGCGAGCCCACAAACTGATAAAGACGATGATGAAGCTGGGTTACAAGCAGGGATGTGTTGATGTGGTGGCTTCGCTGCGCAGCCCTGTCCCCCTTCCCTCCCTCCACCTCCTCCCTCTGCTCCCTCCTCCCTCTCTTATTGACCATGTTGCACATAATAAATCAGCTGTGAGTTGGGCTACCTTGCAAGTACCCTAATGAAAGCTCATTTATAAAGTGGCTAAATGGTCCTGACAAAAGTCCTAATGAGGAAATCAATAATTCAGTGATTGTTACTCTTCTTACACTAATACGTCCCTCTTGTAGTGCTGTGACTCCAGCTAACAGAAGGCCATTTTTTATTGTGTTCAGTTCTGCGTGTCAGCACTGTTGTAGGTTTTTTTTCCTCCCTGTAAAGCTTTGAGATAAATTGTTTGTTGTTGTCTGTTGGTTCTTGGAAAGATAAAAAGCCTCTTGCTGGATCTTGGTCTTAGCTCCACTGATTTAATGCTGTGACACTGACTCTTTCTCTTCCTCCTTCATTTTTGATTTTCTAATTCCTTAACCCTCATTAGTCATCTTCTTTATTTACTCTAAAGTCAGTGTGAATGGCAGAGACATCTAGCTTGTAATTTACTAAAAATTTGACAAAAACACAGACATAGAAAATAATTGACAGACAAGAAGACAAAGTACAAATGCACAGTTTATGACAGCAAGCAGAGAAACTTAAAAAATGCTGAGTCATACTGTTAGCTGTTAGCTGCTAGCTTAGCATCCAGTAATTAAAACCCTTACATATTGCTAGTCTGAGAACTAAGCTTTGGCATCGTCATTTATACTTTCTTTTTGCTTAATATATAGTGTTTTAAACTGATCAATGAGGGAAAACAGCCTCTGCTGCCTCCTAGTTAGCTTAGCGTCTAGCCTAGCATAGTCTAGCCTAGCCTAGCCTAGACCCTTTTTCTTTCTCCGTGATTTTTGATTTTCTAATTCCTCAACCCTCATTAGTCATCTTCTTCTTTTACTTCAAAGTTAGTGTGAATGGCAGAGACATCTAGTTTGATCGTGTTAACGTTAGCCTTTTTGTTGTAATTTACTGAGAATTTGACAATTGTTTAACTGTGAAAAACACACACACAAGAAGACAAAGTACAAATGCAGTTTTCGACAAGCAGTAAAATTTTTAAAAATGCTAAGTCATACTGCTAGCTGTTAGCTGCTAGCTTAGCAAACTAACAATCAGTCACTTTTTTCTTTGTATCTAGTGATTTCAATATAATTGTTAGTCTTTGAACTTTGCTCCGAGCTTTTGCATCAGCATTAACACTTCCTGTTTGCATAATACGTAGTGTTTTAAAATTATTAATGAGGGGAAACAGCTTCTGCTGCCTCCTGGTTAGCTTAGCTCCAAGTAGCTCATCTTCTACTCCACCACTGCACCAATGGTCTGTCATTTAAATTAGCATAACAAACCGATCAACATATAGTAAGGTCTTGTTTAGGTATGTCAAATAAGCAAATATAAATCTTCATAATTTGTGCTGGCAAGCTGATAAATTGATATTTCTCATCCTGCTACCTTTTATTTTTAAACCTGAGTTAATGTTGTTCGGTCATGCAATTTTCAGAGAAATGATAACCTCATGCTGGTATTAATTTTAAAGCAATTGCCCTCAATTACCAGTTAAATATATTATCTTTCCTTCAATCCTAAATGACTTTTGTCTAAGGTGTTGATTGCACTCTGGGGACATGCATTTGCAGTATTTTTATAAATGAAAGGACTGCTACATTTTCTGACACCACTGCTTGTTAAAATCATGAATGATGCAAATATTCAATATTAAAAAACCCTAAAAATCTCATTTTATGGTGATAGTCATGTGAGGATGTGATGCACATTGCAGTATGAGACAGATGGTGACTGTCCCCTGTGAGGTCATTGATCATCAGCCTAAGCAATGGGAGTGTGTGCTGTAGGAAAGCCCGGGGAGCAGCACCCCAGTCCTCTGTTAATTGCAGGGGCAGGTAGATTACCCTCTCACGCCCCTCACTGGGCCTTAATGTTGGGCATGGATACCCACCGGCCACCCTATGTGCTCCCTTCGGCCGCACCTTAGATTCATCATTGTGTTAAAAAAATGTGATTAATGAGACACATTATGCATCCTTTCAGAGATTAATGACAGTGTGGTTTTAGTCGGCGGTAAACACTAAAGGTATATTTCCTGCAGAGTTTAGAGGATCCTCTTTAAAGCATGAATCAAACACCTTCTCAGAGTGCTTTTCTGTGTCTTTCTCTTTTCAAAAGCTCTCTGTATAGGGGACTAGAGAGAGCAGAGAAGGAGAGATGCTACAGCTGTACAAGCTTCAGATTTTGATGTGGAGAAAACACTCCTATGTTTCCTCTTTCTTTTTTTTTGTGGTCCCTTTACAGTTCCTGTTGTCTTTTTTCTTTCAGAACAAAGAATAAGCTGTGGTACTTTGAGTTCGGCACTTCGGAGACCTTCTCGGCCACGTGTAAGAAGCTCCACGACTTTCTGGAGGTTGAGGTAAATCAAACCGCATACTTTGAGTTTTGAGCCCTGAAGGAAAGAAAAGCTTTTTGAAAGTCGCTCCTCTCACCCTTTCCTTTTTTTTTTAATCAACATTTAACTTTTACTTTAAAAATGCCTTTTTTAAACCTCCTGATCAACCCTGTTCTATAAAAAGCAAAAATTTGTACGAGTTTCCAATCCACCCAGACAAAGTGTTGATGTGTGAAGGCTATCTTCTGCACCTCCCCTCCTACTTCTCACTGTACCTCAGTTCAACACGCAGGTAATTAGCCCTACATGACCCCGCTGTGTGTGATATTGAGTGATAATGAAGATGCCGTCTATACACTTCATCTTCCCCCTTTACAGAGCTATCCACACAGTGCAGAGGTCTTCATTAATTAGTGCTGGTTAAGTACCTGCAGAACTGGAGGGGGGCAGGACTGGAAATCCATGCTCCCTTTTCAAGTATTACAGTTTTCAGGGTGTTTAATTAGACTGGATTTTCTGCAATAGCGGATTCAAAGTGTTTGATGGCAATAAAGGATCCATCAAACTGGTTCAGGATCTTGATCAGTTGGGGCACAGATTCTAGCCTCACGCTCTGTTTCTGTCTTTTTCTTCAAGTGTGATGGCGTAACTCTGGACCTCAGCAGCATCTCCCTGGAAGGCATCGCCATCCTCAACATTCCCAGCATGCATGGCGGCTCAAACCTCTGGGGCGAGAGCAAGAAGAGGAGGGGGAATCGCAAAGGGGGGAAGAAGAGCCAAGACAAGAGGACGCCGGTGTTGGACCCCAAGGAGCTCATGTTTGCAGTCCAAGGTATCAAGACTGAATCAGATAGAGCAGGTTTATGGACATCTGTTATTATAGATCAGTAAACTAGCCAATCAGATCTCATCAAAGTTGAAACCAACGGTGTTTTTGATAAGTTTGGAGACCCAACACACAGTTGGAAAATGGTGAGTCATCAACAGCCCTGTGTATACTGCAGATCATGGTTTGTGTGCCCTAATGGACAATATTACTCTAAGGTAAATGGGTCTGACAGTGTAGGTGTCCTTGTTCCTATCAGATATATCAAAGAGCAAACTTTGGAGCAAACTTTTCCACCGAGCATGAATATTTCACTCATGACAAGGTGAATCATAGCGAGCAGGTTTTGTTTGCAAAGAGGAGGTACAATCATGTCACTGTTTGGGACTGTCACTGGTGTATTAATGGTGCGTTCAGGCTCCAGCGAACAGGCTCAGCTAATAGGAGCAGACTGGAGGGGGTGTTGGGCATACCCCCGAATCCATTTACGTCAAAAGGAAGCCCGTCAATGGGAGTGCATGAATGAATGCTGCAGAATGACTCGACTGCTCAGAGGTAACAGGTGAGACACGGTGAGCCACTTGAAGGACTTTTTAGAAGGAGGAAAGTCTTAGGAAAGCTTTTGTTGGAAAGACTAATGACATTTTCTCAGCCTCTGCTTTACGTTGTGCTCACTTAAAACCAACAAGTATGTGCAAGTGTTTTTGAGTAAAGTCAGTGGTTTTCTGACAGCAAAGTAAAGGGCAATAAAATAAGAAAATTGAGCTTGCACTCACGCTGACATCAGTATTTGGGTTGGATTTCTCAAAAATAGCTAAATTACATGGCAGAGTTGACCCTATCTGCAGCAGTTGATAGTCCCATGTCTGTGATGCTTCTCCGTCCAGTTTCTCAACAAGTGGGCCTGGAATCTTGTTGTAGTGAACAAGTGCAGACAACTTCACTTGCAAACAAAGACAAGCAAAGTAAAACACATAGCCTACCGTTACAATAGTCGTGGGATAGTTTTGTTGATCAGTATCAGAATAGTAGATGTTTAAAAGTTGTTTTGTGAAAATTAAAGTTGGGATAAAACGTTGCTAACAGTATTCAATATTTGATTTCACAAGACAGATGTCTTTATACTCAAAAATATTGTCAAAATGATGTAAATGCAGTTACTTGACGCTATCTATGCACCCAGTTAGCCAGCTGGCTAACCCTTGCTAGGTAACAGGAATAGTGCGATCTGAATGTAAACTGTTTTAAATCTAGAAATGGTCTCAGTGACACCACCCATTGGTTTCTTAAGCCAAGTTTTGAAGTCCAGCTATGATGGTTGTCATATTGAAAATGTAACTTTTGGTCGATCTAACTTTGGTTGAGTTAGCAAAAGGCAAAAAGGTGCTGAAATGGGCCTTCACCTGAAGTTAGCTATGCCTCTAATATGTCTTAATGACTTTAAATGAGTTATATGACAACCCCCTGTCAAGACGACCTTCATTAAATACGTACATATGTGATTTCTCCTACTTTTGTAGCCAGCCCCAAGTGGACACAAAAGGAACTGCAGTTTTTTGCACTTTTGTAGGATGACTCATGTGACCTCAGCTCAGCTTGTGGTCTATACAGGCTGTGAAGGCTTGAATTCTTTGAGTCCTTTTTCATATTCTTCCATTTACTTACTTATTTTTATTCCGTCCTTACTATTATTTTGAAATATCTTTTCAGTACAAAATCAGCAACTTGTGTTTTTCACGTTTTTAAGGCATATGCTGCAGCAGGTTGATATTCAGCCTGAGTAAACAAATGCTGCTTACATGTCGGGATGATTATAACCCCTCTAATATGATGATGTGTCAGTTAGATTAAGGTACATTTTGGCACAGAGGAGGCCAGAGTATGAGGAGATAGTTGATCAATTTAAAGCCCAACCTTGCTTCGATGAACACTCCATTATTCCTCAAATAAAAATCAATCAGGTTCGAGTTTGTGGTCATAAAAAACATCGTCTGAACCAGGGAAGGCACTTAGTTTGAGAGGAGAGGCCTCTATGTCAGTGTGTGCTCATGCCCATTTGTGTATGTTTATTGATGTGTATGTGTGTGTGTTTGGATGCACATCTGTGTGTATGTGTGTGTTGCCCTTGCGAAAGGTGCCCTCAAGGTGAGCAGCCTAAGTTGTCAGATCAAGAGGACAACGTATTTAGAGGTAAATACAGGAGTGCATTAGCCCAGAGGGGGCACCGCTGAGCACAGCACACGGATCAAACTGTTAGTGGGGATTATTCTGTGTGTATATGTGTGTGTTTGTGTACGTGTGTGTGTAAGTGGGAGTGTAGAGGGAGGGAGGCTGGGGGATAAAAAAACTCTGACCTTTCGAGAGCTGTTAAATCGTCCCGCTGGTGACGCCAGGAGACAAGCCCCTCAGGTGGAAGGGAATGGCTGCAGAGTGAATTATTTAGAATGGGACTGAGGTTTTTGCTGTGGAGGGAGGGGAGGAGGGAGGGGTCAAAGGGGGGTCCGTGCGTGGGTGGATGGGGTTGATGCTTGGGACTGATGCTCCATGACAAGCCCCATGAAGCTTTCACTGGAGGATCAGCCGCCATTACTCTTCAGCTTCACTTTCAGCTGATCGGCTCCTGGTCCGGGTACTCTCCTCCTTTTGGGCTCCCGCTCTCACTCTGTTGATCCTAGTGTGTCAGAGTGCAGCTGTTGATGTTTGACAGTGACTTTTATTCTACACCGTGACAGGAACATATTACTGACAATAAGCCACCATGCATCAACTGTCACTCCACGTCCAGCTGCTGTGTACACGGTGTGTTTGGTCCCATTATCTGTTTATCATACGCCTGTATTCACGTCTTTGTTTTCTGAGTCAATCCAAAAGGGGCAACAGTAAGTTTCTGATTTTTGAAGGGGGGGTCTGGGGGTCCTCCCTCTGGATATATTTAGCATCCAACACTGAATCCCATGAATTCTGGTGAATGTTTAGAAACATAATCAAGTTTAAGCATTATCAAGCATCTTATCAAGTTTTATCCATTAGCAGAGCATCCATGTGGAACATTTTCCTGTTAATTTTACTGGAAGGGCATCCAGAGGGCAAGATTTTACATTTCACACACAGCAAAAGAATACTATGGAGCCCGGGCGGTGACATGAACTTTATTTTTTTTACAATTCACATGTGCGATTTAGTATCTTGGATATAAACATTTTATAGGTATCTCATACATGCGTTTTATTTTGTACCTTGCCCATGCGTTTTTGTTAAGAACTTTCTGTGTGCCTTATTTGTGAGAGAAGAAGGACAGTGTTGTGGACAGAGAACATATTATCAACATTCTCTTTCATTTAGGTTTGACTCACAAAGAGATACTTTAGAGCTTAGCCACATTTGGTTTTGTTTCGAGTAGGAGACACCTCACCAGGAGCACAGCGACTTTGCCGTCGGTGATATTCAGCCTTGCAGGAAGTGATTTTGTTTATTAACGAACAGTTAAATCGCACCTGGGATATAATAAATCACATGTGCAGTGTACTAAAATGCACGTGTGAGATACTAAATCGCAAAGGCGAAAATCACAAGTGCGAATTAAAAAAAGGTAATGTCACCTCCCGGGCTCTGTAGAATACATAATTTTTTTTAATTATTTTTACACTTTATATACTGTACAGGAATTTAAAAGGCATGTTATTGCATTTTATGTACTGGTAGTGCATCTTCAGCCAATTTTGTTTTAATGCTGGAGGGGCATTCAGAGGTCACTTTTTAAATGTTTTGTATTATGGAAGGGCATCTAGTGGGTACTTTTGGATGTTTTATATACTAGAAGAGCAACCAGAGAGCACTCATCCAACTTCATCCAAGTCCAGCTGCCTGACCTTGTTTTATTTGGCAGAGACGCTCTACAGCCTTCAGACAGCAAGCGCGCTTACGTTTACTAAATCTTTGTAGCCCCCGGCAACAAGGACTCCCTTTTGCCATGGTGACGCTGTCCATCATATGTGTCAGGTGGGGCATGTGTGAGCTGACTGTGATAATGTGAGAAGTCAGAACGAGGAGGAGCAGGTTTAAAGCTCCGTGTCAGGAGGTCAACCTGCTGGACATGTACACACACTCAACCACTCCAACCCTGGAAAGCAGCAGCGCACTCACAGCTCAGCGCCCAGATAGGGTCAGACGCATGTCCGTCACCACGGTGACAGCTGGACAGCACAGCTCGGGAGCAACAACAACACCTCAGGACAGCGGCAACATAACCCACGACACTCTTTCAGGAAACCAGCACAGCTCAGATAAACATGACAGCGATGGAGCAGCAGCAGCGACAGCGAGCTAACTCCCTCGCACGTGCTGAGCGACTAAAAATGGGTCTTAGTTTCAATTAGAGTCTGCGAGCTCCCGGCAGCGAGGCAGCAGCTTCTTAATTTGTGGAGGGACGAGTCGATGGAGAGTCGGAGGCAGAGCTGGCGGCTGAAACAGATGGGCCCTGCGTGACTCTGGGCTTCCAGCAGGGGCAAAATCAATGCTCATAAGTGCAAAACAGAAGAGAAATTAATAATTATATTATCACAAGATTGCTTTGCATTGCCGGTGCAATCTAATTAATAGCTGTTATGTTTGTAGCCTGTTGTTCTTGGTGCTGTTATTCTTTTTTTTTTAAGCAGGGTGTTGAATGTTTGGAAGGAGAAGAGGAGGAAGACAGAATCTGAAGATCACCTCATGTTTCACTCTTCTTTACTTCCTCTTCTCCTTTATCTCATGTTTTCACTTTTACCTCCTGCAGAGAGAAACTTAAAATTTCACATCAGCAGTGTTTCAAGAGAGTGAGGAGCTGATTTATTGAACCATTTATTGAACCATTTTGACACATTTGACTGTCCAAAGAGTCACTTCATTTCAACCAAATTTACAGAACAATGTCTGAGTTTTTAACAGCAAAGCTTAGAATTGGCCACAGTGACTGGACTTGAATTAACCTCATGTGTTTGTGTGTTTCAGACCTGTCCGACCAGCTGCTGGAGGTGGTGGGTCTGGAAGGAGCCATGGAGATGGGTCAGATCTACACCGGGCTGAAGAGCGCGGGAAGACGCCTGGCTCAGTGCTCCTCCGTGACTATCAGGTCAGAGTTTAGACTGCTCACACTTTGAATTTAAGTTTTCAACCATGTCACCTGGTGCCACACTTTTAAATACATTTGCATCAAGTTTAATATGAACCTGTCTCCTTCACAACAGAACCAGTAAATCCCTTCCCATGCAGATCGATGGAGAACCCTGGATGCAGACCCCGTGTACTGTAAGTTGTTGAATACATCTACAGGCCAAAATATGCTTTGAAATGACAAATCCCACTCTTTGCATGTATTACTTATTAGCTCACTTTCCTTTACACTTAAATATGAATGGTTATATAATTTTTGTACTTTCTGCGCTAAAAAATAAAAGTGTCTATCAGTGAATTTACGGTATTTTGGCTGAGCGCTTAAAAGAACTGCGCAGCCAAAAGAAAAAACAAGATATATAGCTGGAAAAAGGTTTAAGGGGCTAGTTCTAAAATAAAAGGTGAAATCTGGTGCAGCGTCTGTCTTTGTATTCCTGTTCTGTGATGTTTTGCAGCCTCTTATTTACTGCCTGCGTCTCAAACGTGCTCTTCCTCGAGTGTTCGCCCTCTGTCCATGCTGTTCATTTCTCAAAACGACACTCCTCAGCGCGCGTTGATTACGGTTGTGTTTAGCTTTAATTACAACACCACTGCAAATGAAGTGCCGCTGAGATTTACATATGGATCGCCGTAGAAACGCTAAAAAACCCCGAGCATGACGAAACGAGTAGACCGCAAGTGCTCTTGTGTCTGCTGGCACAAATCCACAGAGTAAAGTTAGGATCTGACAATACATAATCCTGCTGCAAATGATTCCCAGGTCTCAGACAGTACGGCAGAGCTGAATTTGAAATCAGCCGACCTGTTAAATGCTTATAAAAACATCACAGTAGTTGGGATGTTAACCCACTAATTATTAACAACAACAACTATGCAAATGAATCTCAGTTCCTCTGCATGCATAACATATTTAACACCACCAATCCATTTGCATTTTGAAGCGACGTATGACATGTATCACTGTTGCTTCATAACTAGGTCTGAATTTACCGACATAAACGAAAATTTAACTGAATGTCAAAGCATCTTTACAAAACATTCACCTAAAACTAATATTTTCCTTGATTTTCTTGTTTTTTTTGGTTAATTTTTGTTTGCTGAAGAGTCCATTACATGTATAATTTTCTATTTGTTAAATTTTTAAAAGCCCTATTGTTCTGTAACTGGGGCTCTTGATGCCTATAAATGCTTAATGCTGCATTTTTACAAACAGAGCTCAGCTGTCCTCCATAATGTATTTCAAGTATTCCTTTAGATCCTCCTTCCTCAAAAGGTTAGAAATTTTTTTGTAAATCACAAACATCAAGATCAATCAGGTTTAATGATTACAGAAAGCATACAAAAGCTGGTAATTGCTGCTGAGTCAGAGTGCAAGTACAATAAATGGCAGTTTCTCCTTTGAAGTGAACGTTGTCCCTTTAATGCAGATGGCAGCATTTCCTCTCCCCATTACTGCACTTACACTCTTTAATGCAACAGTATAATGAACTACTATGTGCTTAATACGACAACCTTTGATGGTTGGTATTTGTTGCCTTATTGATCTACAATCTCAACCTTCAACATAAATAGCATCATTGTTGAGAGACAGGATATCCTCTGATACTACAGTGCTGAAGCCCATTCTTTACCATAATCTACTTTAATGTATGTTAAACTCATTATATAAGACATGAAAGTTTCCACATTATGGAGACACTCATGAGCCAACGCAATAAAACATGGGCCAATCTGTGGATATTTCAAACTGTTATTGTTGATCCATCATGGAAATTCATTCTTTAGAGCTGGTAAAATAAAACAGTGTATAGAAACTTTACAGACCCACTCCGATGAAAATCATGGTTTTCTTGTTTTTACATGTTCATATGGCATTTTTCTCTGATGCTACAGGACATATCAAGAGAAAAACAGGCGCAAAATTGCATTTTCTGACTATTTCTCAAATCGCTGTGAACCTCTCACAGACCCACACAGCAGGTTCGGACACAGTAAGATTTCCCACGTCAGAATCGTAGTGGGACTTTATAGTTTAACAGCATTGATTTTGATTGTATGGATAAATCTGACAAGAGTACTGGTCCTTTAGGAAAATGTTTATATTCCTAATAGATGAAACTTGGAGGAACATCTAACTAATTTGGTCAACAGGTAAATAACATGGCATAAATAGGGCAGTTCAGAGAGGCTGTGTTTTTCAGAAGTAAAGCAGTTTAACAATTTCAGAATAATGAATCTGGAGATTTTATTATTGTTATAATCTGAAGAAACCTTGGTACAAAACAGGACAAGCCCAAAAACCCAATATTGGATAGCTGGAATCTCCCGGCCCTCAGCGAGCGCTGCATTAAAAACAGACATGACTCTGTAGTGGAAGTCACCACATGAGCTCAAATCCTATGTCTGTAAATATATCTTGATGCGGCATCCACAAATATGGACTGAGGCCAGGTGGGAAACTGTCCTCTTGTTTACTGAATCCAAATTTGACATTCTTTTTGGAAACCATGGTGAAAAAAAAGTGGGAGAGGGAATATCACCCAGTTTGCTACAAGCCTAGCATGGGTGCTCAAAACATGGGTAGCTTACACATCTAGACAGGCATATACAGGATTTAGAGGAACATATTCTGCACCCAGACAATACTTTTTCATGTTTTCCAGTTTAACTTTGTGCATGGACATGTTGCAGAGTATAATTTAGTGGCCAGCAGTGTAAATTAGTCAGAACGTGAGCTTAATACCTACTATTTAAAATACTGACAGGATTGGGAGGGTTCGTCTAAGGATCCACTGCTTTGATAACCCCCATGAATGTGTTTAAACCAGAAGCGACTCAACTACATTTGATCCATCATTTATTCAATAAAACAGAAAAAAATCACAATATAAACAACTGTTTCCCCAGTTGGTGTTGTGCTAAATCATGATGACATTTGGGCACAGTTTTTTTTTTTTCAGCCAATGAGAGCAGAAGGAGATTTGACCATTTTTGGTGTGTGTGTTTGTGTAGCTTTGGTGGGGGTTGTAACATGTAATGTCCTCGGTAATTAGACCCCATTGTGACATCTTCGTACCTCCACAGCGGTGATCAGGGTGACTGCAGCATAGGCTACAGAGTCTAGACAATAGTGTGGGTGGAAGTGGTGATGATGGAAGGATGCAGGATGTGATGAGGGGGCTGGACATCTGAAGGCCTGACACTGACAAGGAGTGGAGGTGACTGGGGTGGAGGAGGGTCGCAGCGATCCACTCTGAAACGACAAACTGACGGAGCAGAGGGAGAACAGATGTAAGGTTTGGCAGCAGGACGATTGGCTGATGGAGGTTGTGGCAAAGCCTGGTTGGTGAATACCTTAGAGAGTAAACGCCCAAGATGAGGTGATGAGAGAAGCAGGAGGAGATAGAAATGGAGAGAGAGAGCTACACAGGGATGCGAGTGATGAATGAATGAATGAATATGTCACAGTCTTCCTGAGTGGACGCACTTCATATCAGCATTTGAATGGAGAATGGACATTTTTTAGACTACAACTGATACTAAATAATAATGAATATGTGATAATTACGTTGTGTTATACAAGTCTTAAGGTGTATTTTCATAAGAGGTCAGCCGATATTGGTTTTTATGGCTGATACGGACTGATCGTTAGCCATTCATGTGGCAGATAATCGATATTATCAGTTTTCATGTGTTAACGTGTGAAGTCCAGCCAATCATTTTCCCACAGCTTTGTAACTGCAGTATGCAACAGTGGGGGTAATGTGTCAGTTGCAAAAGACTCATCGACAAGAATCGTCTTCCAAGAATCGTTTGCGAGCAGAAAAAAGACGGTTCTTGCGGAGTTAGAGGACCTAAGTCTAAATTCCCATTACGAGTAGCAATTAAGCTGAGGTTGCTCCCCTGCTTTCCTGCTTTCCTGGATTGCAGACAGTTTGAGCAAGATTACACTTTTTTTTTTTTTAGATTTAATCAAAATATCGTTTAGATTTGATATTTTGTGGGATCCTCTCTGTTGCAAACTGATCTGAAAGAGTAAACAAACCTTCATCTCTTTGCTCTTCTCTTTTCATCAGATTGAGATCGTCCACAAGAACCAGGCCCCCATGTTGATGGGACAGCCACAAGGCCGGAGCTTCTTCTCCTCCATCATCAGACGAACCCGCACAGAGAGCAAAGACTGATCCATCGCAATCCAAGACTTTTCAAGTCCTCACAAACACCTGCAGACAAGCGGTCACCAGTCGATCACCACTCGGCCCGTTAGTGAAGGGGGTTTTTGATGCCTGTTTGATAGCCCAGCTTCCAGTAGCACGCTGCAGGTGCAGTAAGTATCACCTGCAGCTGGGAGATGTCACTGAGAAGGCCTTGATTCATCCAGAGTGAGGTGTGTTTAGAAGTGATGCTTCAGTCTGTACTGTAGTGTAGTTTAGCTCCAAAAATACTGAAGCTATTTTGGGTGGTCCAGTTTTATAAAAGTCTGTTCTTATTTCTGCTGTTGTGATCCGTGCCATGTGGGAAAAAAAACCCACAGATGAATGTGTTTTGTGATAAGACGTATTTATTTATTTATTCATATTTGCTGCTATTGATGTTTTTCAACAGTTATTTTTGCATTTGCATACCCCTGATGCATGATGGACAGTGAATGAGGACGCTGCTGTTGAAGCTGACATATCTGGCGTTTTGTGGGTGATCTTTCCCGAGTGTTCAGTAAGAAGTGAAGTTTCTGTGCTCAGCATTTCATCAGCGCTTCTCCCCCCTCCCCGAATGGCTTCAAGTCTTGAAAAGACAAAGAAACGCTCGCTTTCTTTACACAGTTCCTGCAAGTCATCCTGCGATGTCATGTTTTGATCTGATGTGCCGCTGCTCTGCCAGTGAAAAAGATTAGGAATGATTATTGATCCTCATAAAAAATGCATGACACTCTTTGCTCGACGTCGCACCACAGTTTTTCCAGACAGTTTTACCAAATGTGTGCACACTTTGTGTTGCATGAGTGACCAGGATCTGTTTTGACACTTGTGGAAACTGATCGCTTTTGAATCTAAATCTAGAGTGCCGCTTGGTTTAACCATATCACACTTTGTCTATAAGATGGCAGCATTTTGAGTGGCTGCTGTGTGTATTTGAAGGTACTCGGGTACCTTTCAGAGTGGGAGGAACAATGAAAAGGCAACAGGAGCGAGTCTAGCGTTCATTCATGTTGCTCCAGTGACTGTATAGATGGATATTCACGTGAAGCAGTTCGACCTCCTCTGGTCATTGATTTGTCCTGATGTCTACTGTTGAGTGTTTACAGTCCTCTGCACATACAAGCCAACATTAACCAATTAAAGTCTAAATACAAAATGACTATTGACATAAATATTGTACAAGCTTGATTTAAAGAATCAATCCCGAAAATCAATTCATCCTATAATTACAGATTTCTGAGGCATTTTACAGCCAATCACATGTGCACGTCTTCTTGAAGCCTTGATAGATTTTTTTATTCACTTTAAACTGCCAAATTCATAGAGGAGTCTCTTTATATGAATAAAAAAAGAATATTTATTGATAAATTAATTAACAAAGTTACAAATTTATTTACATGAATTAAAGAGAGCATTATTTAAATGGTAACTGTAAACAGTTTTTGTACTTAAGAGTATTTATTTCACTAAAAGAAAAACACTTCACATGAGATTTTTGGGGTATTAGTTGCAGATCTACACTCCTGGTGAATATGTTGTTTTCAGCGTAACCATACTGCAGACTGTTTCCAGAGAATAACTTTAAAGCTCCTGTGAGGAACTTTGTGTTGATTTTGGCACCCCCTACTGAGCAGTCCTTGCTTGCTTAGTCCTATACATGCTTGAGTAAATATTTTTGTCATCCTGTTGATTTTTGACAGTTGAATGTATCTGTATTTTATTGCAATTTTTAAAAACAGGACTCTTTATCAGCTGCAAGGCTGACACTTACCCCCGTCACACTAGATTGAGGTATTAAAATTACAACATAAAAATCTATAATCTTGTGGCTGATGGTCTTGTTCGCTTTTGGCTATCATGAGAACACAACAATATGAATTTTAGTCTACTTCATAAATGTCAAAACAACTCCTCATAGGAGCTTTAAGCTCGACTGTTTCAGCCTTGAAAAGTGCCAATCCCCCGTGCAGACTGGGTCAAATGAGTCTCCATCTCTTTGCTTTGAACTTTGCAGCATTTGTACAGTCAGGTTGTATTTTTGTACACAGTATTAGTTATTTTTCCGCCTATCGCTCTTCTTCACTGTTCAACTCACACCATGTTGTTCTGCCTAAAACAAACTATGCCTGCAAATGTGACTGAGAAAAGTGATAATAAAGCTTTGTTGTTTGACAGAGTGGTGTGGTATCCTTTCTAGTTTAACCTTTGACCCCTGACACTCCAGCCATCCCTATATTTGTCTGTACAGCTACCTGTCTGAACTGCTTTTGCTTTAAGCCCAGTATTTCCTTCACACCCTGAAGTAAAGGACCTGAAATCTTTTGTTTTCAGACAAGTACTCTGAAAATTAAATGTGAATAGAAAACTACCTTACAATGGTCACAGTTTTAAATATATACATTCATTCTTGATAGGTATTTATTTTTTAGAAATGTGGTTTGACTTTCACAGCTCCTACGTAAGGACATTCAACTTCTCAAGAATGGCTGAGGAAGAAATCCTTCTTCTACCCTGCTTTCCTGGATTGGCACTTTGTTTGTTACTGTGTGTCTCTGTGTCAGATGGGTGCACACCTGCACTTGAACTGCGTTTCTTGGTCCTCAGGGGGGAGTTCAGCAGGAGTGACACAGTGCTTCACTTCGCATCCACTTCACCTGCCTGGTAATGGAACCCTGCCTGGATCCAAGATGGCACCAGGTGACCACTGCTGACTTCCGATATGTCTGTCTTTTGGTCAGGTGTTTAATGCGGTGGTCAAGTTCTCTTTAAGGGAGTCATCCTTGAGCGGTCCTGCAGTTTTCGAAGCACACAAGAAATCAATACCTCGTCAGCTATTTTCTGTCTTTTTTTAAATAAGCGACAACATTTTTACCCAAATTTAGTTTAACGGTTGTTAAAAAACATCACTATCTAATTGGAGAATATAAGATTTGACACAGCAACACTGGTAGTGCATGTCAAAATCATATCTGAAGGTAGTCAATGGAATATAAATGTAAAGGTTAAAATATAGGAAAACCTGAGACAGAAGAAAGTTAAAAATTTTACATTGTGGCACCAATGGAACAACTCAGTTTATGTTTTAAAGTATTAAAGCGCCATTTTTCCTCAGAAAACAGAGTTAAAGGGTTAAAATTATTGTTTTAATTAACATAAGGGATGATGGAAACCCAACCTGAATTTGTCTAAATTTGCAAAATTAACTTGTAAAAATGCTAGGCTTGTTAACATGTTTGCAATGACATAAGGTTTTGTCTACAGTATAAAATTGAAAAAAAAAAAAAAATGTAAGGGATTCCGAGTGGTTTTTAAACCACATCCACACAAAGGCAGAGCCATTAAAAATGCTAACTGTAGGCTAGTGTGGCAAGATCATAGCCTTTAAAGTATTGAACAGACAGTTTTTTTCCCCCCTTGAAAAACAGTTTTAAGGGGTGAAAACTGAACTTTTAATTCACGAGGGATGACAGAAAACCCAACTTGAATTTTTCTTAATTTAGAAACTCATCTGCACAACTTGTAAAAATGCTAGGCTGTTAACATGTTTGCAATAACATATGGTTTTTAGGGGATTCCCAGTGGTTTTAAAACCATATTCACACAAAGGCAGAGCCATTAAAAATGATAAATGCAAGCTGGTCTGGCTACATCACAGTCTTAAGATATAAAAGGACATTTTTATGGAGGAAAAATGGTCCAACATCACAAAGGGTAACAGCAGTGGCCTAAGCAGCCATTGTCAAAGGGAATAAATGAAAACTAAAGGGCTTTTTTAATTTGATTTCTGATTTTGTTAAATTTAAAGACTGACCTTAAGTCAGGAAACTGGTAACTATCAATACAAAGTTTGTTGCTGACTAGTATGAATAGGCACTTAGTTAGCAGTTGTTAAAATCACTAAGCTAGGGTAACTCCGTTAGCCTAACGTCTAGCAAGTAAGCTAACCTGACTACCATACCTATCAGTATTGTTGCTAAATTAGAGGCATTTTGCTTTCATTTTGCCCTATTTCTTTTGAGCTCTCACATTTTTGTGTCGATTACATGGTAGATAAGAATGAAAATTGTATCAACATGTAATAATTTCTTGTGAACGGTAAACTGCGGTTAGCTTATTTTTGTTTTAGTAGCTAACCGGAAATGGCTCGTTTTTTGTTTTTTTTTAATTTATTTATTTTTTCCGCCACACAAGCGTCAGTTTGGGGAACTCATTTTAAGTGGGTGTGATTTTGAAAGTTGTGGTGTTCAGGTTTTTTTTTTATTTTTTGGGATCCTGTCCTCGGTTGTGACCCCTGTTTCTCTTCCAGGTCAGCGCCTTTCGCGGGTCTTCGGCTCCCCCAACAATGTATCCCTTACAGCGGCGGTGAGAGCTGGCTCTTCTGCCGGTCCCTCTGGAGGCTCTTCAAAACACAGTTACCATGGACACAAACTTGACCGGGAGAGGAGTGAGGAGGACTGTGTTTGTGTGTGTGTGTGTATGTGTGTGTGTACAGGCTCTGTGCGAGGAAGAAGGAGGGTAAGACAGGACTAGGATAAGGGAGGGTGTGTGTGTGCAGGTGCAGCCTGTGTTTCCAACTTTTAAAGCATGAAAATGACTCGAAGTTTTGTTGCCTTCTAAACAAGTCCAAACTTGAAAAGAAGGGCGCATTACACCTCCATGATACCATTGACTTGTCCGGTGCTTACCGCCTGCAGCCGTGCGTGATTGACTGCCAGCAATCTGATCCAGTGAAAGACATTGACAACCAATAGGAAGCTGAGTGCGGCTTGTTTCCATGGGAGGCCCCGGGAGGCGATGCCAAGCCCGCTAGAAAGCAACACAGCGAGCGGGGAGAAGCGCAGGCAGCAGCCGGGACTGTGGAGATCCTGCAGGCTGCTTTCGTGCCCCTCTGAACGCGGATGAAAGCGAGGTCGCTATAGGTAACACTTTTTTTTACTCTATAAGTTTATACTGTGGTGTAAAAACGTGTCGCTGCGCCCTTCAAGCTTAACGCGCCGCTCGTTTACGCACGAAATTTGCAGATTGTCAACTTAACTTTGCAGCATCGACGGAGGTGTTGTCGGTAACGTTGGTCTCACAAGACCAGCAGTGGGTTCCTGAACAGTGTCTACATGAATAAAACTCCTCTCATTCCTGCTCTGATTCATACATACTCGCTGTTTTTTGAAAGGTGACCGGACAGAAAGGAGACTCACTCTGGGGACTTTGCAGATCGCACAGCGGCAGCAGGATGGATGGATTTCACGACCAGAGAGTGCCTTACTGTAACTCCAAAGTGAGTTAAACCTGCCTTGAAAAACTTGGAGGCAAATCAGACATCAGAGGCAGATCTCTCACATCATCTTTTAGTGTTGTAAATGTCTGTTCTTCTCTCTAACACTCTCTTTCTTCTGATCTCATCTCTCTCCCTCCCTGCTGCTGCCAAGACTCATTCCTCCTCAGGGACTGTTTAAGTTTCATTTAATCATCAAAGATAAACAGCTAAACAAGGTGCCTACTGCTATACACAGTGATATTGGTTATGCACCATGTTACAACTTGTTAATTATATCTGAAGCGCAGGTTCTTTTGCTTCTTTTGCATCAATGAGAGGCTCATTCAGGCTCTTCCAGTTGCACTTGAGCTGCAGCCAACAGCAGAATCCCTGCTCCAGTGAGAAAAAAATTGATTTGTGTGTCTCTCTCTCTCTCTTTTTTCTTTTTTCTTTTTTTTACCTCTTGCAGAAGCCTCAAGAAAAGACAACGAGCTGCCAGGGGCAAGCACATGACAGAACGAGAAAATTCATTAAGTCCGACCTGGCTCTGGACACTGAAGGTAAGCAGAGGGCAGAGGGAGAAGTTAATTTCACGGCTTCTAAACATTTAGCAAAATTCAATTGGTTTGTAGCCACCTGCGCTGCTAACTAGAGAATCTCAATTACAACACAGCGGCCTGTGATGATTCTCACAAGGCTCCGTCAGTGGTCAGACACACAAATTGACTTGTTATTAGCTCCAGCAGCTCAGACGGGCATATCCCCCCGCTGTAATGAACTCAGTTGTTTCTGAAGCCTCTCCCGGGCTATGACTGTGTTTTTCAACTCCTCTAAAGCCTCGTTTCTCTGCTTTGTTCCCCCCTTTCAGAGCTCTTCCAGGACCTCAGTCAGCTGCAAGAGACTTGGCTCGCAGAAGGTGAGTGTTTTAAATCTTGAGCAAAAGAGGAAAAAAAAAAAAAAAGGGAGGAGAGATGGGTAAAAAATGGTTGTGAGGGGGGAGAAAAAAGCAGCCTGGAGTTACTTGCCTTGCGTCGCAGTCCAATTAAAAGCCTGTGTGGAAGAGGCACCTTGTGTGTCATGCATACATTAGAGACTGTGAGCGAGGGGTCTTGAGGGAGACCGAGGAGGCTCTACCCAGAGAGTGTCATCACAAATTACCAGGAGAAGGCTCTCCGACGCTCACTGTCTCTTCTGCTTTTGGCAGGAGCTAACACGCTGCACGCCAGCCGCTGCCACCACCTCCACCTCCACCTCCACCAGAGCTCTGCTACTACCTCTCTCTCTCTTTCTCTCAACTGCTCCCTCTTTCTCTCCTCCCTCCCTCTCTCTCTCTCTCCCTTTGCTTCCTCCCAGCACACCTCTCTATCTTCTCCAGCTGTACCATCACCTTGTCTTCTTCAATTTCATTTCTTGGCGGCCCTAAAAAAAGAATGGATCTATAATTTTTTTTTCCTAAACCGCATACCTCCAAACCACCTGAATCCATCTCTCAAAGCAACTTTTTTTCTTAAAAAGTAGTTGTCATTTTTTTTCCTTTTTAATAATTTTTTTCTCTAATGGCAAGACTTGCTCTTTGTGGTCTAACCGAGACGTGATGCTTCAGGATTTAAGCGCGAGTGTCCTCTTTCCATCGTGTCTGCAGCACCGAAGTTTTGGTTAGTGTTGAATATTGTTCCTTTTTACTGTTTTATTAAGTGCATGTGCATGTCCTAAACTAGACCTTTAAATTAGTGTAAATTACTGCAAAAGAACTTGCTTTGAATATTGCATGCAACCTGAAAGATATTAAACTAGAGTTTGCTGTTTTTAAGAGTTTTTTGAGTGAAAAGTGGAACGTTTTTAGCGTGCTTGGAAGAACTTTATGATTTGCCTTGTCAGAGTAAAAACAGAATTCTGTGAAGTAAGTCGGTGGGAGAGCACGAATTCACCCAAAAGTTGAATTTTGACTTTTTATTGCAAGTTTTGGACATTTAAAAGAATGACGTCAGGCTAAATCTGCAAGTGGACCAATGCTAAGAGTGAAAAGCGAGGTTTTTGTGATGCTCCACAAAAATAGTAACGCCAGGCTTCTCCAACCGTGCTACGCTTACTGCACCATTTTAGCAGTCAGAACAATAAATTTGGTCATTTTTATGTGAAATCTTTTTTTCTCAACTTGTAAAAAATTATTTTTAGTCAGAGTGAGAAATGTAATGCTGTAGAAAAATGTATTTTTAGGAGCAAGATGACTTTTGGGGTTATTTTTAGTCCTTTAATTAAAACGAGGATGCATAAGAATTATGAGGACTGACTGATTTCTACTTTAAATTCCCCAAAATATTCACACAAACACTAAGAAATGTTTTGTTGCTGCTGAGTAAATCAATTATAATTTATAACTTTAAGATATTTTTTATTCTATTAGAGCATCATGACAGCCTGCCCTCTAAAAATATCTTTTCAAACGTATGTCAGTGCTCTGGTGTTACAGCCATAATTCAAGTAATAAAGTAGCACTCTCAAGTGTTCGGTGAAATTGAATCAACTTTTTTAAATCGAGGACAGAGTCCTTAAACATCACCTGTAAAAGTGTCTGGAGAAATTTGGGCTTGCACAGCTCACACAGGTGAATAAGACCCTCAATCATTTATGGACTCCATCTATTCTTTAACACGTTTCAAAAAAGCTCGCAGTGCAAATCCACAGCTTTTAAAAAATGAAAAGTATGCTTTGAAACAGATATTGGGGTAGTTGAGCCGACTGTGAGCAGCGGTTAGATTATGAGGTGGCGCGGCGCGCACCGCAGGGCGTGTAAAAGAATAAGACACGATTTAAATATTTCAGTATCCAAAGTGAGAAAAGAGACGGCGGCGGCTGATAAGAGGTATTACTGTTAAAGATTACAGTTCTGCCTGTCATGGATCAATGTGATGATGTACACTTCAAGAGCGTAGATTTAATGAATGACTTCCTGTCCATTAGGATGAAAAGGAATACCTCCCCATTTCTAAGATTTATTAGTTCAGGTAATTGGAACAAGAGGACGAATTATGAGAGACAGACTGAATTTCCGACTCTGAGAACGAGACGTTGAGGGGGTTCGTCTGCTAAAAGACGTATTTTGACACCCAGAAACTCTGCTCTGCTCTCCACCTTGACTCATGATGTACTTTTGCACCTTTTTTTTTTAGCTTAAAAAAAAATAACTTTTTTTCTACGAGGCATCTCACTTTTTCTTATTTGTAAGGACATATGTAATGAAAACATAATCTTACTTGAAGTAGCGCAGACAGACCCTTAAATGAGTTTCAAACTCGCACACCGATCCGTCAGCGTGTTTATCACAGTCTCTCCTGCTCAGGCCTCGTGTTTACAGCCTTTACAACTTCTCCCTTTTCATCCTCACTCCTTTTCCCCCTCTATTCTTCTGCCACTCTCTGTTTTTTTTCCTTTGTTTTGTGAATGGCGGCAGATTTCCAGCTTTGCCGTTCTCCCCAGGAGTTTGTTGCAGGGATCAGCTGGCTCATTCACAGACTGAGGCCGGTGACTCATCCATCCTGTACTTCCTTTTGGACACAGATCCACCGCTGCCTCCTTCTGCCTTTTTTTCTTTCTTTTTTTTTTGGTTTCTTTTTTCATCTCTCCTCTCTTTGTCCCCCTTTCGAGTTGGTTTCTGCAGAAATTGCTTGTGCTGTTATATGATGAAACTTTCTCGTAGTTGTCTTTTCCTTTGTGTTTTGTAGATTTCAAAGTTGTGGTTTTGACTATGAAAGAGAAAAATATGAAAAGAGAGTGGAGAAGGCCTCTTTTTTTTCTCCTCACCTGCTTTCCATGAAAATGTTCTTGAAATTTTCAGGAGAGCGTGCAGCAAAGTGGAGCATCAGAGCAGGTTTTCAGTAGTAATCTAAAAAAATTAAAAAACATATATGTGAAAAAGCTGCATGCACTAATTTCTGCTTCTTTGTTTGCTATTCTCCTCACTTGCTTGACATTGTTGGGAAATATGCAGCATTTTCTCCTCTTCATCCGCTGATTGTTTACTCTCTTCAATTCACACCTCCTGCAAGAAAGAAGAAGAAAAAAACCTCCCTGATCATAACAAGAGTGACAAAAAATGGAAACCGGTGATTTTTCTGAAGATCTCCAGACATGTCGGTACATGTCAGTGATTCTGTGATAATGAGGATCCACCTCATTGTGCGTATAAATAGACGTGCTAATGACACATTTAAATCTCCTTTTGCCTTTCGCTAGAGATTTAAACTTGAGGGACGTGGAGAGCTGTCACCGAGAGTAAATATGTGTGATATAAATATGTACACGCCTAATTGGAGTCGGAGCGGCGCAGGCTTCATTATTTTAGCATTAACCTGGGCGCAGGGGCGTTCGAGGCGCAGGTGAGGCGTTGGAAGGGTTGGAACAGACCTGGCTCGGTGGGTACAGGTGGATCCAGCAGTAGGGAGGAAGCCAATTAGATACAGTTAACAATGGGAGTTTGGCTGCTGGCAAAGAGCGAGAGCCGAGGCTGTGGAGGAGTCAATGGACAAGGCGACCTCAGGAAGTGGATCAGGAGGCAGATTGACACCTAGAGTAGAGTATTATTTCCTCCACAGGCTGGTCTGCACAAAATCTGTGATAAATCCAGAAAACAAAATTGCTTTTAAGGGTTTTACTGCAGTGATTTTGGCAGGAGAAGCACGACTTTGAGATAAAATAAGAGAGCAGTCGGGTTTTTTCATCCTTTTATTTTCACTTTAATCAACTCCCTTAATTTGTTTTTTAATTTTTGACGAAAGCGTTGAAAATGTAGTTTGATTTTTTTAAAGACAACAATGAAAAACTTCTTAAAGCGCTCAGAAAAGAAAAACAAAATTTTAATTACAATCACGTAAAATCGTCTACTGCTGAAAACAAATATCGAATCCTCCTCACTCGCCTCTATCGTATTAATTTGATGGTTTAAAAGAATTTTTTGAAAGAGACGTCCCTGTTAGGAAAAAAAGAGACAGTTTTGGTTGATTTGTAATTTTTCACAAGTTTTAAATTTAACAAAAAGCCTCAAAAATGACCTGAAAACTTCCATCATGACCCCACATATAAAACACATTAATGCACGTCTCTAAAGGCGGTGGAAACAGACTCCTCTCCGCTCTGATTTTCCTGTAAAACACATTTTTTCACGGCTGTGTTCTTTAACAGACAGCAGGAGCAAACAATGCCGGGATACGCCGAGCTGATATCCCAGGAGACCGTTTGCCAGAGGAGTCTATCGGACTGCTGGGAGCTGTGATCAATGCTGCGTTGTCCATCAACATCAGAAACAATCATCCCCTTTCTTCTTCTTCTTCCTCTCTTCTTTTTGTGTCTGCAGCTCAAGTTCCCGACAATGACGAGCAGTTCGTTCCAGACTTCCAGACTGAAAACTGTGAGTACAAAACCGTGCTGCTCTTTTTTACTTTGCGTGTGTGTGTGTGTGTGTACATGCTGTTAATGCTCCTGTTTGGGTCTGTGTCAACATCTGCGGTGTGTGTACGCGTGTGTGTGTGTGTGTTTTTTCCGAGTCTCTAAGTAGCCTCACCTTTGCTCGCACAAGTGCTCTCTGGAGAGCTGCAGCAGTCTTGCGGGTCTGCAGACAGGTGCATGGGCCGAGGGGGTCTCTCTCTCTCTTTCTCTCTCTCTTTGCTCACTCTCTCTCTCTCTCTCTCTTTCTTTCTCTCTACCTGTCTCTACCACTCTTTCTCTCTCTCTCACTTCCCTCTGTTCCCCCTGCACCTCTCACCACCACTGAGATATTATTGCACCGTGAATTATTTGCATAAACATCAAAATATTGTGGCAGTTTTTTCAGGGTGTTAAAGTGATATTTTTATATCCCGGCAGGCCAAACTGCTGTCAAATGATGTCTGTCTTGAATTTTTTAAAATAAAATCTTTAAAAAATGCTCCCGGATGACCTCTCCTTGAGGCTCTTTTTCTGCAAAACCCCTCCAGTGTGGTTAGATTTTCTAAATCCGGCAGGGTAAAATTAGTCAACACCGTGTTTATCTTTTTTCTCTTGGCCTTCTGGTTCACTCCCCAATCTTCAATTTTCCCAGCATAAAAGGATGATTCCTCTATTTTCTCCTGTAAGAGAATATAACCAGCGTCTAAGAATACTCTGAAAAGTTAACAAAATCAAACCTGCTTCCCCTGAGCCGAGCAGATTTGACTCTCGCGGTTATTAGGACGATGCAGCTAACCGTATTTCACCTGGTTTGTGCACGCTGGTTGCACACGGTGACTGGTGACTTGGCACGGCCCACTTCTGGAGGAAGTAGTGCCAAGGTGGGGACAGAAATGGAGTGAGTGGAGCTCAGTGGGAACCTGAGCGAGCACATGTCTTTCAGAGGAGCCAAAACGCCCATGAAACTGTGAGAAAAGCCACGAAACAAGTCTTTCCCTACGTCCTCAACGCCCTTTAACCCGGAGGCAAAGTTGGACCGAACGCAGAAGTGAGGGAAAAGAAAGAGTCATGATCGTATTTGCATTTGCAGATCTTTTCACCTGAGACACTTGGGTATTTACCTGTTGGACTTAAAAAAACATCCTTTCTCACTTTAAATAGCAAACATGAAGACTGAAGTCCGACAAGAACAGCGTTTTTTTTTTTTGTGCGCCTCTTTAGGTAGATTTTCAAAGATAAAGTTTCTTATTTTTCATAATTTTTGCTGCTTGGACCCATTTCTTGCAGCTCCCGCTCCACAGACTGACGTAAAATCTGGTAAATAAGAGCTGTAAGAGTGCTTGAATATTGTACCTCCATTTGTTTGACTTTGACTCCATCCACTTCAGTGAAACTAAACAGCCTGACCCCTAAGTGTGAGTTAATTCACTCTAAACTCCAAGATGCTGGAGGGTTGGGGTGTACAGTAGAGAACCAGAGGTCACAGAGACTGTCCCGTTGTCCTTCAGAGGTAGCCGGGGTGGGTGGCCGCGGTGGCAGGAGACTGCTGACCATCTGAATTGTCCTGTTGGCAAACCTGCAGCAGACTGGAGAGGCGCTGACAGATGGCGGGAGGGTGAGGGCACCGTGGTTGGGCGCTCGAGCAGGCATCCCAGCCGGCAGCTCTCCCATATGGGTTTCACCGAGCCGAGAGGTGGAGGGGCGGACAGAGGGACGGAGATAGAGATGTGGAGATTTAAGAGGGGAATATATCCAGTGAAAGTTGTTGCATTTCATACAAACAGGACGAGCAAGGGAGGATTTTTTATTCATGGAGATCATAGTGAAGAGACAAACAGACACTGATTTCAAATAACCGCAACAAAGAGAGACGAAATTTAGTTTTTCTGAGCATCATAGTTTCCTCTCAATGCATCATGATCTCAGCTTAAAAACTACAGTTTCACAGATTAAAATAACAGAAACCCTTTTCTAAATCATCTAGTTGCCAATTTTTTTAGTCAGTTTATGTCATAAAATCCCACTTCGTCTGATTTTCTTACTCTCAATATGCAAATTAACTTGTTATTTTAAGTTCTGCACGCATCTACTGTTTAAAGCAAGAGCAAAATCTGTTGTCTACCAAAGTAGCTGCGAGCTTGTTGCAAAAAACAGGAAGTTTAGTGACAATAAATGTAAATTTTTGGTTGATTTAATTAAAGATGTGTATTTTTAAGAAACTAAATCCATAAAAAAAGAAAAAATATGAACTGATCTGTGTGCCCAAATACCCATAATACCAACAAATGAGCTCTTCATCCCTTAATTTTAATATTTCCTCCGCTGTAGTTTTAATATTCAACTACAGTTTATTTTTGCACCATTAAAGTGACGCCCGCCTCACTAAAGCAACACAATTCGAACATTTCTAAACACTTTGGTCGAATATTCAGTGAAAATAAAAGGTGAAAACAGAAAAAAAAGAATCAAACCAGAGGGTTGAAAAGTAGAAAAAGTAGAAAGCGAGTTCATTTATGTGCTCGTGCCCTCAGATTTATCACCTCTCTGGAAGCTCTGACAGTCTCCCTCAATGTCGACTTCGCACTCTCCATCCATGCAGCACAGAAGCAGCATGTGAGCGGCCTCGGAGCGAAAGTGTCCTCAGGCTGAAGGAGGAGAAGGAGAATTTTTCTTTGTCTCAAACTCCATCACAGATGCTTACCATTAGCATAACTTAGCAGGGAACGAAAGCAGTAGAGGAGGTGTAAAATGAGGCCACACGTTACCGGCAGATCTCAGCCTCCACCATTTAACAGCAAAGGCGAGCACCTACAGTAGGTGAAAATGGAATGGAAGGTTTTTCGCTGCTGCCAAAAGACCTGTATTTTTTTATGAATGGACTGGAGAAATATCTGCCAAACGTAGGCTCGCGGTTCTGCCAAAACACACGATTTGTACCTGAGAAAACACAACGTTCGGGGCCAAGAGTTCTTTGATAGTGTACTAAAGGGATTGGCAGAAAAAAGGCGGTAAAAAAATTAAATAATTTGACAACATTAGGAGGAAAACCTGAAGTGATTATACAAATCTTTCCCTACATGAAAATTTTCGCTCAGCTGTTTAACCATAATGTGTTTAAAGCAAGTAGACCTAAATTGGGAAAAGGTAAATTAATTTGTTGAACAAAAGAAACATTTGTGATACCAAGAGCTAATATTGGTATCACAATTTTGATAGAAAAAAACTCTACATCCATTCTTTGATGCTTGACTTGGCCAACACAGAACATTATTAATTTTATTTTATTTCATTTTTTACAAATTTTTGATTTAAAACTTTTGGGTCCAAGATTTCCCCAGATACCTTAACCAGAAGAATTGGTATGTCAAAAAATGTCAAATAAATATTCAGTTAATGGAGTTTTGTGGATTTGTGGTAGGTAAAGTAACTCTGTAAGTCTCCTTTCATGTATTTAATATCTTAAACAGATTTAGACCAAGAGTTCCTTGATAATGTAGTGGAATAAAACTGGTAAAAATTACAATTACAACTAAATTCTGTGGGAATATGTGAAACTAAATAAGTATGCACATTTCTTTATTTGTGAGACTGGCCTGACGCGAACAGTGAATTTGAGGTTTTACTTTTTTTCATACTGTTGCTTCTAAACTTTTTGGGCTTTAACTCTTCAATAACATACTGGAAAACTGGTTAAAAAACACAGTGATTAAATGTGATTTCACAGGAAAACAAAAGTAAGTTTATATTTACTGTTAATACGTATTATTCTCTTGAAACAAACACAAAATTAGATTTTTAACATTTTGTTCCTGGGTCCAAGATTTCCTTGATAATGTACTTTAAGGCCTGCAAGAAAATAAGCAAACAAAAAACATATACCTTTTCTTTCGTGAATGACTCGGCTTATTTCTGAGAATGTATTATTTTTTTAATATTCTTTTGCCTAAAAAACCAGGATGTTGAAAATAACACACTAAAGACTAAAGACTATATTTTATATAATTTTGTGGGAATATATGAAAGGATTTGGCGAATCTTTTAACATGTGCATGACTGGACAAGGAAGTAGATTTTTTTTACATAGAGTGGTGCTCAGAGCGCCTTTGAACTCCATAGATATTGTCCAAAATAACTAAGACAAAGGGTAAGAAAATGTAAAGTTAGCTGATTTAAAAACGGGGTCGTCTTCGATATAAATCTGTCCTCACATGGATAATGTAACTCTAACAAACAAACCGTCACTTTTATTCCATTCAAAACAAAGATTTTTATCAAAAACCGCCTCGAAAATGAAGGAATATTTGACTTAAGGGCACAGGGAGAAAAAAAACAACAACAAGACAACATTTGCATTCAAAATAGAGCCAGTAATTGTTCTTCTTTTAAACACCCCACCATCTCGCTTAATCAATATGTAGATAATGAGAGCAATCAAGCCGTGATGGGCATGACATTCTGGACTAAAAAGGAAGTCTCTCTTTCAGTCAGAGGCAATGCCCTCACTATTGATTTGTGTACCTTGGCACCCCACAGACCAAATCTATTGTGACATTTCCATTTCTAATTTAAGGCCCCGCGCTGCTGCTGCACACGTGAAGCCATTGTTTGCAGGTGATGTGACGCCTGTAGCTAAACACCGCGTTTTTTTATCGCCATTACTCGTGCGTTTAGTGTGGAAGTTTAATAACCCAGAATATTATATTGATTCAGTGTAAAAGGAAGAGAAGAAGCACGAGGAGAGCAGCGAACCAGAGCTGGCTGAGAGGTGAAGTCTAACTCAACAACATGTATGTTTGTTGTTGTAGGTAATTAAAGTAACCCTGATTGTGATCTCGACGAGCAAAACCGAGGAGTTGTTTTGACTCCATGAGCTCTAAATGAGGGGAGACCTTTGCTGGCGTCGTCAAAGGTCTCCCCTCAGGAAGTGTCTCTTTGACCTCCGATCGATGACCCGGAAAGGTCAGGCCCCCAGCGAGGGCTGCGAACAACCCCTGAGCTTTGTCACGCCGGGCCCGTGTGGCCCGTCCCCCAGGGGCTCTGCTGTGCGTCAGATGGGGTGTTGGCAGATCGACCCCTGCTCGTACGGCAGCTGTCAGTCAGCCGTGAGAAAAGTCCCCAAAACATCCTCCTCCCTCAGCTTCTCCTGACCGGAGGAAAAACAGCCGCGAACATCAGATCTGATGTTTTTGGATTATCAGATGTCAAAATGTTTTCACCTCAGGAGTAAAAGGATTTCCTTTCTCATTCATGATTTCCTTATTTCTATCCTGAGATGTTTGACTATGAGTTCACCTAACCAAGACAGATTCATGTGCCATCGCTGGAGGATAACTCCTCCTTCCTATTTTAATACCAGAGTGATTAAAAATGAACTTTTTGATCGATATATCCAATTTTTTCAGACATAAAAGTTTATGTCTTTTGTTTTTATTTAGATATGTACCTGATATCTGACTTGTTTGCCTTTTAAAAGCAGTAGTTGGTTGAGGGAACCTTCATTTGTTGGACCAAGCAGATTTTTGAGGGGGTAGAGAAACTACAATATCTGAGATGTGAACTTTTAAGGGTATTTGCAGATTCCTCTGTGTTCGTTAACGTCGTTTTTCAGCCTCAAACTCCAGTCAGACATCATCCCCGTCATCCACGTCTAGCCCTCTCTCATTTTTGACTAAAGGATGTGGGACGGCCTCACCGCTGCTATGTGTGCCGTCGCGGTGAGACGGCGATTAGCGAAGCAACCCGAGCCTGACTTCATTCTGACCGACTCTGTCTTCGTCAGCAGCGCAGCCAATTGGATTAGCGTTGATCATGACTGGAGATGATGGGATGTTAATCAGGACTGATCAGGCACTTAACAGCCTCTCAGATGCACCGGGGCTCACTGTGGGGCCATAGGTAGAGAGCGCAGTAACCCACCCCCACCTACCCCACCCTCTCTCTTCAGATCAATGAGCCTTGTTGTTGTCGTCTGGGACGTTATTGACAGCACGCTGAAAGCAGATTTGTAAGAGCATCGCCGCACACACACGGCTTTATGATTGTCATATTTCACTTACAGAGACCCTGTCAGGAAAACAGACGATTAAATGAGATTTAGAGCGAGCTTGTATTTGTGGAAGTGACGGCCTGAGATGTCAAATCTGTTGGCTGATGGATGCACAGGCTCTTGACTTAAAACATCAGGAATCGTCTTAATCAAAAACACGCTGGTGACATTCATACTTAGACATATCAAGGTGTTACAGCTCTGAAAGTGCAGATGAACGCTTCTTAAATCTCTTTCTTAAAACCTAAAAAAAAGTTTCTGCAAAAGTGCAATTACTTCAGTGTTTTCCATGCATGATCTGCAGGAGACGCTGCATGTGGAGAAAGGCTAATCTGCCACAGACAGGTGCTAATTCTAAAGGAAAGAGTATTTTTAGCCAAAGTGTTCCAAATGCTGATTTGAAGTCTTAATTTAAGCCGTAAGGAGTCACGTCCTCTTTGTGCTTGTCTTGTTTCTTTTCTCCGCTCAGTGGCTTTCCACGGACTGCAGCTGAAGATCAAGAGGGAGCTGCACAGCCCGTGTTCAGAGCTGAGCTCCAACTGCAGTCAGGAGCGGCCCTTCAAGCTCCAGTATGGAGAGAAGTGTCCATACAACGTCAGGTAGGAGCTGCAAGACGCCAGCTCAATCCTGCGATCATGACACGACACTATTTATAAACCCCCAACATGTTTAATCTGCTTCACAGTGCAGTCACTTTTCTTTTCCCATACTCTTCGGCAGATAATCCTTTTTCATCCACAGATGTCTAATAGCAAGTTTTGCTTTTTTTTTAACTCGTTGAAAATCTATTTTTCAAATTTTCCGCTCCATCTTTCTAAAATATCTTCCATCGATCTGAAAACGACTTTGCAAACTCTGACTAAGCATTTCCAATCACGACCAATCGCAGTGTGGTGATGAATCCGGCGCCCCGCTCTGTGTTTTTTCATCCGACTCACATGTTCGTGTGATGACCTTGCGTGCATACAGCCATCTTGAAGTGGTGAATCATGTGCGTGATTCACTTCCTTACCTGGTGGCTCGGGCTCGTATAGGGGATGAAAAAAGTCCGGCATTTGGCAGGGATTAGATTTCACATCCGAGTAGCCACTGTGTACGCTGAGAGGAGGCGTGACGGGCGTAAAAATAACCATTTAAGGAAGTCAGCGTGTTTCTGAACTGAGAAAGTGAGACATTGGAGCCCTTAAGAAACTAATTAATTGCGTTTTAGTTTGTAGAAATACATTTTTAAGTGATGCCTGTCCAGCAGTTTTCAAAATAAAAGACTTCTTTCTCTGATTTTGTGCTCTATAGTATCAACCAGTTTGGTAGGATCAAGATCTCTAACAAGATAAGGTTCATTTTCCTCTATTAGTCTCATCAATAATCAGATTTTCACCTATAGGATCATATATGAGCTTGAACACAAAGTGTGCGATGAATCTTTAATGCTAGAAACGCTCTCTAAGAAGAATCATACTGAACCGTTTTCTGGTTTCCACAGTGCCTACGAGCAGAAGCACCCCGCAGGAATGAAGCCCTCCAGCCCAGTGACGCCCCCCTGTAGCACCCCCGTGTCCCCCCTCCATCATGCCTCACCCACGGCGGCCCCGACTCCCAAACCAGACAGGACCTACGCCCACATACCGCCTTCGCAGCCGCTCCCTGACAACACGTACTCTATGGACCACAGGTAGAGCAGCCCGCAGCCTTTTACATTTACATCCAATTTACATGTGGGGCCTTCAGCGAGAGCGGATTAGAATAAGGTCAGGGCTGCAGATGTAGATTCTGGGTTTAGTTACAGAGGAGCGACGTAACTCAGAGTACAGTTATCAGAGCAATGATGGCTGTCGAAGTAAATCAAAGTTTAAGTTGTGAGTTTTTTAATAAAACTAACCCTTTGAGGTAAACTAATATGACCCAACAGGTAAAACACCAATCAGATGTTATTGTCTGAAGCATAAAGAGTTTTTTAAGTTTCTTACAGGCTCCAACATCATTTTGGTTCTCTTTCTCTCTCTCCCTGCATTATCTGTCTGTCTTTTGAGCAACCCTATCAAAATAAAAGCATATACCCCAAGAAATTTTAGATGTATTTAATACCTTTTGTGATGTTTGTTTGACAGTTTCAAAATAAAATACCCTTTTTTCTTATTTAGTGCCCTGAACTATTGAACAGCTAAAGAGAGGATATCAAGTCCTAAAACTGTTTTTGATGCAGAAAAATCACGCTGAAATGTCAACATAACAACATAACCTGGACATGGACCTCTGTTCTACTTGATCTGCTCATAGGATTGATTGGTTTTCCACACTGCTGCCCTTTCAAAATAAAAGCATCAACTTCAAGAAATTTTAGTTGCTATTAACTTTGTAGGATTCCATTTTTACGCATCATTTGTTTGGCAGTTTCAAAATAAAAGACCTCTTTCTCTCATGTAGTGCCCTGAATTATTGGATAACTGGAGAGGATCAAGTTTCGTATAACAAAATAAGAGTCCTACAGCTTTAAAATACCCACATAATGATGTTTTATTACCCTGGATCCAGAGTAACAGTTTTTAATGCAAAATAATATGTTCACTCTGCTGTCCTTTCAAAATAAAAGCATACATCTTGAGTAATCTTCAATAAAAATGAAGGTTTTCCTTTAAAATTTACATGATGAACTCAAGCTCCTATTTGACAAGATCAATTCTTTATTTTTTTGCCCTTCTGAGCAGCACTCTTGTTGTGTCGGTATCTTTAAAGTAAGCTGTTAAAGTGAATTGTTTTGTGTTCTCAAACATGTTTTATTTTGTTATTTTCAATTTTTTCAAGTTGGTCAAAATGAATCAAAACACGCCTCTCTCTCTTTTTCTTATTTACTCTGTCCAAATGATTTATTCATTTGAGTCTGAAAGTTAATTCTTCACAGTGATTGCAAGAAACCAAACTTGCCAGAACTAAGTAATCAACAGATGAAAAAAATATATATTCCACAACTTTTTTGTTTGCAAAATATAACATTTTTATGTTTGAGCAACATAAAATCATGAGAGTTTTCTGCTTTTTCTTCATTATCTTGGAAGTTTCATTAAATTTTTGGGGGTTCAGGACCAAAAACAGAGTTTAGTTCTTCTTTTACACCACATAAGAAGATCTGATGTTATAACACTATACAGTATGAGAACCTTTGATTTAGTTTGTCTGTGATCTGCTGTTTTTGTCTTCATTTATGTAAATATAAAAGCCTCCTGGTGTCCAGCTGTTAAAGATCCTCGCTGACTTTCTGTGGTGGTCCTCAGGTTTCGTCGTCAGCTCTCAGAGCCGTGTCACTCGTTTCCCTCCCCGCCTACGATGGCTCGGGACGGCCGGCCCATCTACCACCGGCAGATGTCTGAGCCCAACATCCCCTTCCCGCCTCAAAGCTTCAAGCAGGAGTACCCCGACCCCCTGTTCGAGCACCCGGCCATGATGGGGGCACCTCTACCCCACGCGTACGCCCCCAGCATGATGATCAAACAAGAGCCGAGGGATTTCACCTACGACTCAGGTGAGAGGAATGAATGAACGCATGCTGCTGTGTAGCTTCAACATGTCTGGTATAAGCGAAAGAGCACGGTATCATTTCAGGAATGGGAGAAGACATGAGAGGAGGGGGGAGGCGTTTATTGAGTTTGCCCATTATTAGAGCAGGGGATCTGGTTGGGCCGGGTGTCTGCGCCCGGTCGCCATTTCCTGTGGAGCTCTAATAGAAAAGAGTGGGTGGGAGGGGGAGGGAGGGGTAGGCCTGGTCGCAGTCCAAAAATCCGCCCTCCCACGCCTGTCCGCTCCCCTCAGTTAGAGCGCAAAAAGAGCTAATCATCAGCCCACGGCCTCAGCGGAGCCCGAGGCTACATCAGGACATGAATGAACATACGCCGGACCAGCGGTTCATTCACAAGGCGGACAGAGAGAGGACCCAGGAGAGAGTGTGTGAGCAGTCAGGGGGAAAAGCAGCCTCCTCTCAGGGCCATGAGTGGAAGAAAAACACCGGAGCTTCCTTCACTTTAGATTTTCTTTGTTTTTAAACAAGCAGCCAGGTTAGGAGCTGCACTCTCTTTCTCAGGGAGGAAGCTGTGAATCTGAGTGTGTCTGTCACTTTTTAGTGGTGGGATCAGATTGTCACAGGCGTGTTTTAGCTTTCGCAGTCACGTGGTCTCTGCTCACTAATTAACAACAGCAAGTTAGTTCTGCAAAAAGGGCAAGATTACAACAAAAACCTTTTTTCAAGTTCTCGCTCATTAGCGGGAAGAATTTAAAGATTTTACACCTGCTGCTGCTGTTTAGGGGAACTTTTTTTCAGTCAATGTTTTCAATCAGTGTTGAATGTTTTCTCTTTTTTAAAGGTACTTTTTGATCTGATTTTAATGTTTGATTTTCTTAGCTTTTAAAAGCCTGATTACAGGTTTATCTATCACCTTTTTTTAACATGTTTTTAGCTCAGATTTAAAATGTATCATAAAAATATCAAATCATAAAATTTTTCAAAGTCTAAAAGTGAAGTCTGATCTTTTTATAGGTATTTCTATTTTAATTTTTTAAAATTTATTGTTGATATTTAAATTATTATTTATTATTATCATTTTAATATTTGATTTTTCATTTTTTTTCAATGTTAATTTAATTGATTTTTCCGGTATTTTAATTTTTTAAAAATATTTAAAAAAAAAATGTTTTTTCAAAAAAATGAAAAAAATTGTATTCATTTTTTTCCCAAATACTTTCATCAAGCTAGTCCGAAAACAAAAAACAAAATAATTAACAATATATATAACAGGAAATTATCACTGTTGGGAAGTTTAGAGGATTAAATTTATCAACATTTCTTGTTTAACAAATTCCTTGGAGGAACAATGTGTAGCAGCTTAGGTTCTTTAAGACGTGGATCAAGTGGAATATTATCTTAATGCGTGTTTAGATTATTGTAAAATCATTCAACATAAACATCTTTTATGTTTTGTTCACTTAAAATGCACCTTTTTTTACTTGCATAAGGAGGATCCCCTTTTACAGAGGCTACTGTCTTGCACTGATTTGTTTCTAAGGTAACCCAGAATAGACAAACTTCTAACAGCCATGTGCGTTTTTGTGTGTTTTGCGACGTGCAGCATGAATGTTGTGGTCAGTTTGGACCGAACTCATCATTCCTCACAGAACTCTTTTTGTCCTCAAAAGCCACTGTCGTGTCGTAGAAAGAGAGGGGTGAGCAAGGGAGCAATCTAGAATCTCATGGCTATATTTTGTCCCCATTTCTACCTTAATAAGACTCACAACTGACGGATCTAACTTCACAATTTCCACACTTGCTTGGATGTTCCCTGCACTTTTTTCATAGAGCAGCTGTAAAATAAAACCGAATTCGTAGCGTATTGTAAATGAAGAAAACTATTAATACTGTCTGCTTAGGTCAGAGTGCACTAAACAGGTTATAAATAAAGGCGGAAAGATAGGAGGTATATCTGCTTTATAGTCTTTCCACTGTGAGACAGTACAGTGCAGTACAGTACATGATGATGGAGCATCAGGGCGGATTTATTGGCGGTGCAGCAGGTTGACTGGAGCAGGCCTGTTGGGGAGGATGGGAGGGGAGCTGGTAATTTCATTAGCAGCAATTTCCTCCACAAGCCCATTACTTTGATGAAGTTCAGAGAAATGTTTATGGGCCTAAATGAAGGGCCTCAGTCTGTTTATCGAACATTCACTTTGTAACCTGTTTGGAAGGTTTTTTTTTTCCATGTCTGTGCAGTGGGAGGGTCTGACATACGCAGAACATGCGAGTCAATGTGGACAGTAAACAATGTTGTAAATATCAGCTCATGTCCAGGGGTTTATGAGTGTAATGAGACATGGATGGTTCAAACAAATCATTTAAATATTAGAATTTATGAAGATATTGTGTTTTTAAAATGACATAAAAACTGTGACTTAGTGGCAAAGATCAATAAATTCTGGATGTTAATAATTATAATATTTTTGCCTTTTTGAAACAGAGTTACAAAGTGCTTTCTAACTTAAAAATAGAGAGTGAGTACAAACAGAAGTTACAGCAGGACACCAATAAAAGTCCCAAAACGATCAACTAACGACAGTAGATTAAAGTGAAATGAAAAAGATTAAAGTCAGGCCCAAGAAAAACTATTTACACCTGTCAAAACTTAATTTAAACTCAACTAAACTCAGACTCTGTAACATGTCAATCAAGTTTATAAAACCCACTTAAAACTCGGCTCACCACTGATTAAAATGTGGTCTTTTTAAAGAGGATAAAGAACCTTCTGTGGGCAGAAGTTTCAGACAGTTCAGTCCCACTTGTCCCCCATTATTGAGTAGTTGACCAGGTTTGCAGACTCCTGCCTGAGGACCTCAGGGTACAACCAAGTTTGTCAGATGAGAGTCAATCTTAACAGTTATATTTCAAATGCACAAGTGAGGTTTAAAAGCTCAGCTCCAGTTGCAAAGTATCTCCAAACAAGTAAGCCAAGTTCTCAATCATCTGTGGGCCAAAGTTGGTGAAGCATCCACACATATTACTGACTTAAGAATCACAAAAACAGACAACAGAACAACTTTCTTTTATAAACAAAAGCCCTTACAAAAAATGGGTATAGTGGCATCACTCATGAATTTACACAGAGGTGTTTTGAATCCATCAAGATTCAACCGTCTGTGTGATCAAATCAGAAAAAAGCTAATCAGCTCCATACTGAGATGGTCTTTTGAACCCGACTGTATTTGTTTTATTTTACCGTAAAAACTGGCATTTTAACATGAAGTCTGGTAGGGATTCATTGATTTATTGGACTTTAATTTTGGCTTTAATTTTTAAGATATTGTAGTTGTCTTAAGCGATGCAATCCTTTAACCTACAAGGTGGAGACTCAGTTTTTGTTTGGGACCCTGAAGGGATGAAGTTTGGTCACTTAGAACCTTTATTACCTCTTTATGGGTCTCTTAATTGATGATTTAGTCTACAGAAGTAGCACCAAAAGTTGAACATGTGCAGCCCAACCTTTTCCATTGCGGTTTTAGATTTTTTTAATCTCCTCCTCTTCCTTTTCCAGCTCATTGGTTGTGTCATCTTTCACATGACACAACCAAAACAGTTTATTAGAGGCTGTTTTCTCCTTTTGTGCCCAAACTGTGTAGCAGAAACCACTTTAAGACAATTAAAGACAGTTAGATAGTATCAAACTCAAACTCTAGATATCCGTCTAAAACTAACACCCAGATAATCTTTACCTTAAGCCCTCGCATTATGACAAAAATTACATCACGTCAGCTTGTGTTTTCTCACGAGCGCTGTGTTTCATTCTGTAGTAAATCTCTCTGAGTGGAGACGCTGCGAGCGAGTATTAGCCGTGTGATATAGTGAGCTCGCCCCGTGGCTGGGAGCCATGGCGAGGCCGAGGCTGGAGGGCTTATTCTTTAATCAGAGCCAGTGGTGCATTGAGTGAACAGGCTTTGACTGCTCTCAGATAACTGAGATAGTGTTTCTTAATGCTGCCTTCGGGCCCTTTAACACCCACTCTCCCATTCTTGCCTGGCTTTCAGCTGAAGTGCCTAGCTGCCATTCTGTCTACTTACGGCAAGACGGCTATCTGGCTCACACTAACAGGACTGAAGGTACAAAACGACGACGACGATCCGGCTGAATGTTGTGATGATGCACGCTTTGATTTGAGCGATATCACTTTAAAAAGCTCCTTCTTTACGTTGTTTTCCAGGTTGTATGTTCGACAAAGTGGTGAGGCATTTCTACGATGACACCTGCGTCGTGCCTGAGAAGGTTGAAGGTGAGTCCTCCTCGAGCGGCGCCGACTACTTTCTCAGACTACACAGGAAAGTACTCTGTGTGCAGTCATGTTGAAGCCTCATGCAGTAAGTGTCCTTCATGTGGGCTGTAGGTGACATCAAGCAGGAGGCAGGGCTGTACCGCGAGGGTCCGTCGTACCAGCGCAGAGGCTCGCTGCAGCTCTGGCAGTTCCTGGTGGCTCTGCTGGACGACCCGTCAAACTCGCACTTCATCGCCTGGACCGGACGTGGCATGGAGTTCAAACTCATAGAGCCAGAGGAGGTGAGAGGGAACATTTAATGCACATTATCTGATATTATTTACATTTTATATCTTCAGTTATTGCAGTTTTAATAAAAAAGTGAATATTTTAGAGCCTTTTTTTATGACTTCAGGGTACTTTAAACACAGAAAAGCAAAATATTACTCATTCGGAAGATCATCCTTTGTTATTATTTTCTCCACATGTTTACTTCTACACATCCAACAGTCTTGTGCTCTGCAAAATCTCACTTTTAAGCTCATGTTTTTCTCTTATTCTGACAAAAAAAGGCTTGTTAGGCTTAATTTTAGCCAAATGCATTTGACAAAAGCTGAAAAATATCACATTTTAAGACCTGAATTCTTTCCAAAGATTTTTAAAAAATATCTCCCAATGGAGGAAGGAAAATTTTCTGTTCAACACTTGAGAAAATGTCAAATTTCAAGAACTTTGCGAGTACATTTTGTCTTTTTCCACTGGTGGATTTATTTTGACTCATTTCGAGCAATTCCAGTCCTACTTTTAGCATGTTATATCTTGAAATAAGACATTTTTCTGGATTTCTTGGGTGAATGTGGATTAAATTAAGCCTAATCAATCTAAAATATCTCTTATGATTGGAGTTTTTGCTGTATAAGGTTGCAAAACGACATCTGAATCCTTAAATCAGACAGTTTTTCGCCTCATAATTAAAGAGAAATGCCAACTCTATTAGTTTAAGCTTCTGAAAGGTGAGTTATTTTATTTTATATAGCTGTATTCACATTTCCAAAATTTGTGAGCGAAGTGAGCAGCATGTGTGAACGCAACTGGAAACTGAAGCCCCTTAGTAAAAATTCAGTTTATATTCAGGTTGATCTGATGTGAGAATAAAACAGGATCACTTGGCAGCAGGTTGGTTTGAGCCTGAAGGAGCAGCACATAAGAAAGGTGAATAAAAACATCGGATGATTAAGAAGGAGAATCATGTAAGAAGGGAACACCAAGCATTGACTGAAATCCAAAAATTGTCATCATGGTGTTGGTCTCTGTTTCACAGTTTTGTAAAATCACGCTGTTGCTTTCACAGCCTGATTTTTAAATTCATGTCATCCTGAAACTCATCTCCCTGTCCACCACTCAGGGATAACTATTATAGATCAGTTCGTATTGCTGAGAAATTCTGAGACAGAGCTCCTGAAATTACCCAGAAACTTTCAGGCATCAGTTATAAAATGTAAGATCTCAAGATCTGAACCAATATGAAGAAGCTGACCTTGGCTGTGGGAGGTTGTGGTGGTCATTTATTTTCGTTTTCTGACTCTTTGAAGACTTAATATTAATATATGAAAATATGAAACTGTCAACAAATATATAAAAAACTAATAGATGTAGCTCTGCAGTGGGTTACAGTCATACTGGTGTAGAAATGTAGGAAACAAACAGTATAATCTTTTCAGGTAAACTCAGATCAAAGTCAAAGGTCATCTGAAGTGGTAGGAATAATGTTCTCTGCTTTTCATGTGGTCCACTCAGATCTGAATTTGCTCAAATCATTTTTTAATTTATCCCCCTCTCGACCACATCCATCCAGTCGACCCTCAAAGCCGACCTGCTAAATATTTCAGAAGACACATCCCTAAAATAAAAACCGTGTTGACGGTTGGCCCTTTTGAAATGGCAACAGAGGCCGGGTCTGTGCGCCCACATCACACACACACACACACACACACACACACACACACACACACACACACACACACACACACACACACAGCCAGGCTCAGTCACTGTTGCTCTCTGTCGGGGGATGGGAGAGGGTGCAGGCAGGGAGGGAGGGAGGAAGGAGGGTGAGAGATAGAGGGGGTACCTGGCAGCCGTCCACGCGGCCCAGCAGAGCGTAGAGTCTCCGGGCAGCTGCAGCTAACAGGGGGGCTCATTCATGCCATCAGGTGACCAACGTACTCGCTTTGGGACGCCGCGGACAAATGTTAGCTCGCTGCCTGACGGGGCGTGGCGTGGCCTAGCAGTCAGAGGGAAGCTTTTCCAAATGGTGTTTCTTTACTGCACCTGTACGAGTTAATTTACTCATATTATACTAGCCTGAGGTATGATACAGATTTACATGAACCTCCTGGTCAGTCCTGGCATATTTACATTCTTTCTAATGCAAATTTGTTCGTTTATACTCACTGTCTTTATTAATGAAGAAACATGGATGTGTTTATAGATACGGGGTTCCTACGCAAGTATGGAAATAAATTTGATCAATTTCCAGGTCAAAAAGTATGAAAAATAAAAAATGAATTATGGTATAAAAAATAAAAGTAAAGTAGGTATTTACAAAAATAATTCCAAAAATTAGGGCATGGAAAATTATGGAAGTTCCATCTGTGAAGGAACCCTGTAGATAAATAGAATTTAACCATTTTTAGATAAAAGTACAAACTTTATTGGGAAGTTCACATTGTCAAACAAGCGTACTCATCTCTGCTGCAGACAGTGCTGAGAGTATTTATGTTTATGTTTATGTTTCCAGACTATTACCACAGTTCTAAAATACTGTTTTTAAAATAGCAAAGTAGGTATTTTTGAAAATAATTATAAGTGTGAATCTCTGGGTTCTTAGAAATGAATGTAATATAATGCAAAACAATACAATACGATAATGCAACATGTTTCAGTGCAATACAAGGGGAATACAACTCAACTGCGATACAACTTAATCTGCAATATGCAGTAATGATGCATGATACTTAATGCGATACAATTTATATGTTACAGTGCAAAACAGTGTTCAATACGTTCCATATAAAACATATTTATTAAGCCACATATCTAAGACACACATGTCAGTAAGACTTTATTCATTAGATATAAACCTGCATTAGTCTGTTATTTCACTTACATGTTGGTTTTATTGAACAAAGAGATGAACAAAAGGAGAGAGAGGAGACGTGACAAACCGAGTAAAAGCCACAGAGGAGAGTCTGAGGAGAGCACGGTGGGGCTGTGGGTTGTCACTGCGAGGCCGGGTGGTGGGTGGTCTGGTAGACAGGTGCTGTAACATCTGCTGCCTCCTCCGCTGGGTGTGTGACAAGCTCCTAATGAACACATCCCTGGTCAGGTCTGCCCGGGCTGGACGCACTCTAATTACTGTTATTAGCAGAGTATGGATTAATAAGTTTGTTTAACATTTCAGCGTCATCGTCGTCAGGAAATCGGGTCGACCGTGCATGTTTGTGTTTGATACGTCTATGTTTTGGCATCCTGCTCTTTGTTTGTGTTTACTGGCTGACTCTGTGTCGTGTATCTGTGTTTTCAAAGGTGGCGCGTCGGTGGGGGATTCAGAAGAATAGACCGGCGATGAACTACGACAAGCTCAGCCGGTCTTTGCGCTACTACTATGAGAAGGGAATCATGCAAAAGGTAAAAACACACCTGACTTAAACAAAACGGTGGGTCAGTTAGAGAAGCGATTACTGCAGCATTACAGTGTGAGAGTCAAGGTCAAAATATTAAACAAAGAATGAGGTGGTGCAGATTTGAACACAAACTCAATACCAAGTTTCTGATCTGCTAAACGAACGAATTTAAAGCTCTTGTGAGTAACTTTTGATTGTGTCAACTCTGCTGCCCCCTGTGGACAAAGCTTGCCATGTCCTCTACATGCCAAAGTAGTTTCTTCTGACTTCTTCAGATTTATCAATTGTTGTTCATATTTTCACTGGTTAGCTGACACGTACCCGACCACGCCGGCGATAAAAACTGCAATTAAAAAAAATGCGTCAATCTTGTCGCTGATGGTCTTGTTTGCTTTTGTGCATCATGAAGATGCACCGATATGAATTTTAGTCTATTTCATCCACGGTGTCATCGGGATTAAATGCTGTCTAAACCTTCCTTTCCAGTACAGGTTAATCTGTGCTAAATTTATCCGGCATCCAGAAAAATAGAACCCTTGCGATCAGCTGCGGAGTCCGACGATCTGCAGTGGGGCTCAAAGAAGCCGCTGGAAATTGACACATTAACTTGAACGGTTACGATCAGCTACGATTGGCGGATACGACCCTTTCGTAGCCGTTCTGGATGCGGTGGAAATTGGGGGTTAAAGAAAGAAAATATTTAAACTCTAAGTACAACTTTAATTCAGTAACTTTTTATCGACTTAAACCCGACAAAAAGTTTTAAAAGCGGAGCCGTTTGATTGACACCTACCCCCTCACTCCAGTTACAGGCTTTAAAAATGACAATATCATGTCATTAGTCTTGTCTCCGCTGGTGTAACTTGCTTTTTTAAATCATTTAAAGGCATCAACTTAAAAGTCGGTCAATTTTAACACTGTCAAAAAACTCCTTATAGGTGCTTTAATCTGAAAAGTTAATGTCATGTCTGAATAAAGAGGAACTCCACCTACAAGATTCCTATGCCATATATCTCATTATATACTGAACTCACCTTAATCATGTCGATGTCTTACACAGAGTATACTCAGGTTTACTTAACTTAAAGTTTAATTTGTAAATTAAAACAAATCATTTATAATTATAAAAACACGCAAAGTTTCCCAGGTTTAAAAGTTTTTGTTTTTTTTTACTTCCTTCCGTCCACCCCGTCCACCCCGTCCCCGCGCAGGTGGCCGGCGAGAGATACGTCTACAAGTTCGTGTGCGACCCCGAGGCCTTGTTCTCCATGGCGTTCCCCGACAATCAGCGGCCGGTGCTGAAGACGGACATGGAGCGGCAGATCAACGAGGAGGACACGGTGCCGCTGTCGCACTTTGACGAAAACATGGCCTACGTACAGGAGGGCCCGTACTGCCAGCCGCACCCTTACAGCGAGGGTTATGTTTATTAACGTCAGCCTCTCACACACACTTACACACACATACACACACGTACACACACACTACAGAGACACACACCTCTACTCTCCCCTCCCCCTCCTCTGCCTCCTCTGTCCATACACCTGAGACTGTCATGTCCTCTAATTCACAGTCGCTCCGGGAATAAGACTGAACACACACACAGACACACACACACACACACACACACACACACACACTCTGCGGAGCCTCCCCCCCTCCTCTCTCTCTCTCTCTCTCTCTCTCTCTTTCTCACATGTACACACTCCTTTCTTTTTCTTTTGCTCTTGTCTTTCTGACGTTGACGCCGCACAGCAGGATGGAGAGTGCACTTTATGGACCGGCTCGGTGTTAACCCACCAGGGTTAGCTAGCTATCTACGTGGTTGGCTTTTTAAAGCTGTTTGTGTTTGTACATTAATGTGGGAATCTTATTGTTTATTTGTTTTTTTTTATTCTTATGATTTCGAGCATGCGGCGCCCTGCTGAGACAGGACTCAACTACCTGGACTAAAGACTCAGCCCCATCTGCTGGGAGGATGAACCTTTTTGTCCCTTTTTTCGCCATCCTGTACTTTGATGCTCATTTAAGCGCAAAACTGGCGACGTATTGTACGGATACTTTTACGGTGAAGTGACATGATTATAGACTTTCAAATGTGATGATAAAAAGAGACACTAAGCCGCCTCACCACCAGTCTGAGCACAGCACCTCTTTGTCGGTCAAAGCCCCTCGTCGTGTCCGGCTGTTACGGCTTCACGGGACGGATCCTGGAAACCCGGCGAGCGGTCACGATGAACTCCTTCAGTATCACATGTGAACGGCCTCCTTTTTAGGATAATCAATAAAGCTCCGGGCCTCTCTGTAAAATAACTCATCATTCACTGTAAACAGGTTGTTTTCTCAAACACACGGCAGCAGCACTCCTTTGTTTTCTCCATCTGTTTTCAGGTAAAAGTGTATGTACAGCTAAGGTGAACACAGTAACACTCGACGATTACAACCCCAAACACGAAAACAAAAAGTGATTTAATCGACTTAAAGAACAATTAAGAGATTTTTTTCCCTGATTTTCTTTGTTCCAGGTGAACATGAACGTGTATATTTATGCTTTGCCATCATCGGGATGTTTTTTCGGTTTAAAAGAAAATAAAAAAAAAAGAAAATGAGAAAAAGTTATAACAAATATTTAGAGTTTTATAATGTGATGAGAAGCATTCATGTTAAATAAAAAGTGTTCCATTGTATAATCAGGTTAATGCACATTTTGTTGCTGCTTCGAATGGTTTGTGTATTTCTAGACTTTAAAAAAAAAAAAAGAAAGAAGTGCAGCAGATATGACGACCTGCTGTTCTGGATTTTTGTTGTTTAATTCCCTTTTTTTTTATGTTTTTGTTTCGTTTGTTTCCCCTTCAGCGTTAAAAAGATGAAATCTGTCTCTGGAGGTTCACATGTGTCGGGGCTGGGATTGGCAATAGTGAAAAATTCTGTAATAAAATAGTTCTGAAAACAGTTATCGCCACTTTTCAGATGTTATTGAGTGGTCGCATTAAAGTTTTTACTTCATGACAGAGTTTTTTTCATTAGTGCCGCATCAAAAAAAATGCAATTTTGTGGTGATTTCCACACCCAAACTCCAACATTTATCACTTTTTCTTGGCAGGAGCGACTTTAAGGTCGTAAATTTAACATACTGAAAGGAGAGAAAAAAACGCTCTGAGCAACAAATAAGACTAATAGATTACGGTCTGTGTCAATTTCCAGGTTGGAGAGAAAACTCCCAACCACAAAGCATTTAACCAAAGTGACACCTGAGGAAAAATCAATGGCTAATTTAAGACAGCACTTTTTCATGTAGGTGAATTGTCTCTGTCCTTTTGTTACCAGACTGGCAGTAATGAAAAAAAAAACACACACACTCCCTTAAAGTTATTATTTCCTTCTGTAAAGTGTCACTATTGCTAAAAATCAATGACTAATTTAAGGAAGCATTGTTTAATTGGTTCCACTGATGGGAAAAATGAAAACGGATGTGTAAGTAATGAAAAAACACCACTTGCCTTAATTTGTCAGCGCAGGTTACAAGCCAACCCTATTACAGTCCCCGTTCGCAGCTTATTTTATTGATTGTCTGCAGAGGAGGGAATTGCCCTTAACTTTAAACACCTGATTGCTTCCCTGAGGATATTTAACAACATCTAATCCGACATGTGCGAACCTGAAAACTGCACTGAGGCTTTTAATTTGATGAACGACGCTTGTAATTTGGGGTTTCCCGCTAAAAACCGCAAAAAAAACTATATTAATATCCTGCATGTGAGACAGTGCAGAGTTTAGCTTTTAGAGTGCACTGAGGAAAACCGCAGAGACTTCATCGGTTTAACTAGAACACGGTTCATATTTTAAAGGTTGCTCACTGTTTGTTAAATTAAGAGATATTTTTATGTCGGTGTGGGCAGCTCTGAAACATCTACAGCCTTTTTTTAACAGATTTACAACCTCATTTACTGCGCTCAAGTGCACTTCTGAGTCATTTCAATGATGTTGGATAAATTTAGGAGTAGATATAGTTCAGGTTGTTTTTAAAAACGGAGTCCTCTCCGGCAAATTCAAGTTTCTGTATCAGATTTATTCTGTGTATTTGGGGATGGGTATCCTCAAAACTACGATGGAGTATAGTGGTCACATAAGAAAATGAAAAACCACAAAGATGTTATGTTATGTTATGAGAATGAAGTTATATTATTAAGAAAATAGAATCTAAGTAAAGTCATGAAGTCATATAACAAGAGAAAAAATGTATATCATGAGAAATGAGAAAGAAATGAGAAAGTAAATATAAGAATGGGAATAAAGTTGTGGTAAAGTGACGGTATTACGAGATTACAATCATAATGTTATGATGATAAAGTTGTATGAGAATTAAATCAAAGTTAAAATAATGGGAGAAAAGTCAATATGAGAATTAAATGATAATTTTACCTGAATAAAGACTTAGTGTCAGTATAATAACGTTAAAGTTAAAGTGGAGTCAATATTACAAGAATGACGTCATGACATACAAAAATAAAGAGAGTATAAAGTCGTTATGATAAAAGAATAAAGTAATTATATCACAGTCATAAAATCAGAGTATTACCAGGATGAAGCCACAATAATATGAGACTCAAGTGATAATGTTAGAGTCGTAATGTTGGGATGATAAAGATGTAGTTCTGCCAGTACAACAAGAATAAAAGTCATGATCTTAAAGTGATAAAGAGGAAGTGAAGTCAAAATGAGAATTAGGTATTAAAGTCTCAATGTTATGAGAATGATGTCATATTATGAGAAATATATCAAAATCTTAAACTGATCAAAATACAGTATCAAAATACAGTCAAAATAAAGTTGTACCCGTCCTTACAACAGCAGGAAGATCTCAGCTAATCACAGACTAAAACAACTTTTATTTCTAACATCAAAATGACCTCATCATCATAACATCATGACTTTAAACTCATAAAATCACGACTTTATTCTCATATTATAAAATTTTTAATCTCGAAACACATTCTCAAAATCTTTATTCATTTACTTAGTACTGGGTCGTATTGAAACAGGTATCACACTTGCGTAAAATTACAGTGAGTGTAATTTAACTGAATAAAAACTCTCATAATCTGAGTAATTTAAATGCTCATTAACTCCTACACTGATACTGAGGATCTGACAGCGGCTTCACTTTCCTCAGTTTTAACTCAAATATTGAGGAGACCTTCATAAAGGACTTCCCTTCCTCTAAAGTCCTCGTCCAGACCAGTTCAGTCCTCTGAGTCTGACTGCGGTTTGACTTTTGCAGTTCAAATGAACTTCACGGTTACAGCCCGAACACAAATGGCTGCGGTTTTATTCAAACTCCCATCATTGAAATCTCATGCAAACGTCTCAGTGCTTTAAATATGTGGTGAGCTCCTCATGACGGCGGTGAACTCCAGACCTGTTTGTATCTGAGAGCTCCAGTGTGAAGTTATCAACAGACTTTAATGTTTCTCTAAACTGTAAACTTGTCTGAGATCTTTCTATGAAACCTGTGAAACATCTTTATTTTCAGACTGGCTGAATTCATGTGCAAAGTTGGTCGTCAAAAATATTCTTAGTTCATTGTTTATTCAAAGAATTGTTGATCCAGTTCAGATTTATGAGATGGGCAATCCACACTGGCTTTCAATTAGAGGAACAGAGAGAGAGAGAGAAATCCTGAGGCAGTCGTCTTTTACAAGGTGAAAGTTGAGTCCTAGCTAGGGTGACCAGACGTCCTCTTTTACCCGGACATGTCCTCTTTTTTGGGGGCTGTCCGGCCTTATCCAGGGGAGTTTATAAAATCCTTCAAATGTCCGGGGATTTGTATAGAAGTTTTGAGTTTGCGTGGACTAACTGAATTAAAAATGTGTAAAAAACACTCAACCCGACCCAAAAAACCCTCAGAATTTACAACGCGCAACTCCGCAACTCCACCCTGCGTAGAGGTGTCTTTTTTGGGGGGATTTAGAATATGGTCACTCTCGTCCTTGTGCCTCTTTTCCCATTAACAGACCCTCCAGTTCCAAGTGGATTTGAGACGATTACATACTCTCAATCAGGGGCGTGTCCACACCTTTTCTGACAGGGGGGGCCCAACTGAGGCACTGACTTATACAGGCGTGGCATTAAATATGTAAATATGTAAACATGTACGAGTCCTTTTGGCTTGAAGGTATTAAAACTTAACGAACACCGAACATTTTCAAAATATAAAACTTTACTTAAATCTTAATGAACTTACATGAAGAAATAGAAGCAAAAATGAATTGTACAATCATCACTTTTCCCTGATGGTCTTGTGTACTCTCATTTAAGATTTCAGCCTTGAAATCCACTCCCAGGAGCTTCAGCAGAAGTCTGATTTCACCCTGACTGGATGGAGCGGTAACCACTAGATTAGAAATTGTGTGTGCTTTCGCCGCCTCTGTTTGTCTTACACCTTTTTGAAGACGTTGTGTCACTGAGGCTGAAAATCAGCGTGTAAATCCTCTTATCTGGCCCCCGTTCAGAGGAGCAGGGCCTCAGCTATCAACACATTCACCATTTATGCACATATGCTTTACATCCTGTGCCACGGGCCAGATCCTCCCCTCCTCCTCTGCAGCACCGCCGGCTAATATTCAGAGTATCTGAGCTGTGATTCTGCTCCTCCCCCACCGTAACAAACAGATGGCCGCTCGATCTTGAGTCATCACAAACCCATTACCAGAGTGACTTGTCCTCAGCCCGGCCGCCGCCATTCTCGCCCGATGGCTCTGGTAGTGTTTGCTCGGGCTCTTAAGTCTTCGCCGCGCTCGGTGGCGCGCCGTGTTTGCTCAGGTTAAATGGCTCGTGTCGCCTGTGGAGTCCCCCTGATTGGCTGTGACACGGAGGTGTTTGACGAGCGAAATGACACCCAGCAGCCCCCTCCTGTTTGGCTGTTTGAAACAAGTTGGCTTTTAATACAGTGTGTTTACACACCAAAAAGCACTAAGTGTGTTTCTATCTGTGTTGCCAGGGTCTATCAGGGGCCGGACCAGTGAGCATAAATCATTCAGGGGTAATTCAGAGGAACAACAGAGGCTCAAAAAGGAAAAAACAGGGAAATTATAAAGCCTCTATAATGGAAGAACCTATTACAGCTGCTGGTCCAGTTTAAAACGGACTTATAAATGCTTTTATTATCCCCGAGGGACTATTTTCACCGGCCAACCAGCACTAAATTCCCCCCAAAAAGCACGTAGTGAACTCTATTTTCTGTACCCCGCAACCCAATTCTGTGTTGCAATCGAAAACTTCCAAAAACTACCCCAATTTTCTGCAGAAGTCATGTTTCCCAAATTGTTTTCTCTTTGTTTTTCATTTCTTTCTTCAGGAGAACACACTTTACCTCCACACACGAACAGAAGCCCGGGTTGTAAAAAGGTTTGTCACTCCAGCGTTCGGAGCAAAGGTCCCGCAGGAGCTGCCGACTGTTCAAACAAGCGTCCTCAAAGTCTCTCTTTAACTTTTATTGTGCCGCTTTTCACCAACGCCAACGGCTCCTCGGCTTTTTACGATTTTACTCTCCTGCTGATCATCTTTCTGCACATAAAACACAACCCAACACCCCCAAAAGACAAACACAAAAGCCTGTGACAGTAATAAATAGCCGGTGTGATGCAGGTTTAGAAAGCTGTGAAATTGGATATTGAGATGCTCTCTGGAGCTGCGGGTCGGGAGTAGTTTCAGACTAGACTGTGGGAATCGGCTAATCCGATCATCGGGAATGTAAGACGGGCTAATTGCTAACGGGGATCTCGTACCCTCAGGGGGGAGTAGAGGCTGGGAATTGATGACGGGCTCCTTTCTGATGGAGATTTATCAGATTTGTTGAATTTCACAGACACTTTTATGTCTTCGGCGTCTTAATATGTCGCTACATTGGATATGCGATGGCGTTTTATAGTCATACCAATGTTGGAAGGAACTGCCGATGCGTATTTTTGGACTCCTGAAAACAGGAGGCGTGGTCGTGGCCAGGTAGAAATCAGCTGACAGACAACATCATGTGACTCTTCTGTGAAAAACTGCAGGAAGTTTAAGGAAAGAAGAGGAAACACTCTAAATTGTTCATTCATCAAAACCTAAAAATAAGTGTCCCTATTTAAAGAAAACCTCTCTGCACACAAACTCAACATTTTCCTACATGTTCACATATACGACCGACGGTTTCACCATATAAGGGAAGAAGCCGCACAAGATGTTCTCATTTTTATAACTTTATGCTTCATTTTGTTTGTGCACACAGCTCTGATCAGAGCGTGATGAAACCTGATGAAAGCTGTTTGCTTTAATGTAGAGTCTTAATAAATAGTGAAAAATGAGAACACAGTGTGCGGCGACTTCGCTTTAATGAAAAACTCAATATCGGCGACACACGGCGTTCGCCGCTGCCGCTGAGATACAGGCCTCCTATCTGTACAAACAGACGGAGAAAAACAACCTGTTGCATCTGCAGGTCGGTTCAGTCATTTGAATTTTTCATTTATACTTTGACTTTAATTCAGCTTCACAGGTAGTTTTTTTCTGCATTGTTTGAGTTCATTTCACAAACATTTAGGCGCTTTGCAGTCAACGATTTCAACAGTGATGGAAGGAGAAACCTTTTACACCTTTTTGTAAGATAAGAAAGCATGTGTTTGAGGGTTACCGCATAGATCTGGTCTCTACGGCACATTTATCACGATGTTGGTGCAGAAATCTACTCTTATTTGGCGTTTGGCAGGTGTTAATTCAGGAACCTCGAGAAATTCCTCAACTTTGGTCGTTTTTCGTAAATTTCGTAAAAGAAGACAGAATGTTTTTGGACATGACAGCCTACATAGACAGCTGAAGGTGTCAACACCACCAACCTGTTGACACCTTCACCTTCATCTTTGTGCAGATTTCAACACATCGAGTGAGTCTGTTTGGTTTGCTAGCCTTGGAAACATAACGTTACTTATTTCGCCACATTTATCATGACATTGACACGTCTACATTCTCGTCATTTGTGTCTGAGAAGTTAAAGAGACCAGATTCAGATCTTTTTCTTTCTTTATTTCAGGTGTTAATTCAGACTCTGCTCACACCCCTCAAAAAACTCCTCAACTTTGGTCGTTGTTCGTAAATTTCGTAGAAGACAGGATGTTAGTGAACATTCTAGTCTACAAAGCCCACTGAAGGTGTCAACACCATCAACCTGTTTAACCTTCATTTTTGTGCAGATTTCAACACATCAAGTGAGTCTGTTTGGTTTGCTAGCCTTGGAAACTTAACTTTACTTATTTCGCCACATTTATCATGGCGTTGGCGCATCTATGTTTTGGTCTTTTGTGTCTGAGAAGCGATAGAAACAAGATTCAGATCTTTTTCTTTCTTTTTTTCATGAATATCCAAAAACGTTGTCATGGATTCTTTTGGTCGCAGTAACAGAAAAGTGAAAACATGATGTTGTGGCAGCCCGAGTTTGTCATTTTGCTTTTTTTGCACTTTGTTGTCAGGGCAACCATGAATAAAGACTTAGGTGTTGAATTTAGCGTCAGGAGTTTCAAAATTTTCTTGAATTGCTGTCTGGTCATAGTTTAAGTATCACGTGACATGATGCTCTGTGTCTGGTTTTGGAGGCTAGCAGATCAAACAATCTGACAATATTCACGACTTCTTCCATTTTTTCGTGGGTATTTTCAAAAGGTTAAATAAAACATTTTTAAGTCAGATCTAAAATATCCAACTTCGACCCAAATCTGTGATGCCCTCCCCCATCACTCGCTCTCCAGCCTCCTGAAAACCGTCTCCTCACCTTCCACAATGTCGTTTGATCTTTGCGACGTTGTTAACGCCGCAGATCAGCCTCACGACAGACCTTGTAGCCACAGCCTCCCAGAGAGGTGGCCAACCATCTGTCACCGGGGCTCAGAGACCTTGGGCGGCAAAGGGCCCAACAAATCCCTCCTCCCCCCCTCTTCCCAAACCCTTACCCCCTCCCAGGACCCATTAGCTCTCCCTAATGCAGCCACCGTAGCTCCGAGAGGCTCCCCAACAGGCACAAAATGGACTGCTACTTATCCTCCTTAATTCCCAAATGAGTTCTCTTTAGCGTATACATAATTCATTTCTCCACGTTGTACTTACCAGAGCCTTTCACCCGTTTAGCAAATACAAATCTCAGGTTTTTAGTTTGCTCGCTGACACTTTCGGGAGTGTAAATCTGATTGCTGTAAACTTACGCAGAGATTAATCTTCTGTGTGGAGGGAGTTAAAAAAAAAGAGACAAGTGTGGATTTCAGAGTCATGCAATGTGATTAAAATAGCCTGGAAGGAGCCTGGAAAAGTATACTAATGTAGTCAGATGAAGATAGATATCACAGGGGGTAAAATTAGACCACCTCACATTCATAATACCTAATGCCCTTTAAATAGGCTTAAGAGGAGGACTCGAAATAGGCTGGGATAATTAATTATTTTCAGTAGATTTTCCCTCTTTTCTCGCTTTCTTTTCCACAGGCATGTTAATTCTTTCTCTGCAAATATGTGGCAGCAATGTCAAATCTACTAAATAATGCACTTGTTACGATACACCTTAATTTCCTGGAGATTCACAGGGAGTTCGCGGTTATTCCTGAATGATAATTTAGTGATATTTTCTGAAAATGAGTGCGGTTTTTGAACCTTGTGTAGAAATGAAATGATGACTTAAAAGTAAATACAGTTTTGTGTTGTAAAATAAAACTGAAACAAGGAAGAAAAGCACGTCCAGTCAGTGTCAACATGGTCTGCAGTTATTCCAGCGATCCTTGTGTAAATATTCGCCTCTTCAGGACTTCTACTTTGCTTTCTTTAGAGTGAAACTATAATTCTCAAACACATGACTGGTCACAAGTGTCAAACTCCGTTTAGTATCATCTGCTGGTCTGTGGTGGGACCATAGACTGTATATACGATGGACAGCTTGGTTCCGCCTCCCGCCTGTATACGGATTTGAAGCCAAAAAGCGATTTTTCTTCATTTCCTAAAACCAACATTGCGCAGTAGCGTTGTACGCATTCGGCAGGAGAGTCGCTGAGAGTCGCTGTGATGACGCTTGGCTCAAACAGCGTATCCCCCGGGTGAGCTATGCAATCCCTGAACGCCCATAGGCTGTATCAAGTGTCAGTCATAGAAAACATGAACCCCATAATAACTTTTAAAAATGGAGCTGCACAGAAAAAAAGAGGACTTGAGCACAAACAAGTTTGACAGTAACTACATGTCAACATCACAACCAGGGCGGAGAAAAATGTATATTCTGTGTACTACGTTTCTAAAGTTTGTCCACAGCTCCATAGGTATTGCTGGAGGAGGCGGGATTTATGACCTATACTGCAGCCGGCCAACAGAGGGTGCTGTTCTCGGAGTGGCTTCACCCAGCAAGGATGCAGACTCTGTCCATTCTATATACAGTCTATGGGTGGAACCAGTGTTGCCAACTCCTCAGTAAGTAAAGTCGTAGAAGTCGCTAGATGACTTAATCGTCTAATTTGCATATTTTTTCAGTCAACCCCAGCCCAACTCCAAATCTAGCGACTCAAAAAAGTCGTTAGATTTGTCGCTTGGTGCATTTTTGAAGATAAGTCATTCGGAGGAAGGTCTGAAAAGTCGTTGCTGTGCTTGCCTGGTTGGCAACACTGGGTGGAACATGTCCTGATATAGTGGTGCTTTGCAGGCTTTTGTGATGCAGTTACTCGTTTGTTTTTTATTGAGTAGCTGCGCCTACATGTTTAGCTTAAACTTAAGGAGTTTCGGGGATATTTTTGCCGCTTAAACCAAGAATCTGGGAGGTTTTTTTTGTCAAATGTGCCACTCAGCAGTGGCGATATGGTAGGTGATAGGAAAAAGAATAAATGATTAATATATTTTAGAGCAAAGTTTGATCGTTTTAGAGCTATTCAAAAGTTGATACACACAAAGACTGGCAAGTACGTCTGGAGGAAGTAAGAAGAATTGATTTGTACCAGGACACGAAGACTATCAATTGTTTTTAAGAGACAGTTTAGTTGATTTAAGACAACAGAAAGCATATTTTGCTTGGAAAATATGATTCGTTTGCTTGTATGTACAATCCACTTGGCTAAGGCTCTGGAGAGATTGATTTTGAGATCTTTTTTTTCATTATAAATTGACACGATCAAATTGCTGAAGTCCAAAGATAAATGTGCAAGAAGTTAAACAAAAGACAACAAAATAAGGGCGAGTCAAATTTGCAGGTTTGAACAAAAGGTAAGAGTGGATTTTTGGCAGCATAATGCAAAAGTTTAACAACAATATCCATAGACAGTGAAGTCAGTGTAAATCTGTTTCCCAGCATGACACGGTATGAGGTAATTCTAAAATGATTCCATAAACACGCCACGTTATTGTCCTAAATTAGCTCACATGACAGTAAAAACATACAAGCGAAAATAAGCAAACAATTATCAACAAACAGAAGGAGTTTAAAAAAGACAGAAAAACAAACTCCGCCGTGGAAAACAGTCTTTTTTAGACTTATAACATGAGTCATAAATAGGGGTGACAAAGATATCTCTGGCTATCACAAAACCTGCAAAACACACAGAACAAGAACGCCTTTCTCCTCGTACGCAGCGGAGAGACAAAAGGCGTAGTGTGATAGCACAAATGGCACGCATCCAGCTCCGTCTCCCCACAAGCCGCACCGTGAAGAGCAGAGTCAATACATAACACTGAGGGGCCTCAAACACACTGTAACACACACACACACACACACACACACAAGAGGGTGCAGGAGTCAGGGCCGAGGCAGCGAGCTGACCAGTACCAAGCCGCTCATGTGAGGAGAGATTCTGCTCTGGACCCCTGTCGGCTTGTTTTGGCAACAGAGGGGCCGCGGAGCGAGTGCTGAGCCAGGACAATATGTTTTTTCAAATGCCCCTCGGCCAATATTTATTTAGCTACAAGCTGGCACGTCTGAGGAGCTCGCTGCAGCCAAGACGGGCGCACAACCGTGATTTTCAAGATGTTACAAACATCAGGCTTCAATCTGAGTCTGACCTTGCTAATGCCCATAAATTACAAATGAGTTCTGTGTGAAAATAAATGCTGCAGTGCCACGTTTGATGATGCATTATGAGCCGGCTGTGAGGGCGAAAAAAACAAATTGACAATTTAAAGATTCACAGGAAAATAAAATTGAATAAAGCAAATAAGAAACCAGTTAGTGTCCCACGTTCAGGGCAGTAATTGTGCCCACTGGCTGGAGATTGCAATAAGGAGTGCGATGCAGGGTAACAGCGAGCTCTGCATACTGCAGACTCGAACGTGGGGTAGAGAGGAAGCACAAGAGGGCCCTTTATTTATTTCTTTTCTCTTTTAAAACAGATGGTTCCTTATGTGCCGAGCGGAAGTGTCTGTTAACTCAGTTGGCTCACTATTGGTGGCTGCCGGCCAATGACAACAACGGGATCGGGGAGTGTGAGCAACAGTGCAGTTTGCTTTCTTCAGATGCTCCGCGAACAGAAGGATGGCAGCCTGCAGATACTGTTGCACGGCCACCCGAGCCTGGCGGTGCCAGCGCCGGCACCCATCACACCTCAAGGGGTCTGCACCCAATCTGAGTGTCACTGCCGCATGTGTCGCGATTTCAGGACAACAAGAGCTCACACAGTTCAAGATGTTTCACTGAATTACTGTGCGTTGGTTTAAAATTTGTTTTCACTCATAATAAGTGTCCTTATTTTTGTTGTGTGTTATTTGGGCCCAACATTTTAAAGCTGCTATAAGGATTTTTTTAATGTTTCTGAAGTAGATGGAAAATCACACTGATGCCTCTTTATGATACTCAAAAGCAAGCAAGACTAAGGGTGATGAGAGTAAAATCTGTTTCTCTAATTTTAGTGCCTGAATCCAGGGCTGTTTCTTTAGCCAACACATCCTCAGGAGGATGTGTTGGCTAAAGGAACAGCCCTGGATTTTAACTATTTACTCCTATTGTAAATAAACTTTAAAAAAAAACTTAGTTCATGTGTGTTAAAAATGTTATTTCATTGTCTTTCATGTATCTAATATTTTTAAAGAGAGTTCATGTGATAACAGACTAACTAACTAATATGTTGTTTTTTATATGTGGAACTAAAGTTCCGGGTTTGGTTCCGCCACGACCCAATTTGGTGACGGACCAAAGAGCCAATAATTACCTCCATGATTTTGCGCGGGCACATGGACTGTTGCTAAAAGGCTAAAGCAGACAGTAAAGACTCTGTTAAAGGACTTAAAAGCTTTCAAGAATCCCTTTTGTGACAAAGCGGTTCATCGAGGTAAAGTTTGTTTATGTCCTTTAATGCCATGTTTAAAGGAAAACAAGTTTTGTGTCTATGTTTTGTGCCATGAGACACCTATTTTGATGTATGTTGATGAGTTTGCACTGTTTTTGTGCTAAAATGACAGTTCTCACCGCGTATGGCGCACATTGTACAACGTGTGTGTAAATGGAGAAACAATAACATGTTACCAGGTTGCTGTTCCAAAGAACTGACCTGTGTCCATTAACATGAAGAGAGCTACACATATAACTCACAATAAATGACACATTTATCTGTCTGAAATCAGCAGGTTGAGGTATTTTTTAACAAAAATCACAATTTAAGCAGGATAAGCAAAGAATGCTTTGTCCACAGGGGGTGCTTAACTTTGGCACAAATCAAAGTTTCCTGTAGGAGCTTTAACCTCAAACACACTGATACATTAAAGCACAAAAAAACTGCTGTCAGTGGACACAGGCCCTTAAAAAGGTATAAAAATAATAAAAAACAATATGTGGAATTAGACTAAGGACATTGAAAAGTTGATGACATTAAAAAACATTTTTGTTTGTTACAGTTAGTTTCCATACGTAGAAAATTTTAGTCGTGTCGTTTGTCTTTTGTCTGTCAGAAATCAGTAGGATGATGTTTTAAGGCCAAAATCTCAACTTAAGCAAGATAAGCAAGAAATGCTTGGTCTACAGGGGGCTTCAAAATTTGACACAAATTAAAAGTTTCCCAAAGGAACTTTAACCCCAAACACAATGATACATTAAAAGCACAAAAAAAAAAACCTGCTGTTAGTGGACATATACCATTAAAAATGTATACCAATACTAAAAGACAGTATGTGGAATAAGACAAAGGACATTAAAAAGATTAAATAGCTGATAACATTAAAAATTGTTTTTGTTAAATTTCATAATTGTGTGACATTACGATATGTTTCCATAAGTAGAAAATGTTTAATTGTGCCTTTTGTCATTTGGATGATAAGAAGTAGACAAGCAGGATGATATTTTAAGGCTAAAATCTCAACTTAAGCAAGATAAGCAAGGACTACTTTGTCCACAGGGGGCACCAGAATTTTACACAAACCAGAAGTTTCTTGTAAGAGCTTTAACCCAAGGCATCTCGATATATTAAAGCAAAAAAAAAAAAAACTGCTGTTAGTGGACACAGGCCCTTAAAAAAGTAGAAAGGTATTAAAAAGCAATATGTGGAATAAGACAGAAGACAAAAGATTTGAAAGTTGATAATAACATTGCAAAATATTGTTTTCAGTTCTTGTATTAAATTTCATGGTTGTATGATATTACAATGAGTTTCCATAAGTAGAAAATGTTTAATCTTAGCTTTCATATGTTATATTTTTATATATCTGTTAGCAGTGAAGTCAAGCGCTGGGTTTGACATACTCTCCATGTTGTTTTCGACGTTGTTTTTCTGCATGTTTAGTCCTCTCAAGTGCCTTTGTGTCAGAACATTGTCGTACAGAAAATATCCCACATTTCCTCATCTGGCTGTCTGAATAATTACATTACTGATGCACTCTATATGTCTTCACACCAAGAGGTCCGGGAGGCATAATCAGCCTATAGGAAATTTGTCTAATTAACCAGCTGATTAATCAGTATGCTAATTAAACAATATAGAAACTGTTCTACCAGTCTGGTTCAGGGCCTGGCGAGGGATGAGATCATATTAGAGCAGTGGGACAGTTGCTGTGCTAAAAAGATGCACTGACTGTCTGGTAACATGTTCCTCCACACCACCAGGAGAGGAGAAAAAAACACAAAAACACTTCTCTGTCTATCCATATGGCCGTGTTTGTGGTGCATCTGGCTCAGCATGCCGTATACAGTAACCAACCTACATTTCCAGTTGTATTCGCACCTCACGATGCCGCGCGCAAAGTGAAAATTAAAGGCAGAAGGCTCGTGTTACGGGAATAATTAAACGGAGGCCAAGTGAAGTCACACTCCTCGTGGCAAACACGCTCCAACCCTCAATTACTCACAGTGAACAAAGCAATTAAAAGGTCTGTCCTACGGAGTTACCTGGGACTGGATTGTGAGCTGTCTGCAGAGAAACCCCCAGGGGCCTCTGGGGCTCCGCTGGTCAGGTCCACAGGTAGATAATTACTATTGATCAGCCGGCATTAGAGCATGTCAAGAGACATTGTTATTTTTGCCAGAGCTGTATTTGAGGTGTCCACTTCAACAGCAAGGTTGTGTGGTAGCAGATAAAAAGTCAAAGCAGATAGATAGATAGATAGATAGATAGATAGATAGATATCAGACTGTAGGAGCCTGAATGCAGGTTATTTTGTATATTTGTTGTCACTAAATTAACCACACCTTCCTGTGTAATTATTTTGTGAGCTGAAGTTTTAGGTTGAAAGACTAGAGTCGGGTGTCCATATGTCCTCTTTTACCCGGACATGTCCTCTTTTTGGGGTCCGGTCTGTCCGGGGGGAGTTTATAAAATCCTTCAAATGTCCGGGGTTTTGTATGGAAGTTTTAAGTTTGTGTAGCGTGGACTTACTGAGTTAGAAGCGCGTAAAAAAAACACTTGAACCTGACCCAAAACCCCTCAAAATTTCACGTGTGACTCCACCCCGCATGGTAGTGTCCTCTTTTTGGGGATTCAGAATATGGTCACTCTACTGAAAGTTTTAGGTTAGTTAGCCACGCCCACATTTTTCTTCAGAAGTAAGGATAGAGAACAGTGGAGCTAAACAGCTTTCCGACCTCCACCAGTGGACTGGTTATAGTTTTAATTTTGTGCTAAATATGCACATAAGGAAATTTGTATAACCTTTTTGTGGTTACTTTTGGTTTTTTAAGTAAAACTTTGAACTTTTTGAAATAATTTTGGTGTTTTTTGCTTTGAATCAGGACAAAGGGAATCTCTGTGTGAGTGTATTTTACTCAGGCCTTAATCACATTTGCGATGTACCTTTAGGTTAGATTTGGCGTTTGTAGCATGGATACCTCAGCATTTGTTTTATAGCAGCATTATCACTATTTTTCATTATGTCAGATGTAGTTCGGTTAGTTACAGTCTTAACTTAAATAATTTAGCACATAAAGAGCGTCTGAAGTGTAGCAAACATGGCTTAGCAAAAAAAAAAAAACAGGTAGCTTCAGGCCTTGTTTATATGTACCCAGTTATTTTTTTTTGTGCACCCTTCGTTTAGACACAAACAGAGAATTCACCCCTGAAAACGATGCTTTTTAAAAACTCCGGCCAGAGTGGAGATTTTGGAAAACTCTGTATGTTTGCATGTAAATGGAGAAAAACTGAGGTAAACGCAGATTTGAGTTGATGGTAGATTGTGCGCCGGAAACTGGGTTAAATGCGACGTTGTTGATCATGGATGCATACAGAATAGCAGTCGCATTTATGCTGGTGCAATCCCTTTATTTTTGTTTGCATTTGCATCTTTTCCAAAAGAAGGAAGTGACGTTGTTGTTGTTGCTGCTACTATGCGGGATTCTGATTGGCTAACGTGGGCTTGAGCTTCTAGCTACACTGCCACCTACAGGTTTGGCATGCTCTTGACGCCATATTTACACGGGTTAGTGTGAACGAAAACTTTTCTGAAAACGTAGTGGTGTGCACACAGTTTTTTTTGTAAACAGAGAGGGTGAAATGTCTTTGTGTGATATGAAGGAGATTTTCTGAAGCCGTCAGGACTCCTGAACTGATTGAGTTTTTTGCCTGATCAATGTTGAATTCCTTCTCCCATCTATCAGTCCTGTCTCCCAAACGTTGTTCCATTTTGTGTTGACTAGATCCCCCATCTGCAGTTTTGTAGATTTCTCATTAATGATGTCAGAGTAACTTCTTTCAGTAATTACAGTTGGTTAACCTGCGCCGGTCGTCAAAGCCACATCTCTAACGAGGATGTGACACGGAAAAATAACTCACTGTGGAGCCAAGAACAAGTATTTAACACAGCTGTGTAATAATGTATATTTAAGTCAAGAAGTGGAAGTAGAAACTCTGAGGAATCACACTCACAGCTGCAGCTCTGCTAAAACTGTGAGAATCTTATCAGTAAACACAATTATTGAGCTTTGTGTTATAAAGGTGCTATTTTCAGTATTTATAGTTGACTGTGAAGAGAAGGAATAAAGATGCAATTCCAGTCGTCTTTGTAGCCTGGAAGGAGTTTCATCTTCAGGAAAACATCATGTCGTAAGTTGTGCTTGATTACATTTCACAGGTCCAGTCGTGTCAGTGCAAATTTAAAATAGTCACAGCCATCTGACCTATTATGAATTTCTATCACAGCAAACAATCCTGCATGAGATGCAATATCATATTTTTCTACGAACCCCAGATTTAAGTCAGAGATGCATTTTTTTTAAATATCTGCAGACAGCAATCAAAGCATCGTTAAGGTCAGGTTAAAAGCGTGTCAGTGAAATCTAACGCTCGCAATGTACATGAAAAATATTTGTATTTATTTGATTTTTATTTCCTTTACTCTGATTATTTCTAAGATAAGCAGAATTACAGCAGTTTAAGTTCACAGAAAGTGGTAATATGTTTGGTCCACAAATCAATCATCCATAAAGGAGCATCAGAATCGCTCCCAAAACTAGATGGTTAAATTGATAATGTTGGACACACAGATAGGATGAAATATAGTATCAGGTTATTCTCCTGTTGGTTTTTAAAGAGGCGTTTTGCAGCCCAACAATTGCGAACACCATCCTGGAAATGCTGACTCATCCTAAATTTGAATTAACCCACAAACAGACAAAGAGGTGAAAGTGTGATGAAACCTAAAATCAAAACAACTCTTAGTTTTGGAGAGTTTAATTATGAGTTGTAAACATCTTTAATTCTGCTGTAGCGAGAAAATGGCATTTTAACATGGGATCTAATGGGGCAACCAGGACTTTTGGTATGAGCCTCAGGTGGACAGTTGAGGAACTGCAGTTTAAGATAAATGACCGTCTAGCTTAAACCTTCAAATGTTTGGTAACCCACTGAGCATTTTTTGGTCTAAAAGAGGTTTAATAGACGTATAAATATAGCCTAGGCGACTGGTTTAGACCATGACGACCGCAGGTCTAAATCTGGGTTATATCTATACTACACTGTCTATTGCTCAACAGCTATCATAATTATTTTGGTTAAGTACTTGGAGATCAGTTATGTAACTCACAGTTGCTTTTTGAAATAAATAGTTATCAATAATGGGTTAAAGTGCAACGTCTAAATTCCGTCTAAACATATACAGAATCTAGACGGTTGAAATTAGGTCTAAAAAAAACTAGATGTCTAATAGCCGTCTATTGCTCAGTGGGATTTCACCTTGAAAATTTCCAACACATTAATAGATTGTCATAAAATTTGCTAAATGCTCTTCAGTCAATCTACAGCTTCGCTTTTACAGCTTTGGACTGAGCACCACTCAAGTTACACAACTACACACCCCATAATTACTAGGAATACCTAAAGGATACACTACTCTCTTTATTGGCACTGACCATTATTAGTACTGGACATAAATCTCAAGGTGCCAGATTGTCCCACAAAGCAATCTTTATTGGGATATGTGACCGGATGCGCACATATGAGATAACTCCACCAACATACAGTGAACTTCTCATGTGTGCCTCTTCTCCAGATAAGCTGCTGTCCATTGTACAGCCATTACTGTAAACACAATGCTCTCTTATCAACTCTGCAGCTTGTAACTTTCAATAGTCTCATTTACACTCTGGGATACACACATTTTTACACCCTCTGACTCCGGGACACAGTACGCCCGTCACCGCCGTGTCGACGCCCACGCTCGTCCGCACTCACACAGCATCCTCCCTGACGTTTGATTGATTTAGATTGACCATCCCCGTGTCATGTTTAGTCCCGAGTCGGACCGAGTCTCCGCCCGGTCCGTGTCCATGACGCTTACTTCGTTTGACTCCCTGACAGAGCCATTGTCTCACTCACACTCCCTCCTGAGTTATTTTTTTCCTCTGTCGCCCACTTCCTCTTTTTCTCCCCTTTCATTCTCTCTCTCCTCCTTTCGTGTTGCCTCACTTTTCTGTTTCCTCCCCCCTCTTCTCCTGCAGCTATTCTTAGCTGGGAGCTGTATGCAGTCACTGTCTCTACCTCACAAACAAAAAACCTTGAGGGAAGAGTGATTAGAATACAGGTTCATACCTCAAAGCGGTGATTTTCTTGTTATTTTTTGGAGTCTCTAGAAGTCCGTCCAAAAAGTGCCTGTTCTCCAGGTCCTTGGAGGCCTTTCAAAGTTTAATGTGCTGTAATTGAGACTCCAACAGAGGATCCAAAGAGTCTTCCAAGAAATGATCCTCCAGCATCAAACACACCGCCATTTTAGGCTTGACTTAACAAGATATTTACCTCAGATGTCGGCTTTTTTGTTCATAAAAAGCCCACCGTAAGGTTTCCTGTTTGTGTTTATCACAAAATTGTCAAAAAGGAAGATTTCTTGTTATTCAAAAGACTCCAATATGTGCGGAAAAGACTTCAGAAATTAAAAAGTTTGCATGCTAACCTTGTCTTTTTGTCTGTTTCCAAGGTCAAGAACAGACTTTGAAACTTCACTTTTAAGCCAAAAACATAAGTTGGTGTTTTTATAAAGTGACTGTTTGATGATTTTTCAACCATACCTCTCTCTTATTCTGTTTGAGGTATATAGCATGAAAGCGCTGTACTTTACAGTGTTTGGCAAGCTACTGAAAAATGTAAGGAGCTCGGCTACTTACTCAAAACCCTGAAGAAACACAGCTAGCTAAGCTGAAGCAACAACAAACATACTTTTCTTACTACAAACACAATAATGTGTAAAATGCGCAGGAGAACAGTTTCTGGAATTTTGAGTTTCCTTTGCCAGATTTGTTTCGAGTTTGGACTGCAGACTGTCAGTTTAGAACCCGGACTCTTCTACTACAGAGCCACATTGTTGTAATATGAGCAAGAAGGGGTCTTGTGGTCTTGCTAAAAAAGGTCTGGATGGAAGGGCATGTTGCTCCCAAATCTGTGTATGTTTTCAGAGTTAATTGGCCTTCCCAGATGTGTTAGCTAGTGATGCCACAGGCACTTATAAATCCCTGATGCTGATTTTTGAACTGTCCATTAAAAGCTGAATGGTTCTTCTCTTTTTGAGTAGAAGATGATATGTCTGTTATTTCCAGAAATTCCAAACTTTGACATTTCAAACAGTGTTTGACTTCACCTTCTCCAGCAGTACTGGAGCACATTTTTCAGGGCGATTTCCACTCCAGAGTCCTGTCTGTTTTCAATGCAGAGTTGCCTGAGGGCCTTAAAATTACAGCTCTGCTACTAAAATTATGGACTGCAGATGATAAAATTCCAAATTTCATTGTGATTTTATAGTGTTACATAGATCTTGAATTGTTGAGCTATTTGCTCACACAGTCTCTCACAGAAAAACCACATCCCCTCTAAACTTCTGAGAAACTTAGCCTCTCTGGACTGCCCTTTTTACTTCTCAGCTATGTTACTAATCTGTTGAAATTAACCCGGTTAGTTAGAAAGTGATCCTCATAGTGTTGTTGTATTTAGTGACATTTGGAATTTTGTTACTTTTTCAGTTTTGTTGTTGTTTTTGTCCCTGAACAAACAGTTTTATTTATTTTAATTTATCTTATTAATTCTATTAATTAATTCTTAGTTTTATTTTTATTTGTTTTATTTATTTATTTATTTATTGGGGGGGGGGGTTCTGCTAGAAACAAGTTTAAAACATTTTTTTGTCTCAAAACAAATAGTTTTATTCATTTAATTAAATTTCATTATTTTATTTTATTTTGTTTTATTTTATTATTTTTTTATTTTTTTTTTTTTTTGGGGGGGGGGTACTTCTGGGAACTAGTTTAATACAAGTACAAATTTCTTTTTTAGACCAGTTAAATTTTTCATTGTCAACATCTGCTTTTGTCTTTGCATCAATTTCAACTTTAAATAATTTGCAAATTGTCAATTCCTGCCATTTTTTCATACTTAACAGTGTTGAGTACTTTGATAGAGGACTTGTTTATCTGTTTTCACTTGACGAGACCTTCACCAGGCCTCAAAACTAAATATTTCTGAAAATCTTAATTTCCCCAAAAGCTTCAAAACTCACTGCTGATGGCAGAAAAGTATGAGAGAAAGCTCCAAAACAATCACTTACCGAACCTCAAGGTGGGAGAGTCACCTGTTTCTGATTACAGAATAAAACAGATTAGGATTATTGTGAGGAAAAGATAAGCGACCTCAAAACGAATGATCATCCATAGATACCAGAGCTAGAAAACATTTACCTCAGCTTCTTTCCTGTTCAGGATCAACACATCAATCAGGGAACAAAATTAATTTATTGGATATCAGATTGAGTCATAAACAGCTCTGCATCTGTTCTGCTGCTTCTGTGTGTGTGTGTGTCTTTGTGTGTTTGTGTGCGTGAGTGTGTGAGGACACGGCTAACCAAATCAAGGCTTCACAGGGAAGAAAAAAAACCCTCAACAATCCTGGTCTTAATTCTCATTGAAGCCCCAAATTGACATGTCTCCCTTGTGATCTTGACGTATTATTAAGATTTAATGTTGGAATTATGATCATTAAAACAACATGACTGATACAGGGGCCAGATGATGAGCTATTCATTTAACCTACTCTTCCTGTAATAATATTGAAACAGACAGTCTGCCAGTTATTAGATCATAATTAGCTGGTGCAATCTGTATGGAATCTGAGGAAATGACGCCAAGTTAGCGGCACGGTGCGGCACAGCTCGCTCTCCGATTAGCCTGAGAGAGACACGCAGACACCAGCGGCCTTTTTCAGACGGCTTAAAGACAAATAAGTGAACAGCAGAGGAGGCTGTGTTTGGATACAGAGAAATGAAGCAAAACAGATGGTGGGCGATGACTCTTACAGGCGGTGTTTAAGTGACAACAGTGTCACCAAAGTTTCAGGTCTATTTTACTTCACATGTCACACGTGTTGGCGTGTTTTCACCGCTTCCTCTCTTTTCCATTTTCTTCCTTTCAATACAATAAACAGATGAAGCTCTGTGCTTCTCATGCATGGCTGGCTAACACACCCTGGCTCTCTGGTTTCCATAAAGTGTGTGTGTGCACTCCTGTGTGTGTGTGTGTGTGTGTGTGTGTGTGTGTGTGTGTGCACCTACATCAACTGTGCCAGTTTAGCGATGAAAAATCTGCACCCTCAGCTGTTTCTGTCCTTTGCACAGAGGAGGGAGAGAAAGCGCAGCACACTGTAGGCATCCCTCCTCTCCTCGTTCCCCCCTTCAGGCATTTCTCCAGGTAGCGTTCGCCAAAGTCGTCCTATTAATAAGCAACATATTTGATTTTTCGGTACGAAACACGCCTTCTCAGGCCCACCCAAAAAGCCAGGAAATGAGAGACGCAGAGTCAGGGCAGAATAATTCAGAAGAGTTCGGAGAGTGGGGGAGACGTGTCACGGCACCCCGGGGTGCACAACACGCTGGAGGTGAGAGAACGGAGCTGAGACGCTCAAGACACACCAGGTAAGCTAGGAGCTGCAAACGCCAGCTTCTTCAATCAGATCATATTTTTTCTCGTCAGAACATGAAACCGAAAGAAGCTTGATCTTTAACAACTTAAGACTCAAGATTCAAGATTTTTAAAACAAATCTGATAAAGCCTGGCCTAAGATTGAACAATCACAACTCGTCAAACAACGGGCGATTTAAACCTCCTGTGAGGAACTTTGTTGACGTTGATTTTGGCGCCCCCTGTGGACATAGCGGTAACTGTTCTTCTATTTTTATCTCCATCAATAATTTCCCCTTCCTCTATGTTTACACAGAGTTGGACAATGTGAAGAAAGCCTGATTTGGTAAACACTAAAAAGAGGATACGACTACATGGGGACGGAGTTGGGCATAGTTAATTTTGAGAGTTTTTCGGGTCGGATCAAGTGTTTTTCACGTGCTTCTAACGCAGTAAGTCAACGCTGCACAAACTCAAAAAAGAGGACATGTCTGGGTAAAAGAGGACGTATGGTCACCCTACTTAATTCGTTTTAAAGTTACCTATTGGACAGAGAATAGAGCAGCTCAATTTGTAGCCCAATCAAATGTGGTGTGTCACAGGGCTCTATAGCAGGTCCTCTTTGATTCCATTTATGGAATAGCCTTGGAAATAGCCTTATATGTGCTCAAAACCGGACTATTATTACTAATAATGAACTAAAGCATGTCGTCTTTTTGAGGAAATATTTAATGAAAAGCTGAGCTGGAAAAGCTCACATGTTCAATAAATTAGTTCAAAATGTTAGGATTTTATTTAGAGTTTGACATCTCATCACAGAAAAATCTCGTTGACCTCTATTAGTGCATGATCTATCCCTTCACTCCTACAATAATATGGTTAATATAGTAATTTAATCTCTTAAAATATACCCAAACTTGGAAACTTTTACCTCTCAGACAAACCTTGAGGAAACTTCATTTGTGTTCAATCAAATTTTTGACAAAATCAAAAGTGCACAGGGAACTTTTTATCATGTAATATTTGGTTATCTGTTCAAAGTGGTGATTTTCCTCCTCTTTTCGAAGTTTTCATGTTTACCCACACACATATTAGATGAGCCTAATGAGGATTACCTGTGATCTTGCAGCACACCTGCACCTTGTCACCCATCACTGCCCCTCCAGTATAAAGGTGTGCTGCTCTCTCAGTGCTCTGTTTGACAATCTAACCTGAGTTTTGCTCTTCAGCTCACTGCTGCACTCTCAGGCTTTCCTCTATTTCGAAGTATCACAGCAGACATGGAAAAAAGTACAACTATTAAGAGTTGCATGAAATAAAGTTTCTTGTGTTAAAGAAATACAGACTCAACTTCTCGAGAGAGAATGAAACTGCTCCTCCCCAAAACTAGAGGGCAATGTGTGTCTTTTCAGCGCTGTCAACAACAACAGCAGGTCCATGCCAAATCTCAAAAGTGTCTACAACTGCTACTGGGCATTTTCGAGAAAGAAGGTGGAGCATCGTACAGCGTTGTTTTTGTCACACATGATGGACGCGCTACTTTTTGTGCAGATGAAGTGCACACTACTCCTCTTCTCTGGTGATTTTGTTATGGGGTTATGGGGGCGTGGCACATGCGCACATGCATTGCCTGATCATACTCTGACTACGCTGGTTACATGGTGGAGAAATCGAATTCCGGTCACATTATCTGGATGTCTTAATCAGAATTCTCCGAGTACTCAAACTCCAATGATAGTCGGATTAAGGTGTTTACATGCACTTTAATTGTCCGGTCTTAATCAGAGTAAGGCAATAATTTGGTTTTCTCAAGTGTCATGTAAACGTACTGACTGACTATCACAATCTTCAATGAAAATTAAGAAAATAACAGTAACAGTCAATTTAAGAAGAGACAAGACACATCACTCCGTCCTTCTCAGTCTTTATCCTAAGTCATCTGCATCACAATCCCCACACAGAAATAGACAGAACCACTCACACCCTCCACGATGCATCGTGCACTTTTGGACCTCAAACCCAAACTTTTTATTTTCTGTATCTTAGTTTTCCTGATATCAGAGGAGTTGTCAGAGAAGTTTACGTCTCACACCAACACGACGACTGTGAAACTCTTCTGCGAGTGTGAAGGAAGTGTGGATCCCGACACAAGCTCGGCTCTCAAAGTTCAGACACAACAATGACACAAACGGGAGCCTGCTGCTTGGCCCATCGCTGCCCCGTGTCAGGGATCGGTGAGCAGCGGTGACTGTGTCCTGTGCTGATTACTTCGCTGATGGGCCTCCGTTTGTCACTGCTCCTGCTAGCTCCAGAGCCGAGCAGCAGGGTTCCCTGATTACTTAATTGCTTGTAAGAGCTCATTAAAGCTTCCTATCCATCATAAGTCGTATGGCGAGTATCAATTTCAGAGTGAGAGATGGAGAGAGACAGAGAGGCAGAGACGTGAAGAACTCTGATGAGCAATTAGTGACGTGAAACGCCTTTGAATTGTTGTAGTTTCGTTTTTCTTTGGGAAATATGTGGAATTCATCACATGGATGGATGCTGCTGTGTTACCAAGTGATAAACACATCATTAATTTGTCTCTTACACCTCCTTAAAAGTTTTACAGCGAGGAAAAGAAAACTAGCTCTTGTTTTTAGACAATAAAGGGAGAAAGTTTTGCAAGAAAACCCAAGACTTCTTTGTTCAGATGTGGACAGAAGCCTCTTCTACTGATTTATTCTTGAATTCAGATCGTATTTTTGCCTCGAGAGAAGAGAAATCTCAACTCTTAACCCCCCGTCACTCATTCAAACTGAATTCTCTATTCGTGAGACCTTTGAGAGCTTAAATGGTCATTTTCAGGCTTTCCACGAATGTTGCTCTCGATGGGTTGTGGACTTTTGCCATCTTTTTTTTTTTTCCTCCCCTTCGTGATCCCAAAATGGAGTGGAGGAAAACATCCAGTAATTTGGACCCATAGCGCAGAAGAGCTTTACAAGATACTCACAATCTTACCAGGTGCAAAATTAGAATTGGATGCTGTTCGTATTAATTGGTGATCATTTGCAAAGCGGGTGGAAAAAACGTCTTTTGCCAAGAGCAAGTCTTACAAGCCCCCAGCTGGGGTTGTCAGGGGCAGGCTTGTTGGCATTGTGGCAGCATATGTTTGGTGCCAAGAACACCATTGATTTGCATTTCTTTTATATGAATTTTACAAAGCAGAAATGCTCTTTTGTGTAGAAGTGATCCCAAAAGTGAGTGTTGCAATTAATCACAAGTGAAATTTATCGGCTGATGAAAAGCCATAATTCTGCTTGCAATCTTTTTTTTTTTTCTCGTTTTTTTTTTTTTCCCCTTTTTTTTTTTGAGAAAAAAGTGGCAGCATCTGCAGTGCGCTCGCACTCGCTTTTTGATGAATGTGCCTTTAAAGCTGTGCAGTTTGGCTCCATTTAAAAACTGGCTTGAAGGAAGAAAAACAGCAGTGCGATCTTTCAGATACTGCAAATGCCATAAGTCATGAAAATAGTTCTTCTGTCTCCAAAACAAGCACTGCATAATGTCGGCGGAGTGACGCGAACACGGAAAAGTGCTCGCATGATTGAAGTGGGATTGTGACACGAGCTAATGGATGTTAAGTAAGATTTCAAACTTGTCTTGAGTTGTTTTAATATCATCTAATACCTCTCAGAAATCCCCAAAACCTGCGCACAACAACCGCACAATCATCTTAAATATTGATTCATAATTATTTGATGCACCTACCACACGCTATCAAGACCTATTGGGACATCTAATTGATCCAATTAAGCAATTAAATCTTTGGTAGGATTAGAGACGATCAGTCTCGTATGTGTAGAGACGAGACCGGCCCTGCCAAGGGATGGACAGGCTCCAGGTTTTCGCTTCATCTCCAAGATGGCTCCAGATGGGTTGGGGGCTTGAGACTCATCGGTGGCCAACTGGTCCAAAACCTCACACTGAGACTCGCCTACAGTATCACAGAGCCGCAGTCCCTCAACAACGCTCTGCTACATTTTCCCTGCTTCTTCTTGTCACTATTGGCATATGATTATTAAATGATTCATTCCCCTCTCCTGTGCTTTAAAGGTACCCTATGGAGTTTTCATGTAAACAAGCAGTCAGCGTTTCGCACCAAAACATACTGTGTCCTCGAGGCCTAACAAACACTATAAATATATTCCCACATAAGAGGCGTGCAAAAATACATAAAAACAGATTAAATAAACAGACTGTGCATGTATATTTTAGAGCAGTCTACTTTTGCACTAGAAGAATCTAGTTTTTGTTTATTTGTTATTAACCCACATAAGGTGACAAATATCACCTGCTTTGGGTGATATGAATGTCAGACACATGTAGGATAACAAAGGTGAAGGTTCTTTAAAGTATTTCCAAAACAAAGGTCAAAAAGTAAACTGTGTGAAGTATTTAGAAGGATTAGACTTTGTAGAAACGGATTACAAATAAAAATGTTTAAAGCTGCTATGAGGAGTTTTTTTAACCCTAACTTCATGAAACACACTGATATTTATAATGCAGACTGTTTATGATGTAGAACAGCAAACTGGATCATCAGTGACGAGATTTATGATTTTTATATCCTGATTTTTTTTTATGTTCCTGGTATCAGGGGGTCGGTGTCAGCTGAGAGGAACAGCCCAGTCTGTACGATTTATGCATAACTTGACTGTCATCAGGATGAGATTGTTTTTAGAAGACAGAGAATAAAAAGAGCAAAGACTGCTTTGGCCACAGGGGGCGCCAGAACTAATACACACTGAAAATTCCTTACAGGTGCTTTAAATCAGTGGTTTTGATAACCCTGAGGAACTCTTTCATAACTACTGGAGGCCGCCTTCTTGTACAGCCATGTTTCAGAACAAAGTAGTAAAAAGATCCGGTCAGTAAAAAGAGTATTATGTAGCAGGAGGAAAGATGTAAGCGGGATTTGTTCAAGCGTCATATTGAGAAAAAGAGAATCTTATTTTAATGAGAAATTTGAATAAATCAGTTTCTTTGGATGAATTCAGATCTGTGTAATTTAATAACAGATGCTCTCATAAGCTGAAAATGCATCATCAAATCCACCTTCCCAAGATTTTTAGAAGCAAATTCCTAAACTACTTTGATTAAAATAGGAGTGTTAAAAACTTAAAAAGTATCCCGTCATAGCGGAGACAGAAAGTGCGATTAATTTGCGATTAATCATGAGTGAAGTACGGATGATTGTGCGATTAATTGACTTAAAATTAATCCTTTGAAAACAGTTTTGTGGCATAAAAATAATTTCTGGTACGGGATAAACGACACATCAATTTATTCCTATACATTCCTCTTTTTTTTTTTTTTAAATTTGTGGAGTATTTCTGTTTATGTCTGATTTTAAGATTATGACTAAAGATCACCAAATGAGACGGTATACTGTGAGAATGAATGATAAATCAGTGACAGCAGATCCGTCAAATAGATTTAGGTGATTAGTAAAGTGTTCGATAGTGTCAGTCCAACAAAGTTTCGCAGCCTCTGAGCTCACTTTGTGTCCTCGTGGAGATCCCCCTGTGATCAATAATAAAGAGGGGAAGGACAGAGCTCCACCAAGGGCTCCTCAGATACAACTGTACCCCTCCTCCCCCACTGGAGCGACTCTGAAAGCCTTGAGTTATATTCCTGTAATTAACTAAGTATCCACACCGGCTCCCTCACACACACACACACACACTGAGACTCTGTCAGCTCCGTACGCTCATCCCTGTAGATAGAAGATGCAATCAGAAAAACAGCGACGAGGGAGGCGAAGAAGAAACAACGCATCAAAAAACAAACTTTGAACAATGACCCCGCTTCTCCCGAGCAACTTTTTTCCCCTTACACCGAGCATTTTTTCTTCTGTCACGAGTATAAGGGGCAAGAGCGATGCATCCCTTTTTCCCTCTTCCAAGGATAATGATTTACAAAATGCCTCTCATCAAAGAATTCATTAACAACTAACGTTAATTAAAAAATAAATGAGTAAACATCAATATCAAATCTCAGCACTGTGGAAGGGAATACATTATGCAGAGTAATGATGTTTGAAAGGGGCTTTAGCACCTCTGTGGGACTCTTTTAAACCCCTTACCTCTTAGGCAGTTGCTTATTTTGCAACCCTTTGTTGTTTAACAACAAAGAGAATGGGCTCTCATAATGTTATATTAATCAGCGGATTAATATTTCAATTTGATTTGCTTTATAGTTGAGGTGCTGTTGGCATTTCCATTTTCCCTCCATATGTGCAGCGATGTTAAGTGGTATCATTACCATTTTCTACCTGGGGGTTCGGGGAGATAACAGGCACCAGTGATAGCTCTATTCTGCACAGGGAGAGGGAGGTTTTTGGGGGGCGCTCATGCATTTTTAAAAAGCCGTGTTTGGTGTGCCTTCACATCCATTATTCTCCAATGTTGCCTGCAAACAGCTGAGTCACAGCCTTTCTGCCCGCCACAGGACAGCATGAGAGAAAAACACCCTCAAATTCAGAATCCGAGTGTCCCGTGTGAAGGTGTCTGCTGATATTCAGTCACAGAGGATTTATTTACTCTGAATTTAGTTTGACAACTTTCACGTCCACAGAGAGAGAGTCAAATATTATGTGTGTGTTATTGAAGAGGACACGGAAAAGCCACAAACTTTTAAGGCCTTGAGTGTCTTTTCTGAACTCCTGGATGGTTACTCTGTTTTTGGATCCAGGTGTAGTGAAACATATGGCGAAAAACCTGCTCTGTCCGTCTGAATTAAGGAGATAATACCTCAGAATTACAAAACAATCCCAGCACTCTTACAATGAAAACAATGTTTGCATCCTTTAGGCTGTTTTGGGGGGATTTAGACGCATCAATATCTGGCTAATACAGGGGGAAAAAAGGGGGAAATCAATGCAGTATGTGTCACACTTGGAGGTGAGGGTAATGCTATGTTAGATATTAAATTACCACACAATATTGAAGTCCTCTGCAAAGTGAACCTCTGGATCAAATTAAAGGCACTATAAGGAATTTTTAACCATCTGCAAAACCGACTGAAACTGATACAGATAATGATGATAACCGATAATGACCTTTTAAAATCAGACAAAGCCATCGGAAACAAGAACGATCATTTCTTTGTTGTATCTGAATGCTTGAAACTGGTGTTAGGGGGCTGGTTTCAGACTAGATGATTGACAGCTGGCTTGATTAACAGCCTTTTTACATTATTTAATGGCTGATAAGAAATAAAAAGTAATACATTTTACTATTTAAAGACAACAGGATGAAGTTTTTGTTAGCAAACACTTTTTTTCACATGTACAGGACAAGAAATTATAGGTATCACTTTGTCCACAAGGTGGTGCCAAAATCAACACAAATCAAAAGTTCCTTACTGCATCTTTAAACTTTTAAAAGCTTTGAAAAAAGAAGAATTGAGCTCACATTCATAAGTTTTTAGATGCAAGTGTACTTTTTAGATCATACAGGAACTATAAGAAAGATGGCCAGTTTATATAAATAAAAAAGAAATACAGTCACTCTAAGGCGTTTCCTTTCCAAACATAACAGTTTAACATATGTAAATATTTGACTTCATTATAAATAGCACAAATCAAGTGAGTAAAAACAGCCTCAAAAGTGCACAAAAAGTTCAGTTTTAATATTATTCCATGAGCTTTAGAAATAGGAGTGTAACAGACTCATAATCTGAGGCTGTGTTTTGATTTTTGGTCTTTTAAGGCAATAGTAATTAAAAATAATTGGCCCTAACGAATATAACAACCTTAGGATGAACTTTTGCAAAAATCCAAACCAGTATGAGTTCATCGTGAGAACCGTGGAAAAAAAAGGTGCAGATTGTATAAGCAGTGTCACTCGATTGAAACTGAAAACAACACAAACAGTGTAACCTCACAAAAGTTGGCCCTCATACTCCAAACAATCAATAAAGGTCGTCCCTCTGCTGCTAAACATAACGTTGTACGATCAGTGTCAACTTTGCTCTCAGTCTCCGGTTAATCACATCCTATCAGCAGAACACGACTTAAGGAAAACAGACAAGCAATTAGGACATGGATTATTTGTCATAAACACCATTCACTGCCATGCAAATGCAACATAATTGCCCAGCAGACCTTGAGTGACAAGTCATTAGATGATTGTTCACAACGGTTGATTACGATATGACAGGCGTGTCTCGCTCGGTACTTAAGTGAAGTGTTGACATCTTAAGAGGCCTCTGCTCATCACTCCAGAACCATCAATAAGTAGTAAGGTTAATACTCGCACAAATACCTTCAATACTCTGACATCTGTAGAGGAGGACTTTTAGGTCAGGTTCGACACAGTTACTCATTCACCTCATCTTTGATATTTACACTATGAACAAATAAAGCGTGTTAAGTTGCCTTACTTGTTGGGATGGTGCTGTAGTAGAGGATTCTGGGGACTTGCTCAGGCCAAAGAAAGTGAAAAATTGCAAACTTATAATTCCTCTTACTCTCTGTGCTCTAAAACTTATAAGTACTGTTTTAAAATCTTGACAGGTTAAAAGCACTTATGATTTAGGACTATTTATCTAAAAGATGTCGGCGTGTCTAAGTAGGTCAGGCCAGATCTGAATTTTTATCAATGAAGGCGTGCCACAAGGACCACTTCTCGGCCCCACGTTCTTCATTATCTACATTAACTACATCACTTCTTCTTTAAATTGTTGTTAAGCTCACTTTTATGCAGACAACACTATCTTGTATCGTAGAGCTGATTCTGAGCAGGAACCCATTAAGAGCTTGCAGTTTTCTTTCAATCCTTTTCAAGAATCTTTTCAACCTCAGACTGCTTTGAAATGAAGTTTTAAAAACTCAATATTTGGGTCACAATCGTAACTTTCTTGTTTAGTTATTAGTGTTTTAAAGGCCAATGAATGTGAAATGTGCAAACTTATCATTCCTGTCTTTGTTCCAGTTACTCTCTGTGCCCTAAAACTTATGAGTAGTGTTTTAAAATCTTAACAGGTCTAAGAGGAATTATGATTTTTTCGTAAAGGATTACTTGGTTAAGGCTATTTATCTAAAAGATGTTGGCATGTCCAAGTAGGTCAGGCCAGATTAGAATTTTTATCAATGAAGGCGTGCCACAAGGACCACTTCTAGGCCCCCTGATCTTCATTATCTACATCAACTACATCATTTCTTCTTTAAAATGGTGTTATGCTCACTTTTTCTGCAGACGACACAATTTGGTATTGTAGAACTGATTCTGAGCAGGAATCCATCAAGAACTTGCAGCTTCCTTTCAATCCATTTCAAGAAGCTCTTTGCTGCTTTGAATTTACATTTTTAAAACTCGATATTTGGCTCATAATCGTAAGTTTTCTTGTTTCATTTTTACCTTTGATTAACCGACATTTTTTGTCCATACCATTGTCGCTGAAAGCTCGGCATAGTTCAAGAGGAAAACGATAAATCAGTTTTATTTCAAGTATCTATTCATATCATGCCCTACAGTCATTTCTTCCACATACCTCAGTGACCTCTATTCTCTCATCAGTGCATTTGTGTGTGTCTGCACGTTTTCACGCCTGTTTACATGTATGTGTGTGTGTGTGTGTATGAGCACGTGCGTCGCTGCCCTTCATAATCAGGGGTCTCAAAGAGCCTCCACTCTGTCAGTGAATTGCACACAGCTGTGGGCCCCTTGTCGCGCTGGCAGCCTCGGCCCTGTCATCGTGCGTCCGCCTATCTGACCTGCTAATTTGGAGCATATGTAAGTGCTCTTAAAGTGGCGGGCCTTTTGACATGCCACAAACAGCAGCTGTGGCAGCTGCCCCGAAGGAAAGCTTTATTTAATTCAATTACATCTTTTGGAGATATGTAAACGAGGAGCTGAGGAGCTGAGGGAGAGGAGGAGGGGAGAGGACAGGAGGGTGGTCTGTCCTCACCTCCTCTTGTTGATACCTTTCCTCTTAAAATCCTCTAGCTCTCCTTTTCTTCCCCCCAAAAAGACCCTCAGTTCTGCCTCCTCGACGTCGCCTCCTTTGCAACTTCAAACCCCAAAGTGGCGAAGCCCAGGTGGCTCGATAGGCAAATGATTGGGTGAGTAACTGTTGCAAACCCCCCCCTACCTCCCCTCCTCTCCCTCCTTTACCCCCCCTGCTGCTCCCTGTCTCTCCAGCGGGGGGAGTCTGAGGGGGGATAATCAGGGTCAGGATCCTCTGCCACACTGATCAGTACGTCTCAACCCCCGGGCAGCCCTGCAATTAATGCGCCGTTGAAAGGGAGCGAAAATATTCACCATCTGGCAATTAGGGCTCATAGGCTCCCTCTTTCTGTGTCTCCTCCTCTTCTCTCCCTCTCTGGGCTTTAAATGCAATTGTGATCTTATTCTTGTTCCAGCTCCAGCGCCTCGCACTGGCCCAAGGCCCATTTGCCGCTCCGAGAGCCTATGCAGGAATGAGCGAGCGCAGGATCGCAATCCAGGGCAATTCAGAAACCCCTCTCAGTCCCAAAATGGAGACATAATAACGACTCTTCTTGTCATTTTTCTCCCCCTCTCTTTGCGGAGGATTCATCCCATCTCTTGCTCTTCCAGCCCCAGCTGCTTCTGGCCTGAAAAGGGGCTCTGAAGAGACTGGTGTCATCATGATCAAATTAACTCTTTCTCTCTGGATGGGAGCAAAGGTTGTCAATGGTTCTGTCGTCTGTAGTCAGTTTTTTTTAAACACATCAATGATGTTATGATTAGTCATTTTGCAGCCGACAATGGCCGCCAAATGTGTGTGAATGCCCTTTCCAGTCAAAGAGGAGCGGAGAGCTGTTGAAAGACATTGATTCAGAGAGAAGTCAGACATCTTTCCCTTTTTTTCCTCCCTCCCTCTCCTCCTCTTCTCCACACACTCATTGTGAAATTCAAATCTGGGGATGACAAATAGAGTGATTACATCTACCATTGATGTGGCTAGTTTTGAGTTGCAAATGTGCAACCTCGACATTTGGCTAGTGCGAATCAAGGTCTCGGAGACAATGGCGAGGCAAATTTGAGGAAGTAGTAGGTCGCAAATACCACACACAGAGCGCCGTGAATACCAAAACACGGGCGCTCAGGGTTTCCCTTTAATCAGGAGCAGATTTTTGTAACATGAATTCATGAGGATGTTCAAAAAAAAAAACTTTTTCCTCTTCGTGTAAGGTCAGCGACTTTCCTCGATCCGCTGACCTCGATCCCTCGCCTTTTTTAATTGATACCGCCATCCCGACAGCGAGCGGCCGCCATCGTGCTTTCCTGTAAAGCGATAATTACACATATTGAATTATTAAGAGTCATTATCAAAGCTTGTGCTTAACTTGTTTTGTTGTAGTGTAAGGTTCCTGTGATCTCGGGCAGTCATTACTTATTAACAGGCTGGATACTTTCCCCCAGTTGCCGCGTGTCGACGCGTGGCGTTAATGACGCGCTCATCCTGTTTCCCCCCCTGTTTGAGCTACAACCTACAACAGAGACAATATTGGGGTTATGCTGGTGGAAAACAAAGGGTTGCAAAAATTACTATTTATTGGCTCAGATGAAATCATTAACATAAAGAGAGATTAATTAAACCAGTGTTTAGAAGAAGCTGTTTACATAGCAGAGGAGCGGTTTTTGTGGGTCTGACGCACTTTAAACGGAGTTAAATGGCTTTTCTTCAGGGAGATACCCGAGTATCACAACCCAATCAATCAATCAATACATGTATCCATTTGAAAGGTCAATTTGAATGTATCTGTATCTTTTTAGATGAGTTGTTCTCATATAAAGCCGTGATAGATATGTGTTTGCCAAGATTATACTTATGTTTAATTTCTAGTGGGTGCACAAACAGATTATAGAGACAGAGCCGGCCTGAGCCTCAATGGAGCCCTAAGCAAAATTTGATTTTGGGGCCCTCTATTTCTGCCAATGATATTGATTGTTGATCATTCACACACCTTCACAAATCTCTCATGCAAACATACCTTTATGTTGGAGTTTTTTCTCTTCTTCCTCTTTCTTTTCTCTGCTCCTGAAGGATACGTCCTTTTTTGCGACATTGTTCTGCCCCACAACTACCTGCGCTTTGGATGCTCAGTGCACGTTGTACAGCAGGAGGCACATAATGTTATTGGAGCTTTGAAATATTGGCAGTAAGAATCATAGGCCTCCATCAGCAGCAGCACTGAAATGTTTTTACTTTATTTTATTTCATTTTTACAATAATATATATTTGATCATACAGAAAGCATCACTCATACATGCAAAAAATAACAACTATTCATTTTTTTCTTTCTGGATTGCTCTTGGGGGCCCCCTGTTGGCCCCGGGGCCCTAAGCAGGCGCTAAGTTCGCTTATGCCTTGGGCCGATTCTGTATAGAGATGAACATGTTTTATACAGGTTAGATAATCTTGTTGTGGGTTTAAAAAAGACACTGGTTGCGACCAAAAGTGAAGCTGGATAAACAATGAAATGGCTAAAAAATAGTTAAATGATAAAATTAGATCTTAAACAGTTGAAGAAGTGAAAAGAAACTTAAATGACAGTTATGAAAAAGACATCTCAGTGAATTTCAGCCTGTTTCATAAGTGTGAAAAAAACTCTCTAGAGGAGCTTTAAGTGCTGAGAGTAAAAGCACAAGTAGCCCACTGAGGGATATTTTACCTTCATGGTCGACACTTGTTTGCATGTTAGATGAACAATCTTGACTCTAATGTGAAACTGCATTATAGAAATTAGGGGTGTCCCGATACAACTTTTTTACTTCCGATACGATACCGATATTGTAGCTGTCAGTATTGGCCAATAACGATATAATTCTGTGTCTTGTGCATGACAAGTTTGGCACTCAGCTTCAATGTCTTTTTCGGACTTAAACAAAAAATACCTCCACATGACCGACATCACTCCTACTCCTTGGTACTTTGTTAGTACCTTAGTACACACTGTTGTTGTGATCATGTGGGCTCAGCTTGCTGGATCCGGGCGCTTCTAGATAGAGGTGCTGGAGTGGAGTCTGGAATGGACTGCTTGTATCGGAGTGCTGATATCGGAGGTTTTAGATGCAGGCCGATACAATTCGATATTCGGTTTTTTGCTGATATCGGACTGATATCAATATCTTATTGGGACATCCCTAATAGAAATCTAATATTTGTATGTGATTTAGCTTGCTGCATCCTCTCCCTCTTCTTCTTCTACTCTTATAAGGATGGCATCGTGTTTGTTGTTTCACTGCCACTCATAGTTTTGTCCAAACTAACCCTTATTTAAAAAAAGGGAGAAAAACTGGAAATTAAGCATCAGTAGACCAATAAGTTTGTTCCAGCTTTTGAGGAATTCTGCTGAAAATGTATAAAGTAAAAGTGCACTTTATTTGAAGAAACTTTTACCTCAGATTGTTATAAAAGCTGACCTTTGACCATTGACCATGTTGCTTTTAGGAAGCTCTTTTGTGCTTTGTTACAGCTCTACACACACCAGAACGTCCAGCTCCATGAATCACATTTCACATCAGATTCACAGAAACATTTGTCATGTCATCAACTTTCCTCCAGACTCATTTTTCGGAGGCATGTCAGCGCAGAAAACTCTGACCACATACTTACACGCTGTGCTTATTTGGTCCACTCTCACTGTCGCGAAGGGTGAAAACAGACTTGTAAAAGTCCAAAATACACCTTCATAAACAACCACTGTAATTTGATGACACATTAACCTCCCCTCAAAACCTGTAGGTGATGATTCATGTCAAATTAAAAACATGTTAAATGGACGAAAACAAATGACCACAAAACAGGCCGTGAAGCTTTGCCTAAATTAAGGCTCTCAGGTGAACGTTTGTGGACAGGTAGGCCTGAAATACCCCCGAGTGACCTTCAAATCTAACCACCTGTGTCTAAATCCAGCTCCATTTGAGTGGAGTCAGAGTATGGAAATAGAAAGACAAACACTGAGGCCAGAAACCATGACGGACAACTGTGACCCGTCTGCCTTTTTCTGACCCCTCCTGGAAATAACCCAGGAGCCTGGAAAAAAACACGTCTTACATGTCAAAACAACGCATCAAGTCTGAGAGGCGGACTGTGGCGGAGGACGAGGGGCTTTCATAAGCACTTAAACAAATCGCAGACCGGTCGACCACACACGCCGAAGGCAGGGAGGGACGCCGCAGCACTTGAGCACAGGGCTTTTTTGCACATGCAAATGTGGCGCTGGTGTGAGAGGCACGCCAAGCTGCAGCCAGACAGACAGAGAGAGAGAGAAAGAGAGAGAGAGGGAGACAGGATGAGCCCTCACCTGCAGGACCTCCACCCAAACAAACCACAACCAGCACACTTCCACTTCTTTTATTCTCCTTTCCGCTCTTTTGTTAAACTGTATTTGGTTAACAGCTTTAGGGCGGGTCAGTTTCACCAACAATCCCACGACAGGGAGCATCAGAATTTACAGTGCCGCAATAGGATCTTATATTTAGGGTTTCGTAATTGAACCCTCAAACCTGTGTGCAGATAATTATGACGTGTTTATAACACCAGGTCCAAAAACAGAACAGTATAGACTTACTGTAAAATCCACTTGGTTTGGGAGACCAGCAGCTTTTGGGGGTTGAACTCTGTGTGTTTTTCTATCTTATACAGATCAGTTTATTTAACCATGTCTGTTTTATTATCATTTTAAATTGAATTTCTTGGTTTAAAAGGATTTGGTCTTGAAAGAGAGGGACTGTCATACAGTCAGGATGCTCTTATATTCAGGTCATTACGGTATTTGTGTTCCCTTACCTGTTGATATTATGACCTGTTATCATTGGGTGGTATGCTGTAATACACTCGAGCAATATTTTTGTTAAGATGTTTTTAAAATAAATGTAAAATGGAGATATAATGAAAAAAGTTGAGAGATTTTTCAATATTCATAGAAACATGATTTATTTTTGAACATCCAATCATCTCATCTTGTGTGACATGTACAGATTTAAGTAAACTGAAGGTTTCTGCACATACATGATGCAGACTGTCTGAGCCTCTGCTTTGGATATTCAACACTATTTATTTATACTCTGTTATCAATGAGTTTAAATGACATGATTAATGCAAAACAAACTGATGCATCGCAGAATAAAACGTTACTCACCACTTAAGGAGTTTCCGATGAGATACTTTTTTAAACGTCTGCTGAGGTAATTTGGGGAAAGCATCAAAACGTTTACTTGTGTAGTATTTCTGTTTATTCCACCTGCTGCTGGCATCATCATATTTTCTTTTTATTGTGGCTGAATCTCAGGTGAGAAGCGTAGTCTAAGCCTGAGTTATGTATCCTGATTTTGGAAACTAAAGTTTTCAAGTTAGATAAATTTGTGAACTGCAGTGATTCGACCTTTCATCTTCTTGACCCTGTGTTGTTTTTGTATCTGTTTCTGGTGCTTTTCTTACGTTGAGGTCTTCGTTACTTGTTGCCGAATGTTTCTTAAGTTATCGAAGCGCATTAAATCTGTCACAGCTGAAAATATGTGACTTTCTGTACTTTTAATTTTGAGTATAAATGATTGATATCCAGGATGTTTTCATAGAGGGTAAAATCTTAAAATTGGGTCTCCATCTTTGTCATTTTTTCCTGTTGTGATCGTTTGTTGTATTTTATAACACTTGTTGTCACTCACGTAATCATTTGTGCAACCACTTTCCCTTCTTCTTGTGTTTTTTTCTCTCAGATCTCTTTTTTTGTGTCCTGTCTTTTCCTTTCCCTCCATTTTTCCTCCACTCTCACCTTCCCACTCCCTCTCCTGTTCACCGATCTACCATTTCGTTCCCTCTCCCCTCGCTCCTCTCCTCTCTGCGTTGAACAAATGGGTAATAAGCGCCACTTTGTACCTCTCTCCTCTTTCAGATCCAGAGTGAAGAGTCTGATTAAATAATCATTGGAGGAGCGGTGTGCGTGCGGCTTTCCCCCTGCTCCTCACCTTGGGGACATATTGTCCCCTGTCACTGAAACCTCGGGGACAGAAGGCTCCGCCGTGGGGAGGCTCAGCGGGGGAGCAAGGGGCTGATGAAACGAAGATCGGGTAATGAAGGCATGGCCCATGGCTTCCGCGGCTCCACCATATGTTTCACCAAATGCAAATTGCCCCCAATTCAAACAACTTTTTCATCTTGATATATGCAAATGTGTTTATAAATACTGGCTTATAAATATAGCATTACAGTTTTTAAGGAGGGAGCTTTGAATCATTTCTCCCTCGCGCTGCTGTCGCTTCGTGCCGCAGCGACGCAGCGTGACAGGCTTTAACGAACAGGCTCGGACCTGGCGGTGCATAATGGCGTCCTGGGGGACAGGAAGTGAGGGGGTCAACGGGAGGGGAGCGCCAAGTGGCCTGAGATCCAATGAGAGTGGCCCTGATGAGTGCTTTATCCAATTAAAACAAGGCCAGTTATCACAGGGGCCAATGACAAATCAAAGAGAGCACGTTTACAAATGAGTGCAAGAGGTCAGGTGGCCACACGTGTGAACTTTTGACATTTGGACTTCAGAGCGCGCTATTAAAATAAACGACAAGTGTCTTAAATTAGCCAATAACTGGAAATAAATAACCTATGAAAATAAAACGGATTAACAAATAAAAAGTTTATTGTGTTTACATGAGAGCAGATCCTGTGGGGCCTGGGATAGGAGTGTGTGTGTGTGTGTGTGTGTGTGTGTGTGTGTGTGTGTGTGTGTGTGTGTGTGTGTGTGTGCATGTGTGTGTGTGTGTGTGTGTGTGTGTCATGCTCAGAGCAATGAACCCAAAACATCAACATCAAAGAGGCGAAATGTTAAATAATGATAAAGCCGTGATTGCACTCTAATTAATTTGATTGAGCTACCCGAGAGCTAAAACCGCGTCTGTGTTTCTGTTCTGACCTGGAAAAACTTTGTGACACATCTTCATCATCATCTTCATCATCGTCATCATCTTCATCATCTTCATCATCTTCTTCATCATTTTCTTCATTAACTTCATCATCTTTATCATCGTCTTCATCCTTCAGCTGGAAAGTAAAGATCAAATGTACGCTCGTCTTCACTTCTAATCAGCTTTTAAAGTGGCTGGACAAATCAAAATGTGACGCCAGCGTTCAAGTTGTTGAGTTCTTATTACCTGAGACCAAGTCAGTGTTTAGTCCTTATTTCCTGTGTTTGAGTCCAAGCCAAGTCCCATTACCTATGTCTGACCAAAGGTCTAGTCCTTATGATATTTGTCCTGGTCCAGGTCAAAGTCTGGTCATCCTTACCTGTGTCCAAGCCTAAGTTTTAATATTCATGCTTGAGTCCATATCAAGTCCTTATTTCCCTTGACCGAGTCAAAGACAAGTCCTTTTGACCTGTGTCTAAGTGAGTCCAATCCAAGTCCACATTACCTATGTTCGAGTTCAAGTAGAGTCCTTGATTTCTTTAATAAGTCCTCATTACGTCTATCTGTCTTTAAATCTAGTCTTTGTTAACTGTGTTCCAGTCCAAGTCAAGTCAAGTCCTTGTTACCTGTGACAAATGGGTCCAAGTCAAGTCCTGATCACCTGTCTTCGTTCGTGTCTCAGTTCATATCAAGTCCACATTACCCATGTCCAAGACTGAGTGGAGTCCTCAGACCTTGATCAAATTGAAGGCAAGTCTTGATTACCTGCATCTGTGTTTCAGTGTAGTCTTTGTTAACTGTGTCCCAGTCCAAGTCTTATTACTTTTGTCCGAGTCCAAGTCCAGTCCTCATTACCTTGTCAAAGTCCATTTCCTGTCGTAGTCCAACTTGAGCCTTTGTTTCCTGACCCGCTGACAAAACTGCGTCACATTTTCAGTCCACAATCTATCAAAAAAAAATACACAATTGTATCTCACTACAGTATATTACTGTTTTTTTACAATACAGATTATCTATCATTTGTTCCTCATTGATTTAAGCAGTTAATGGATGTCTCATCGGGTCACATGTCATTAATAACGCCCCGGTATCTCTGTCACTCCATCCTGTTCAGAACAGCTGACAGTGTGAGCCGCTCCAAGCTGGGGGTGCAGTCAGGTGTCAGTCGCCGTGGTGATGATCAGATTGTCACAGTCCCGCTGGTTCCCTTGGAGACGGCACCTGAGTCGATGCCTGTGCCAACATCTTCATCATCACCCGCGGCAACAGCAGCTGGCAGCTCTGGACCGGACCGCGAGGCTGACACGGGCCAAGTGGGTCAGACCTCACAGAGAGAGGAGAGGAAGTCAGCCGTGAGGCCCGTTGTTGTTGTTGTTGTTGTTGTTGTTATTGTAGTAGAGAGGGGTGGTGCATTATGGGAGGACTGGAGAGTTCACACTCCAGTGGCTGAGAGTAAGTAAAGCTTTGCAAACCTGCTCCTATCCAGTATAGTTAGTTACTATCATGGGTCATGTTGCCATATTTGTGTTTTCAACCAGCGTTTTCTGACGGTTGTTGGCTGGTACATAAGACCTTGGGTTTGATTCCTTCCAATTGGCCTCCTAGACACGTGTACTTTCTCTTTTCAGTTTTCTCTTTTGATTGCAAGCAAAATGTCCAACCAATAACTTCAACAAAAACAAAGCAGAAAGGAAAGTGTACAATTCTTTTAGTCATGCACATGTATTACAAATAATCAGGATACATATTGGGAGGAGGAAAAAAGTGTCCTGAGCACCAAATACTGTTATAAATACCATTAGATTCATGTCCAGACCTGTAAGCCAGTCATAATTTGGCCATGTTCTTACAACTTAAAACCTTCGAACCCCAGCCATTTCCTATTAATTCTGGTGTCCCACAAGGTTCTGTCCTTTGACCCCTTCTGTTTATCATTTATCTACTACATCTTTGCCAAATCTTACATAAATTTAACTTTTAAATTCATTGCTATGCAGATGACACCCAACTTTACCTGTCCACCAAACCTACCTCAACCTGCCTTCTCGCTTTCCTTTCTTGAAGGAAGAACATTTATGATCATTTCTTCATGGAAATACAATCATACCGAGACGCTAAGGCAGAGGAACTACCACGTCTGCAGAGCAAAATGATTAATATGATGATTATTACTTCAAAGAAATGATAAAGAAATTATCATAAATGTTCTTCCTTGAGCTGCGTCACCCCACTGTAGTCCGTAATGGACTGGCCTGACAAACTAGCGCAGTAGCTCAGGAGGTAGAAAGGTCGTCCAATAACCGCAAAGTTGGCGGTTCGATTCCCCCCTATCCCTAGTCTGTCCATGTGTCCTTGGTCTCATTTGACCCTTGTGTGATTTCAGTTCTGACTCTAAGTAGTGCCCACTGGTGGACTGAGGATTGCCGTTTGACATCCATCCTGACATAGAAGAGTCATGAGAGTAGTGACAGCAAATGGGGCCTACAAGTGTGAAACACTATCAATTTTAACATAAGTCAGGCTATTTTAGGTCAAAATTTACAGACTCAGACAGAACTAAAATGAAACGTTTTATAGTTTAATTTCTTTTTTGGTATGATATCAAAGCTAACAAAACAGTTTCCATTGGAGTGAACATGTGACCATGTCTTCAAACCCTCCTCCTGTGTTGCTTTGGTCTATAAAATGAGCAGTAAATAAGGTCAGAAAGATGTACAGGTGTTCCAGTCTGCACTTGCTAATCTTCCCCTCACTGTCCAGCTGATCTGAGGTCTGCTAACGCGGGTCCAGCAGTCCTCAGGTCCTGACAGATGAGTTGTGCTGGTTAGTGTAACCTCCAGGTTCACAGTCAGCTCATTAGCCCGAGTGCTCTGCTGCTAATTCAGGGGGGCTACACACTGGATGCTAATTAATCACAGACAGAGACGACCTGGCATGTGAGTGCAGACAAAGCGGTGGTGAACGCTGCTGCCGTGTAGGCGTTTCACTCAGAGTGTTGTTTGTTGGTGAACATGAAACAACAAGGGTAAGTGTGTGTGTGCAGGGGGAAAAACTGATAGAAAGAAAACAAAGACGGCAGAGGAACGACTGTGTGATCACAGGGAGCTTATAGGCAAGCTGCTTATAAAGGGTGTGATTGAAGCCTTTTAATTAGTCGAGATGTGAAGGAAAAGTTGTGAAAAAGATACAAAAGAAAATCCACGATTTGTCACATTTGGAAAAAGATCTCTGACTTATTTTATTGATTTTTACACGTCGCCCTCATACTTACAAAAAATCACATTATATCACTAATTTAGACTGTTTTTAGTTATATACAAGAACCTGAGCTTTAGCAGTACGTCCGCTGTTTTAACATGTATGAAAAATTAAGATAAATTTGGTATTAACCACCAGCTAAGCTAAACGCACAAAGCTCCACAGGTTTCATGATTCCTGATTAAATGGACTAATGAGAGACGCCTTTTTTTGCCCCTTTTCTGTTAATCTGAACTCTTTCTTCATCCTAAATTGGTCTCAGCGTTGTTATCCTGTTGTTTTTATACTTCTGTGATGTTTGATTGCACAGCACTTGTTCAGGGATTTTTAAATGTGCTTTATGAATGAATTTGGATTGGTTTAGATTTGTAGAAAGGAGCGTCAGGGTCAAAACAAAAGGTCACACTGCTGGTAGTCCTCAACTGTGGAGTTAAACTTCACAGATTATCACTATTCTTCATTTCAATGTAATCCGAGGCTCATAGAAATTGTGACATTGTGTAGATTAATGATAGTTGATAGGATTGCAGCTTCTTTTTCTTTACATACAACTTTCGTTTCAAAATTCATTCTTCCACATTTATATCCTTACTTTTTTAAATCTGTGACTTTTTTCCAAAAATTTCCTACATTTTGAATTTTTATCTTGTTGATTAAAAATGATTGACTCTTGTATTAAAAATGTACTCTTTTTAGTTATAAATCCTCGTAAATTTGTGGTTTTAAAATTGCCGATTTAAGGTTTCGGTCTTCTTAATTTACTCTTCTTTCTGGTAAATTTATGGCGACATGCTTAAAACTTAAACTTCATTAGGATCTCATTAATTTACACTTGTTAGTTCTCTGATTTTTCTCTTAAATTCATGAATTTATTTTGTATTTATGACTTTAATCTTGTAAATATTTAGTGTTTTTATCCTGAAAATGTTTCACTTTATTCCTGTTAACTTGAATATTCTTTTTCATATATTAATGACTCATTTATTGTATATTCAGAATCATGATCTTGTAAATATTAGATTTTTTTTCTCCAAATTTTATCTCCTTGATCCCCTCAAATCCTCTGACTATATTCCCATTTATTTTACAAATTTTCTTGGAAATTCATGTCTTTAATTTTCATAATTTATAATTTTTTTTCTAGGAAAAAAAATATTTTTTATCTTTTGATTTGTTTTTTCTTGTATTCCAATAACTTTTTCCTCAGATGCCTTAAGTTTTTAAAGCTTAATGTGACCTGAATCTTCTGTTTCAGGTTTGAGTATCACTATGATAACAGTTTTAAAAGCACAAATCATTGATCATGCCATCTTTTCCTTGGTTACATCACCGAAAAAGATTCAAGTTTTGATTCATTTATTTGTTTCAGGCATTTGTTTTATTTAATGAATTTTCGTACTCAGTATTTTCTTTTATCTTTATTTGTGCTCCTTATTTTGTCAAACGCAACTTTCAGGCAACTAGCAAGTAGAAAGAAAGGCTTTATCCAAAACTATCCTGTGGGTTCTGAACTATTGCAGTCAAACTGACCATCCAAAATCCTGAAGTTTATCATGGATGACTTCTTAAAACCCTAAGATCAGATCAACGCTAGTCAAGATGATTTTAAACAGTATGATATGGATGAAATGGAAATCTTGGAGGAGTTGGAGAACCTGGTGAAGTTTGAGAAATTTGCACTGATATTCATGGGGGTCATAACACTCTGGGTACTGAGATTGTCCAGAAGTCTGGAAATGAAAGGGAGATGGAGGGGGGAGACACCTGATGACCACCTCTGGTTCATGTAGTATCTGCTGTTAAGAGGAGAAGGACTTTATGAGAAAAGGTCGGAGCACAGCCTGTTGGTGTCATCCTTAAAACTGTTTGTCGAGTGAATGAACTGACAGCAAAAAAGATTGAGATACGATCTGTAAAACCCAAATCAGTGAGCTGAAAGATGTCCCAAACTCTGCTGAACTGGAGATAGATCAAATTTCTTATTATTCTTGGCCTCCACCTTTTATGAGGTCAGAATACAAAGAGGGAAAGGAGAGGAGAGGATATAGAGAGAAAGAACGAGAGAGAGGGTTAGGAGTGGCGACTTGAATCTGCAGCTGATGTGCTCAAGACTGAACATGGGACACCTGCTCCATGGACTGGACCTCATAACTGTGATCTTCTGTATTAACCAGTATGTGAAATCTCTCTTATATTTCATCAATAATTTAAAAGCAGCTTTAACCATCTCAAAGAGTCTAAATATTGAATATTAATTACTGCTCTGTAGTTCAAAACTCAAAATCAATCCCAAAACAAAAGAAATCATCTCGCTTTTTAACCAAAGTCTCCCTAAAGCTCATTTAAACAACAAAATATCTAATATCATCTCACAGACACAACATGAACATGAACTAAATCATAGTCAAACTTTGGTAAACAGGTTTACTAAAAGTGGGAGCTGTGGCAAAGACTGAGGAGCTGCTTGAGTTCATCAGAGCTACAATGGCGCCCTCTACAGGGTTTGACGAGAGGAGACAAAAATACACAGATCAGAGGACAGAGACTGGAACTGGAACTGGAATAAATGTTAATCTGAATAACACCATAACCAGATTAAAGGTTGTTTAGACAGGAAACAGAAATCTGACTTTGTACAGTCCAGATATTATTTCTTTATCAGCCGAAATGAATCAGTAAATAAACAACAAAATTTACTGTCTCTGCCTCTTTCAGTTTTCATCCAAGTCTGTGTTAGCAGATAGTTGATGAGCTAATTGACTTTCATTTACATTTACACACGTGTCCATTTTTTAAAATGTCATTTACCATGGTAGTTCTATTTTGATATACTGAAAATATTGCATTTACACAAACATTATATGTATATATCTAAAACACCCATATATCTTGTTTTATTCAGCGTGTCTCTTTTATCATCATTTTCAATAAAAACTAACTATGGATCCAGGAAGTCTTTTTTACCCCCAGCCATCAAACTTTACAATTTAGTAGATGACTTTTTGAGACATAACAAATGAGACTACAGACAATTGAAAGTTCCTCTTCTTTCTTACTTTCTGAATGAAAACAAGATTAATTTTCCAAAATCTTGACGGGGGGTCAGGGGGGTCATCTAACAAGGTTTGTCCGATATTTGAGTCAAAATGTAACTTCATACCTTCTCTGTTGGTCCACCACAGTCAGTAAATCTTGGACACATTACTGCTCTTCATAGTTTTAAACTACTTTTCACAAACACTGTGATCATGGGATCGTCAGTATGTAGGAGATTAAAGGGAATCTAAATTTATAATACATGTCTAAGAAAGTGTTTACACTTATCACAATGAAAACTTGTGTTTATGTCTCTAAAGCCGTCATTAACACCTCAGTATCCTGACTGAAATGAAGCACCAGGCAGCTGCACGGCTGATCACATGACAATAAGACCGACGTGTGGGAGAGGTTAGTCAGCTGTGGAGTTTGTGTGTCTGTAAAAACACAATCAGAGCTGAATTCTGTTGCAATATAGTAACAGTGATAATAGATCAAATGTTTTGGACTAATATTAGATGTTTTATTGATCGGGAGAATACAGCTGAGAAATTATCTGATCATTCTCAAGTGAGTGTGAAGAAGAGAGCCTCATTTTCACACACCAGATGGCAGCAAATATCAACATCCAGGTTTGAGTCAGTGCTGGAACTCCAAATTTCCTGCAGTAAGTCACCAAAAACACTCACAAAATCACTTAGTTTCTTTATTCTCTCTTATTCTCTCTACTTCTGCTCATGCAAACATTTCAGACACTACACCTAGATGTCTTATACTCATATTTCTTCCATTGCAGGAGTTTAGACCACAGCAGAGATGGTGTAGGAGTGATGTGCAGTGACAGCTGTTAACTAGGTGATATTATATTCTGCAGAGAGAACAACAGCACATTTCTCCTGGTTCAAGAGCTCAAATCTGACAGTTTCAACTTATTATCTTCACCAGGGAGACACAAAACGTTCGGGTTGATCTTGTTCTCACGATTGCTGCTCATGTGTTTTCAAACAGATCTGCTTTTAATCTCGTTATGCAACCGAATGAAATTAATTGTGCCTCTTGATGAATCATTAAACAAACCAGGCCATCAGCAACAAGTCTGCTTTATTTCTGCATGGTGTTCGTTGGTACCTGTAATCCCTGCCACCAGCTAGGTGACATAAATGGGTCAGAATATCTAATTACTCTTGCATAATATAAGCCACACTGACCTGATAAAAATCTCATTTCAGGACGTGACAAGTGAGGACTTGATTGAAGGTAATGACTGAAATGTTTGGTAATCCGGCAAGCAAACACTTGTTTGATAAGTTTGTTGATGTGTCTTTGGAAACTAAAACAGTGAGTTATCCTGCGTAAATACACTCAGTGAGACTTTGGTTATTGTAGAGCAGGAGCTTTAATTTGCTTATGTGTCCTTGAATTTGCGTGTTGTCTAAAACACTTGCACATTACTCTGCCATGAGTGAACGCCAGATACATAATCTCACAACTGTACTCTTTATAGAGACTAATTTCTTAGCTGGAGAGTCAGGGATTAAAATAGGAGCCATGGAGAAATTTCCAAAACCTGAAAAAGTTGACAAAAACACTCAACTTCAGGCAGTTCACAAAACTAAGTTAGAAGACCACATTACTTATCAAAGTCACATATTTGTGAACTTTAGTTAAGTCATACACAATTTCTTTGTCTTTTAAAAGCTTAATGACATGATTTTGACCTATTTTAAACCCTTATGTTGGAGAGTTTCTGGAGTTTTGAAATTGAACTCTCGTCACATTTTCGACCAAAAAGAGCAAATTTATTTATTTTATGATTTATAATATGCCAAAAGTTTGGACTAAACTTGGGCTACAGGAAGTCCAGTTCAGCTTTAAGATATGAGTTTTTTTACATTTATGAAATATGCTGTATCGTATCGTATCATAACACGTCATATCGTATCTTATTGTATCGTATTGTATTGTATTGAATCGAATTGTATTGTATCGTATTGTATCGTATCACACTGTCTTGTATCGTATCGTACCATCATCTTTTCTCGTACCGTCTCGTCATATTAATGCTTTTTACGACATTTAAAAGTAAACAACTACCAGCAAAAAGATTCATGATTTCATAGTTTAATGTAAATACGTAAAAACTGGTGCATGAGGGTAGGTGTTATCCAAGCAGCCCTGTTTTTACAATTTTAACATAAAATATCCTCAACAAAGGATATAATTAACTTTCTTTGTTAGGGAGGACAAGATAAGCAAAGACTGCTTCCTCCACCGGGGGCACCAAAGTTAACATAACCCAAAAGTTCCTTACAGGACCTTTAAAAAAGGGTATAGACGATTTACAAAAACTGTTTAAATCAACTTTTACTCTACTTCACAACTTTTTTAGACTCTTTGTTTTAAGTGTAATACGAGTTAATTTGACCTTTTGTGCAAAAGCTGGTTTCTGCAGGTGGAGTTCAAGGCTGCAAAACCAAAACAGTGAGCAAAAATATGCAATCAACAAGTGACGTCCTGTCCAGATTTTGGCATATTTGATATTCCTTGTAATCGTCTCTTTCTTAAATACAGTCTTCCAGGCTGATTCTGCATTCCTCTTATTCACTGTACTCAAAGGACCGGAGCGCTGAGACTCA